TTGATACCTCGTGGCTTTCTTTAAGGCCAGTCTTTTAAGCTTCTGATGCCAATCGTGATAATTTCTCCTGAGCATGTTGCTTGTGCGAGAATAGGTCAATGTCGATCGTCTGCAAAATCAAGGACCTCAAACTGTTTGGTGGAGGTACACTGGATTCCGGTCTAACTACCCTTGGTTTTTATCTGCACGATCCAGTCAATGACTACTGGTATCAGAAATATACGGTTGGTGAGAGAAGGCAGCTCTGTCGATTTTACTCATGTTTCCTATCAAAAGCATCAGTGAGTTATGAACGATGTAGAATGTGGCATCGTCATAAATTCCTGATGATGCTTATAAACTTTAGTGGGGTTCCATATTTCCGCATTAAATTCCAGCTTGTTGACCTATCCACACTGTCGAAGGCCCTCTCAAAGTCCACGAAGATTGAGTAAAGAGGGAATGGTCATTCAATGGACTGTTCAATGTTATACGAAGTGTAACAATGTGACCGATGCATGATCTGTGTGGAAGAACTCTGCTTGTCCTGATCTGGGTTTTTAATCCAATGCTCCTTTCATTCTTTTTAAGTTACTCTTGTTAGGATCTTACTGGCAATGGATAAAAGCATGATGCCTCGTCAATTTCAACACTGTGACGGGTACTCTTTCTTTGGTAGTTTAACCAGGTATCCTGTTTTCCACGCATCTGGTACTTTTTCCCCTTTCCCTAAGTGGTTGTAATATATCTGCCGACCTTGGTGGAGTAGCTTTGAGTGTCTCCGAAGGGATAACATCTGGACCAGGTGCCTTTATAGCCTTAGTGAGTTATTCATTAGATGGTGGTCCTGCATTAATGTAAAGTTCTTCTTGTATTCTTGGTATACTTGAAAGACTGGATGGTGGTGGCCAATTTAGAACTTCCTTCAGGTGTTGTACCCATCTAGCTCTTTGTCCTACGTCGCTAGTGATAATTTTGCTTTGTGTATTTCGCTAATTGGCTTGTTGGTATTCACATTTCTTCCCGGCAGTGTTCTTGTTGTTTCATATAACTTTTTCATGTGGTTCTGACTGGCTGCACTCTCTGCCTCTTCAGTCATTTCATTTCATTCATTTCATTTCATTCTCTTGTCCTTCCTAGCACAGTTCCAAATATTCTGTTCTGTTACTCCATTTGCTTGATACGAGGGGTGATCAAAAAGTTCGCAAACTAATTGAATAACTTTTAAAAGATTTTTCAAAGTGAGATTTTGAGTTTATTCTTTTTCAAAGTAGGCCCCTCTAGCTTTTATGCACTTTTCCCATCGGTCTGCCCATGCGCGAAACACGTGATCCAAGCCATCACGTGACATGACCCTTAGCACCTTGTTCACAGCAGTACCAAGATCTTCCCGGGACTAATATTTTTCTCCCCGTTGGTTATCTTTCAAAACTGGAAATAGCCAGAAGTCACAAATTGCCAAATCTGGGCTGTAGGGGGGATGAATTAGGTTTTCTATACCCAGTGTTTCCATGGTGTCCATCACAACCCGACTTTTATGGCTAGGTGCGTTATCATGGTGCAGAATGAATCCAGATCTTATCAGATCTGGGCGCTTTCTCGTTACTGCTCTCATCAAATCTGATTTGATAACCCGTGCATAGTAGTCCCCAGTAACTGAAGTTTTGGGTGGTACCGTGTGATTTAGAATTATACCGTTGATGTCACAGAAAACTATGAGCATAACCTTCCCTGCTGACTTGGTTACGCGTGCTTTTATTGGTGATGGCGAGGAAGGATGCTTCCAAATTGAACTTTGTTGTTTACTTTCTGGCTCATAGAAATGTACCCAAGTTTCATCACATGTGATGATTCTATTCATGAAATTATTTTGTTCTTTTTCATATCTCCTAACGTAGGACCGGCATGCATTCACTCTCACCCTCATTTGCTCTGGCAGAAGGAGGCGAGGGACCCATCTCGCACAAACTCGCCGCATGTTAAGCTTACTCGTTAAAATCTCTTGAACTGCTCCATAAGACATGCTAAGATCAGTAGCTATTTCCCTAATCGTAACTCTTCGATCTTTCATTACATATTGTTCAACCTCAGACACGTTTATCTCGGTACTTACGTTCAGCGGGCACCCAGATCTATCATCATCTTTCACCGTCTCCCTTCCCTCAATAAAACGTTTCATCCACTTACTATTTATTGTACCTTTTTAAAGCCCACATTCCCCATAAACTTTATGTAAATCATCATATATTTCCGTGAAGGATTTACCTAGTTTTACATAAAATTTTATTATAGTTCTTTGTTCAAGTGCGATTGACTCATCCATTTTCGTCACAGTCGCCTCTATGTTGACGTCATTTTAACATCAAGACGTCATAATTATGACGCATATTTCAACATGACTCATACTGCATATAGCACATGTTTAGGGCTATATTTGTGACAAATTTCATTCTTGTCAGAACTGTAGTTAGGTAGATAGAGAATTAGTTTGCGAACTTTTTGATCACCCCTCGTATTTGGACACTGGTTTTTGTTTCATTCTTTCTTATATTTCCGGCCCTAGGGCTATAACAGTTTATAGATGAGCTCACTTTTGATCTCAGTCTCACTTTTTTATTATTAATTCATATGGTAAAAGTGAGACTGAGATCAAAAGTGAGCTCATCTAAGTGTGACCCCGGAATCTGCTATCATCCACTTGTTGTGCTCCCTAGTTTTCATTCCTAGAACTTCACTGCATGCACAGTAGTGATTGATTTGTTTTTGGGTACTAGGAGTTACATCCTCAGCGTAGCTGTCAGGCACGTAGCATCGTTTTTGAAAGTGGGGGGGGGCCAACCTGAGAAAAATTTTTTTCCTTACCTAAAAAAAGTTGACAAGCCAAAAAAAAAAAAAAAAAAAAAAGAAAAAAAGAAAAAAAAAAAAAGACGAAAATTAAAAATTACCCAAACTCCAAAATCCTATTTCGTGGGGGGGGGGGGGGGGTAGTGGCCAATTTTTTAAAGGCAAAGTTCCTTTCACTTCCAACTTTTTTCCTATATTTTGTTGCTATGTATATACTGTGGTAAAAAGTGGGGGGCCAACCATGTTTTCAATAGACATTTACTATCGTAAAGGTAATGTTGGGGAAAAAAGTGGGAGGGCCTAGCCCCCCTGGCCCCCCCGGATACTACGTGCCTGGCTGTATCCAGTTGTGGATCTGCTCCTCGTCTTGTCCTGACATCTAGTATACTTCTTCTGCACTTATGCATGGTGCTGTTATGATCTATTTGATTTTCTGTCTTTCCATCCGGGGAAATCCAGATTATTTTGAATATCTCCATGTGTGAAAACATGATACCTCCTAAAACTAGATCATTGAAAGTGCAGAAATCTATATATAGAAAGTTCTCCATTTTAATTCAAGTTGCCGATGCCATGTTTTCCTATAATGAGTCTATGTTCGTAATGTCATCTCCTACCTTTGCATTCAAATCTCCCATCACAATTTTTTAGATCTCTGCGAGGTGTACGGTCCATCAATGACTGTAATGCAGAATTAAAGTCTTCCTTCTGCTGCTCCTCTGCTGCATTCCATTGAATGATCGTATCCTTCCTTTTCGAATTAAACCTGACTGGCATGAGTCTTGACACTGGTTTCCACGCTATCATTGCTGTTGTTGCTTCTGCATCTTTGCTGGCCAAGGGCTTCTGATACGCTACTCTCCTCATAAACTCTTGTAATACAGCGCTGTAAAAATTAAGACGGGACTGTTTTCTTTACGTGATCTCGAATTTTGAACAGATGCACACAAATTGCGTCATCAACAGAAATAAATTACAAATGTACGTATTTAAATCATGAGAGTTTTTTAAAGAAAAATTAACAAGAAGGTATTGATTTTTCATTTGTTATTTAATGTGCTAATCTACATCTTTACAAAGATTTTAATTCATATTTTGCACATATTTTAAGATATTCGATGAACCATATCTCTTCATAGAATAGTACCGGGGGTATGTGGTCGTTGTTTACCTGCGTTTTTCAATCTTGAGAGTAATTTGAAGAGTCAAAATATGTCCCCGAATGCAGAGATCGTCATTAAAAATGTTCTATGGTTTAATGAAAATGTTCTATGGTTTAATGAAAATATTGAAGGTCAAGGTCAAGGATTCAGAAATCATAGCATACTTGGAAATATCTTGTCACAGGTAATGTACATGTTCATTATGAAACGCCTATCTCAAAGTTATAGGGAAAAATCAACATTTTTTAAAAAGTAGGTCAAACTTCAAGGTCAAGGTCAGAGGATAAAAATCACAGTGCATTTAGAAAGGTCTTGTCACAGGCAAAACGCAGGTTTAATATGAAAAGCCATAACCAAGGTTAAAGTTTTTGAAAAGTAGAAGTATGTCAATCGTGAAGGTCAAGGTCAAGGTCATGAGGTCAATCGTAGTGTACTTAGAAAGGTCTTGTCATAGGTTAATATACATTTTAATACGAAAGCCATACCTCTTATTAAAACATTATGACTAATTCAAAGTAATGTCTAATTTTTTTTAAAGTAGTTCAAACTTCAAGGTCAAGGTTAATGTTTTTGAAAATAAGTCACTTGTGAAGGTTAAGGTCACGAGGTCAAAAATCAAAGGTCTTGTTACATACATGTAATATATGTGTTTAATATGAAAGTCCTATCGCTTTTTATTCAAAGTTACGGTCAATTCGAAGTAATGTTTAAATTTGTAAAAAAAAAAAAAAAAAACAAACAAACTCAAACTTCAAGGTCAAGATCAGGGGGATTAAAAATCATAGTGTATTTACTAAATACTATTTAGTAAGATTTTGTCACAGGCAATGCACAGGTGTAATATGAAAGCCCTATCACTCTCATTCAAAAGATATGACCAAGGTTAAAGTTTTTGTGACAGACTGATAGACCTAGAGATGAATTGAGATTTCGAGAAAGCCGGGGACAATTAACTTGCCACCACCTAAAACCATTGGCTCCAAGATTTACCAAATCACATGCATTAAGTTTACAATGGACATCAAAGAGCAAGGAAGACCGGGTGAAGCGGGGACCGCCAATAGTGGCAGTAAGACGACGAGGGGTGAAAGCCTTAGGGAAGCCCAGCGTCCGACGACTAGATCCCTTGTGACACCCAAACAAACAAGCACCATCGGACACTGGAACGTGAGAACAATGTATAGAGGAGGAGCTTCAGCACAGATTACGAGAGAGATGGAAGAATACCAACTGAACATTTTTGGAATCAGTGAGTGCAGATGGACAGGAGCTGGGAAGATGAGACAGGCCTTGGGTCAGACCGTCATATACAGCGGGGATGAAGAACTACATGAGGGAGGAGTTGCCATAATGATCAGCCAGCAGGCAATGAAATCACTTATAAAATGGGCACCCATCAGCAAGAGAATCATAATAGCAGAATTCTTTTCAAGATACAGGAGAGTGTCGGTGATCCAAGCATATGCGCCACATAATGAAAAGGGAGAGAAGGAGAAAGAACAATTCTAATAGGAGTTACAAGAGACCGTGGATGGATGTAATAAGAACGACTTCATTATTATCATGGGGGACCTCAATGCTTATTAAGGTAGAGAGTGACAATAATTATAATTATAGTTATAAAAGAACTATAGGTATCCATGCACTGAACACAGAGTGAGAATGGAGAAAAACTGAATTTAGTCAGAGCAACGGACTTGTAATCACAGGAACATTGTTCCACAAAGACATGCACAAATCAACATGGGTGCCTGCTACTGGAACAGCGAAAACCCAGATAGACCATCTCATAAATGGTCGGTGGAAATCACCTGTTCTTGACACCAAGGTTCAGAGGGGAGCGGATGCCAACAGCGATCACTACCTGTTGAAGACTCGAATCAGGCTACGGCTCAGCACAGACAAGAATAAGAACAAGTTAAAATCAAGTTTGGGTGTAGAACGCCTCAAAAACAACGAAGTAAAAACAAAAAGTGCAATGACTGCCTGAGAAAAAAATTAAAAGAGCACAGAGAAAAGGCTGAAGATATCTAGAAAAATTGAGAACAGCAGAAGATTACATATGTGAATTCAGCAGAAGTACTTGGCTACAGGAAAGGCAAAAGTAAAGCTTGGATCAGCAAAAACATCTTGAAGTTGACAGATGAAAGAAAAGACATAACGACAAAGATAGAGAGCACAAGAACAGAAAGAGTCAAGACTAGGTTGAAGGATTGATTAAGTGATTGTATATTGTTTAACGTCGCGTTTTAAATTTAGACCTTAATTCGGCATTCAGGGCCATTGAGCAGTGAGGGTTCTTTATCGTGCCAACGCCTATCGTGACACGGGTCCTACGTTTGTAAGGTACTAGTAATATTCGATAGACCTGTGACTTTCACTTCTAATGCCGAGCGCTTTAGGTTTGACACAGTGCCGCTAACGAAAACCGAATTCGGGCCTCCCGATCACAAACCGAACGCTCTATCACTAGGCTACCTTGAATGGTTGAAGGAAAATTACAAGGAGAAAGACAAAGCAGTCAAGAGAAGTGCGAGAGAGAACAAGAGGAGATGGATGCCAGAGAAAGCTGAGCGAGCACAGAAAGCAGCCTAGAACGGGAGGCAAAAGGTACTGTACAGCATAGTAAACCAGCTGATAAGAAAGAGTGATAAACAAACAGCAGCGGTGAAGATCAAAGATGGAGAGCTACTGAATATAAAGAAGCGAGGCTTGCTAGATGGAGGGAACATTTTGAGAAAGTGCTCAACTGGGACATTCTAGAGTCACCACCACAAGATGAACAGATGAAGGAGGGGGAAGAGCTAGACACCTCAGTTCAACCACCCACCACACAGGAAATAAGGACTGCACTGATGAAAGGGAAGGCCCCTGGAACAGATCAAATAACTGCAGAAATGTTAAAGGCAAACCTTGATAAGAGCAGCCAGGAATTGAAACACATCAGATATGGAAGGAGGAAAAGGTGTCCAAAGAATGGACCAGAAGACTGATCTGTAAAATTCCTAAGAGAGGCAACTTACAGGACTTCAGCAACTGGAGGGGAGTCACGTTACTGCCCCTAGCCAGCAAAGCACTCAGTATGATCATCATCAACAGAATACAGGCTGGAGTTGACCGCACCCTAAGGAAAGAGCAGGCAGGGGCAGGGTTCCGTAGAGGGAGAGGGACTGTCAATATAAGATCTTCATCCTCAGAAACTTCCTGTAGCAAGTGAACGAAAGGAATGCTACATTGTGCATCCATTCCGTAGACTTTTAGAAAGCTTTCGACTCGCGGTGCCCAGCAACAGCCTTTGGGTCATCTTGAAGAAATATGGGATACATAGAAAAATTATTACGATAGTCAAAGCCCTGTATGACAATTTTCAGTGTTCTGTAATTGGTGACGAGACCACGGACCGTTTTCCTGTGATGACTGGTGTCAAACAAGGATGCTTCATGACAAGCTTCTTGTTCCTCCTAGTGATAGACTGGGTGATGCAACAGACTGTCAAAGAAAAGAGAACAGGAAGTAGATGGGACTTCACCACTATGCTTGAAGACCTTGATTTTGCGGACGACATTGCCCTACTGTCATCAGCAATGAACCATCTTCAGTCCAAGACAACAAAACTGGAAGAAAACGACTTAAGAAGAGTGGCAATTTTGTTGTATATTAATGAAAAATATTAAAACTATAATCTAGAAAATTCTGAGTGAAAATGTTCGAAAGGAAAACGCGCTCACAGCATAATGCCAGTCCGTGCTCAGTGGTGTGCAGACTTTAACAGTTGAACAAACATTAACAATAACACAGCTTGCGCCCAAAAACAGTTCAAGTTTGTTCAATTCTGTACAGAACACTGTACATGGACGGGCGATACTTGTGAGGGGGTTTTACTTTCGAACATTTCTACTCTGAATTTTCTTTATTATAGTTTTAATATTTTTCATTATAACACAAAAATTGACACTCTTCGTAAGTATTAAGAATAAAATTATAATTTGTGAAAGTGCAAGGATGTGTCAAGCAAACCCGTCCAGAAATTCGAAGTTTCAATAATGATCGAATAACTTCGAGATGAAAAAAGATAATTATTATTATATTCTCATGTGAAATGCTCTTGCAACATATAATAAATCGTGATATTTAATTATACAGAAAATTTGAGAAAATATTACATTCAAATCCGTGTCTATGCACCTTTAATAGTGTTGATACATCGTCTATAAGATATATTTTATTACTAATCCAGTGCCCAAATGAGCATAAAGAGAACAAACTTAAGAAGGTTAAAGGACCTTAAATATAGTTGAAAGAAAAAATATCTTGTATATCTAACATTAGGCATAATATGCAAAAATAACATTTCTTAAAATATGTGAAGAAGGTGAAAGCTTGTGGCGGGAAAGAGAAAAGTTATTATTTCGGGAAAATATTTTCCACTGTAAATTTGCAATTTATATTTCAGGCCTTAGTCACAAAGACGCTTTAGTACCTTTTCATCACAATCGGCAATCCTCGGCTGACTCCGCTCCGCTCCATTCAAACCTCGGATGTGATAGGTGGAGGAATACGCAACAGATCGCTACATTTCTCCGCCGGAAACTGCCTTGTCACTCATTTCATATTTCGCTCTGCCTAAAGTTCTTAGAAAAGGTTTCTTTATTAGTGTAATTCCTCGTGTTAATTACAACCAAATGTTAGTATTCTTTGAAAGCAAGAACACAGTGTTGGGCGTGCATCAAAGTAACTCGGATTTCAAAAGTATAATATTTGAATGAAATTCAAATAAGATCACATGACTGAATCAGCAAGATGGATGATCACCGTTGACGTCCGAGGTTATGTGCGAGGTACGAGTCATCCGAGGAACTCCGATTGTTTTCATCAGGTAAAATTAGATAAAATAAGAATTAAGAAATGTCTTAAAAGTAAGTTCACTACTTAGTTTTACAAGAAATCTTATTCTTTTCTTTTTCAACATGATAGAGTGCATATGAATGTTGATATGGATGTTTAAGTCTGGTGCCAGAGTCGTTGAAAACTACTGAATGTGCGTGCCAGGAATTGAGGAAATGTGGACGGAGCTGATTGATTGACTATCCTAGGACTCACAATTTTTCTTTTCATTTTTCATTTTTTTTTTTTTAGAATAATCTGTTGCTCTTATAAAATATAAGGACAACATGTAAAGAAACTCAAATCAGGAAGAAATAGAGTTAAGTTGTGGATAATTCGAGACAGCAGCCTGTGAACAGGTACTTGTGGACAGGACCCCCCCCCCCCCACGATATTTTCAACCCCGGGTTTGTGGGACTTTTTTTCACAAATTACATTTATTACACTTTTGCATCATATGTACTATAGGGAAAAAAACGTGAAAACCCCAAAATAATACCCCATTATACATTATATTATAAGAGAGAAAGGTATGCCACTCTGTTTTGTTTACGTTGTAACCCCAACCGGTGTTTCTGGGTTTAAAACATGGATTTATTGTAGTTTGACCTAAAATGTTGATTCACACTGTCTCTACATATATTTCTGTCTTAGTCCATGCTATCAGATTGATTGCATCTCGTAAGTCCCACATTGACTCCTTAAACAGTTCTCTGATCCCAGAAGACATGACCATAAAAATAAAGCACAGTACAATAAAATTAATATGAACTCACAAACTGTATAGAATACTAGTGCTTGTATTCTATGGGATTGATTCATACATATTGTTTTCTCTTCCATGAGCAAGTTGAGTTTAGTCGACTGAAGTTCACCTCCAGCACCACACTTATTATACCCCCCGCAAACGAAGTTTGGGGGGGGTATATAGGAATCACCTTGTCTGTCTGTCTCTCTGTCCGTCTGTCTGTGCAAACGTGTCCGGTCCATATCTTTCTTATGGAGGGACCTTAGAATCTACTACTCCACACAAAGATTGTCCATGACCGAAAGGTGTGTCATGACCTTGACCCAAGGTCATTTGGGGAAGTTCAAGGTCACTGGAAGAAAAAGTTCATAATTCGTGTCCGGTCCATATCTTTCTTATGGATAAACTTGGTAGGTTCTCATTTCACACAAAGATTGCCCATGACCCAAGGGTGTGTCATGACCTTGACCCAAAGTCATTCGGGGAAGTTCAAGGTCACTGGAAGAAAAAATTCATAATTCGTGTCCGGTCCATATCTTTCTTATGGAGGGACATTAGAATCTACTACTCCACACAAAGATTGTCCATGACCTAAGGGTGTGTCATGACCTTGGCCCAAGGTCATTTGGGGAAGTTCAAGGTCACTGGAAGAAAAAGTTCATAATTCGTGTCCGGTCCATATCTTTCATATGGATAAACTTGGTAGGTTCTCATTTCACTCAAAGATTGCCCATGACCCAAGGGTGTGTCATGACCTTGACCCAAGGTCATTCGGGGAAGTTCAAGGTCACTGGAAGAAAAAGTTCATAATTCGTGTCTGGTCCATATCTTTCTTATGGATAAACTTGGTAGGTTCTCATTTCACACAAAGATTGCCCATGACCCAAGGGTGTGTCGTGACCTTGACCCAAGGTCATTCGGGGAAGTTCAAGGTCACAGGAAGAAAAATTTCATAATTCATGTGTGATACATATCTTTATTATGGAAAAACTTACTTCTGAAAAAACCCAGCGGGGGGTATTTTGTCCCATTTGGACAGTTCTACCAGGTAGTTATCACAACTCTGTCAATTCATCATTTAAACACATCAAAAATTGCTCTCTTTATACTTTTTTCAGGTTTAAAAATGGTTGAAAGCGAAGATATTCTAATTCCTTATCTGACATCTAGGCTTTCGGAAACTTTGTTTTTGTTCCAACAAAAAAGATACCTATGTGATGTTATGATAATTACTGCCAATGGCTTTATCCCAGCTCACAGAGTAGTTCTTGTGGCCGCCAGTAAGTACTTTTATGAAGCGGAAACTACAAGGCACACTTTTGACTCTTCGGACCCAAACTTCCATCTTAATTATGACATTGAGGATGTGAGAAAAGTTGTGAACATGTTATACACGGGTAAAATGACCGTCACCAAGTTTAATGTTGATAGAGTGGCAGCGATTTGTGCGGAATTAAAGCTGAATGACGCTTTAGAAAAATGCATTGTGTTCATGGCAGAGGTTGGTGTAGCGAATCATGTGATGTTAGGATTAGTTGATGTTCCAGAGAGAAATAAAGATGTGGCGGACAAATCTGACAGCAATGTAATTAATGCAGACATTGCAAACCATGAAGGGCAAGGTGTTAACATACTTAACTGTGAGACTGACAGTGGAAAACCTTTAAAAGAAAAAAGTTTGAAAAGGAAATATTCTATCACTGAAAGTGAAAATAATGACCAGAAGAGAGCTCATAAGAAGCCCAAACTTCCTGCTGTGAAAAAAGCAAAGACAAACAAGATGACTACTCCCTCTCACAATGTGTCCGATAAAGAGAGCCATGCCACATCATCATCAGAATCAATGATTACCATAGAGCCCCACCCTGTAATGGCTTCTGAAGAAAATATCAGCTCTCAGGAATCCCTGGAAGTTAGACGCGGCCAGAGTCCAGAACAAGATGAGACTGCCGAAAACTCATTGCCCGAGTCCAATACAGAGCTCACAAAGGTAGAAAAGTTTTCCACTGATACTGATGATACAGCAACAACGTCTCAACTTTGTATGTTTATGGATTTAAATGAACTGAAAGTATATCATTCGAAACCTGCCCATGCTGAAAAAATCACCAAGCAGTTTGACCCTGATGGCTCCATTACGGAGGCTGTAGAGAGGGACCAGGAGTTTCTCACGGTGGGACAGGTGGAGAAGAGGGTCAACTGCAGGAAGTGTAAGATGGTCTTCAAGGACGTGGAGTCGCTCGCGGAGCACCGGCGGGAAATCCACCCATCTAACTGCAAAAAGGAGAGATTTGTGTGTGATATATGTAATGCTAAACCCAACAATCATGTCACTCTTGTGGAACATAAATTTAAGAAGCATGGAATTGCATATGACAAAACCAAGTATCCCATTTATAAGTGTGAGGAACAGGTAGGTATTGCACATTCAAAATTTCAATCTAAATGAAAGAGTTAAGTTTGATAAATTTACAGAATTCAGATTCAGAGGGCATATATTGTGATATGCCAGAAATGCATCATAAATTCCACATTTTTGATAAGTGCATAAAATGTAATTTAATTTCAGAGAGCATGTATTGTAATATCATAAATGTTCTTAAGTACATTAATATGAGTATTTACAGGACTGTGAGTTTCAAACCATCGTCCCTTACAAACTGTCGGAACACAAGACCACTGTCCACTCGGGCCTGGCCTGTATCTGTGAAACATGTGGCCGAGCCTTTAAAAGTAAGAGTGTCCTGCGATACCACATCCAGTCCAATCACTCCGGGACCAGGCCCAAATTTATTTGTAACACATGTGGTAAAACCTACTTCACAGCTCAGGCACTGAAGGTAACCGTATGTAATACAGAATCAAGGTGTATTTATATATTTAATACAGTGCAAAAAAAGAATTATGGTTCAGACATTGAAGGTAACTATCCAAGCTTTCCATATTTAGCATGTGACAAAACCTACTTCAAATGTCAGACAGTGAAGATTATATTACGTTGAATCAGACCCTATCCACATCGTATGTTTGATATATTTTTCAAAAAACATACTTGGTACGAGCATTAGAAGTAAGTGACACAGTCCAACTTTAATATATTTGTAGCATGTTAGGCAAATCCTAGTTCATACTAATTAAATGTTAATAAGAAAGAATCCAGACCAACCTGTATACTTGAGTGTAACATACATATATGTTGCAAATGGGCGTCTTGGGTCATACCCTCTTTTTGCGTTGCACATATGAAACTACATATAATTAAAAATTAATTATGATAACCAAGATAAACAAACTACATGTACCTATTAAACAGGTTTTTATAAAATGATATTCTGTACACTGTAATTCAGTAATTGTTCATTTATGATTTAGAAACACATGGAGTACCACACGGGGACCCAGAAAAGACTCCTTTGCCATCTTTGTCCGTACAGCAGTGTAGGAAAACAGGAGCTGAATAACCACCTACTGAAGTTACACAATGTCCCAGTACCAAGGAAAACTAAAGTGTACGTATAAACCTACTGAAACTCCATAATGTTCCAGTACCAAGGAAAACAAAAGTGTACGTATAAAAGTGCAATCTTGCTGTAACTCAGAGGGAGGGGGTGGGGGTGAGAGATATTGACAGGTGGGTTTGTTGTAAACTTTACTCATGCCCAATCTTTTAGAGTTAAAGACATAGTGAAAAGAAAATAGTACTTGTTCGAACATTAAGTTCATAACATAGCAGCCAACATGCTCAAGTAAATCTGTCTCATTTTTAGAATATTACATAGAGTATTTAGGCAAAGGAAAATGTCCATATTGTGTACTGTATACAGATAAAGTGATTAATTCAGGGGTGTGCAATTAGAAAAATCAATTACTAGCCCACGGGCTAGTGACAGCTATAAAGTTACTAGCCCAAATATAAGTGCAAAAATTAAAATAAAAAAACTATTTGTTGAAAAAAATTAATTGTTGAAAAAGTCAGGGTACTGAGGTCATTCTTTTTAAAATTAAAGTTTAATTCTCACTATGAAATTAAATCATGTATAAATTCTAATGAAAGAAGATTAAAATGAATTTAAATAAATTATCTTCCCTTTTTCTGAACATTGCACCAGCTCATTTAGAATGTAATTTAATTCATTTTGTTTTCATCTTAAATCATTAAATAGACTATAAATATATTTTATGTGAATCATAAAACACTTATCTTTCAGTTGATTGAGTGATCGTATATAATTTAATGAGATATCTGTATGTATTTACCATAAACGAAAGCATAGAGGAAATTCGGATAAGGAAAAAACGATCGTTTTTGGAAGTAAATAAGTCAGGTAGTGCTGCAAAACAGATAAGATTATGGAGATTTACTGAGAGTAGGAGCATGTTGTCAGAAAAATTTTCGATGGTTGGGAATTTGATAGCAAAAACGAGTGAAAATAAGGTTGTGCTTTACATGTATTGCGTGTGTTGTGTACTGTATACAGCCCGATAAGCCCTGGGCGTCGGGCGATGCTAATTGCACACCCCTGAATTAATGATCAGAGTTCTTTGGGTAATATATCAATGTATTTGCTTTGACTTCCAGATATCAATGTGAGAAGTGTGATTACTACTCCTTGAATCGGACCCAATTCAACAGACACGTAGCCATGCATGATGGTAATATAATGTATCATTTTACTGTGTGAAGCCTGTACATACTCTAAAACAGTTGAATTCTTTAAAGAAAACAATTTGGTATGGTCAAATTGTAAATATTTTTTAAAAGCATGAAATTGAGATTTTATTGAGATATTTTGTAAAAAAAAATTTCAGGAGGAGAGAATGCTTTCAAGTGTTCGGAGTGTGATAAAACGTTCCCTTCCATGTATAACTTGAAAAGTCACGAAAAAAGACACAGTAAGTAAACTTGTACACCTTTAAAGGCTCGAAGAACAGAAATATCCATGAGATATCAATCATTAATCAGCTCATTCCTGTTAAAAATGTAGAAATTGTTTTTGGTACAGAGCTGTATTTCTTTGATTTTAGAGTCTTATTTAAAAATTAGTTCCTGAGATGAATATTAAAATATACTTGAGAATATTTCAATTTTTTGTATCCCAAACACTTTATTGTATTTAAGTATTAACTTTTACTTTAATGACTGAGACATTATATGATGTCAGTTTCTACTTATACCTAGTTACATTGAATTGACTTTGTTTTGTTTACAGAGGCAGAGACAGTCAACTGTCCTTATGAAGGCTGTAATTTCTTCACGAAGTTCAAACACATCCTGAAAAACCATATTACAGGAAAACACACTAATACTGTAAGTGTATATAGCAAGTCAGTTAAAAGGGAAAAAAAAACAAACTCGAACACTGTATTTATAGGGCAGTTCAGTTCACAGGAAAACCTACCAACACTGAGAATGTAAAATATAGTGTCACGAGCCTTGCATTAGAGTTTCACATTCAACAATGTCCAGAGCATGTCCATTTAGAACTAAACCAATGTGAATTATATACATTTATAATTTATTTTAGCACCTTGATTGATATGGAAAATATTTATTGTGCCTCTCATACTTTTGTTCTTTCAGAATTTCAAGCCATACAAGTGCCATCTTTGTGATCATAGCTGTAAGTTGAAAGGGAACTTAAACAAACATCTAGTGAACAAACACGGGTTAGAGGTCATGACCGAGGTCAAACAGCGCAAGATAGCCTTGGAAACAGGTCAAGGTTACAATGAGATACTTGTGGATCGTGCCAAGTCTAGGATTGCCTGCACGATCCCTGCAATGTTTCCAGAGGAGGGTCAAGATTGCTGATTCTTGCTTTAAACTAAGCTGACATTTTGTGACTTTGTGTAAATTGGAACAAAAAATGTCTGGAAAGAATTTATTTGAGTAGACAATAAATGGTGAAACAGTGTTTCTAGAAAACTCTAAATTCTTATAGAACTGATATGATGAGTTTTGGCCATGTTGACATTTTTGTTAGGAGAATGTCTTCTACCTCTTCAACATTCCTATTATTTGTCAATATTTGATTTTTTTGTTATAGTGTGGAATATTGCACATACTTTTCATTTGAGGCTAATTTCAAGCTTTTTTCAAAAACAGTTTTTTTAATTGTAGAAATGAAACATTACTTGACATGTTTATTGAAAACAAAGAAAAATTGTTTTCTGATATTTTTATACATTAGGCTTTATTAAAGGACTTCTTGTATTTAAGTTTTCATTTTACCAATCATGTTGAGAATTAGTTTGTGAATATAAACTGCATTTATGTAAAATATGTCTCAGAAAGGGAAATGTTGATTGTGATATCTATTTTTATAGGATTTTTTTTCTTTAGAGAAAATACAGTGTATATCATTCAGAAAATTTGCTTTATCACAAGAAGAGTAAGCTAGGCCTAGATTCATTACTGTTTTATTGAAATGTAAATAGATATTTTTGCACATAAATATACATGTATGAATGACAATAAATGAAAGTCTTTTCCTTATTTATGTTATTTCTTTTAAACTTCACACTTGAAATGACCAAAATATGCATATCAATAAATGAGACACTGTTCATAAGTGATTAAACCCTTCTCAGTAATTCATGTCAACATAACATCAACAACAAACCTATAAATGTTAAATAAGAAAAGCGATTACAATACACATCTGGAGGTGACTGTATATCAATGACTTTATTATAACAAATATACAATGTGCTCACTGAGTATCTTAGAAGGTGGGGGTGCAGGGGAGGGTCTGGAAGAGATATTCTCCTTTTTTTGTTTTTTATTTTATAAATGGGTATCATTTTAGTGGATTTTAGGACATTTTTGCAGCCATTTCTTCACATATCAAATTAAAAAAAAAAGCATTACTATAGAAAGGTAAATAATAATGAATACTGCATATATATTTTGTTTAAGATATATTTCAAGTTTTTGTTATATAGCTTGCAATATCACCCCTGCCCATTGAGATGGCCTTGATATAGACATTCACCATTTCATATGTATTCTCCATTGAATATTTTCGTCAGGTGAAAATAATATGAGCGAGGCAAAATTACTGTTTGATCAACCCTTCTCATGCTTACTCTAAATTCTTGGAAAAAAATCACCTGTTTTAATACTGTCAGATACACTGTGTTTTGGGGAAAAGGAGATTTAAGAAATTAAAAACCAAACATTAATTATTTCGTATCAGACATAACGGCATGGTTTTTAACTTTTTTATTATAAAATTCCAAATTCTTAGTTTTTTTGTTGTTTCTTTATCTTTCTTTATTTTTTTTCAATTTTTTACATTTATAAACTTGGATCTGCAAAACTTTGTCCCTTCTCCTGGTAGAGAGATTCTGGATATTTTGGTAGGCTAATCAACTGAACAGGAGAATTAGATTTTACAACTGTCAAGTAGTCAACAAAAAGCGTGGAGGGAAAAAAAGCACCACCTCACCCAAATAAAGACATTAGCTAAACAACTATTATTTTTTTCCCAAGTTTCAAAAGGCAGTGAAAGGTAGTGCGTTTTGACAGTGTACGGGAGGTAACTCCTAAAACTAGATGGAACTCTTCTATATGTAAGGTACATTTCGTCCCTGAGCACATACCGACGAGAGTGAAGAAGAAGCTTCTGTAGCAACATTTATGCATTCCATCGTGAATTTTTCAGATCAGACAGAAGTATGAGCGGCCGTCAGAATGAAACTTCAGGAAAGTAAGTTTGTTGTACAGAGACATGGTTTGAATGAAGTATATCGTAAACACTTGGCGGTAAATTCGGGTCAGTTGACGACGAGTCTGCACAGACTTGTGTTTTCAGTTTCCACTTGATTGGTCAATGTTATAGTTTGTTAAACCCATGTTTTATGTTGCCTTTTGTACTTTTTTGTAATTTCCCTTATCCTACAATATCTAGTAATAACATCTGTAATCGTAGTAAACTCTCATTTTAAAAAAAAATTAGCTGAATTTTTAAAGCAATGCTAATTTTTATGTATTGATGCTTGGAATGGATCATACGTGCACAATGTCATTGATATAGTTTTCTCTACAGCTATTGCATGTGTTTTCAGAAATCTAAGAAACATGTTATACGTGTCTAATAGATATATTTGAATAAACAGGACCCCCCCCCCCCCTTACACAGTGGCGGTCAGCGGGGTTTGATTGCCGGTGGACAGATAGCTCAGTTGGTAGAACACCTGACCGGAGTTTCAGGGGGCCCAGGTTCGAATCCCGGTCTGGTCCGCTGTATTTTCTTCTCTCCCTTTACATTTGGTGGCATGCCATGCCCTGGAATTGACAGGTGAAAGACCTGCAAGGGATGAGTTTGGGTTGGGGTCTTTGGAGGGCCAAAGACCTTTAAGGAGGGAGGAATGTGGCGGTCAGCCGAGTTCGATCGCCGGTGACCAGATAGCTCAGTTGGTAGAGCACCTGACCGGAGTTTCAGGGGGCCCGGGTTCGAATCCTGGTCTGGTCCACTGCATTTTCTCCTCCCCCGTTACACACACACAAATCAGTGCATTGTGTTTATAGAAAGTTTTTTTTCTCTCTAGAACAAAAAGCATGGATTTGTGACAAACCTTCATCCTCTGTTAGCTTCATAAAGAAATTCTTAAGGTGGAATCAATCTGCATTTTTATTTATCAAGTAATTTGTTTTCCACAATTGCAAGATTTGTTTGTCCCTTAAACATGGCTGTAATTGTTAAATAAAATGGAAAATCACACCTGTATCTAATACATTTTTTTACTGATATAGGCTAGGTGAAAGATGAGCCAGTAAGAATATTTCATGAACTCTGTGTAAATATTTACACACAATATTGGACTTGGCATTGTCACTTTCATATTTCTTTCTATGTAAGATTTTTTTCTATATTATAATGTGAGCCATATCAATTGCAATTGCCACCAAAAAAAAAACTGTTTACCCACAATTTTATAATGTAGCATTTTTGCACTAAGACTCAAGGGATTTTTCAGATTCCCAGTAAATACCTGTAATCAGTTTTTGAGCACTTAACGTGTGCCTCTTTATAAGAGGGTGGGAGGGAAGAAAAGAAATTTAACAAAATTTTAAAGGTACCAGGTAATGTTTTTTTGAGTATCAAACTGTAACAAATGGAATCTCTAAAGTCCCTGGAGCTTTTGAGAGTGTGTATTACCCTTGGTATTTTGTTTGTGCAGTATAATCACTATTTTGCTTTAACGTGTTACTGTTTGTTTTCCGAAGTGAGGATGATGATTTCACTAGTACCACTAGGTCACTGGGAGAGAGGTAACTTAAAAATTAATGTTGTAGTGTCAGTTCTTAATGTAACATTTTGTAACATATAATCAGAAAATCTATAATTATCATATGAAGTCTGGTGAATCTCAAAAGTTAAAAAATACACAAGTGGAATGGCTACCATGTAAATGAACTTTTAGAATAAGTTTCCATTATTTATTTTGCAGAAATGATTGTACATTTTAGATTGATATTCACTGGATCAAAGAAAATACTAATAAAAGTAGCATTAGTTGTTTTATAACCAGTATAGGTGAATGAGTAAAATTGTACATTAATAATGTATGCTTCTAACTTTGGTGCTGGGTGTTTGTGAGAGATAGAGAGAGAGAGCATTGGTGTGGTTGTTTAATTTGATTAATTGTTGATTTATATCTTGATTACCAGGTACACACTATATATGATTTTACAAAAATAATTTTCTTTGCAAAATAAAGATACATGTATACAGTCATGTATTTTGACAAATGTCAATGGGTTGCTTGAAAAAAAAGGAAATACATGTATTTTAGACATGTTAGAAAATAGGGATGTGCGATTTTATCGGTATACCGGTATATCGCGATTTTTTGTTGCGTGATACGTATCGTGATACGGAGACCTAAATACCGGTATTTAAGTACATATTATAAAGTCCAGGAATTATTCATTTATTTGTTTAATCTTTTCAAATTACAATTACAGAAAGTATAAAAATGTTGTAAAACGTGAAAAGAACGGCATCTTATCGTCCAAACATAATTGATTTTATATACATAAATATTTCAAGAAAATGAAATTTTGTTTTTCAAGCAAATTTTTTAGAAAAATAATGACTTTTCATATAAAATCATTGTAAAAACTGCTTTTAAGAATATCATGATTTTATCGTGATATTGTGGGAAAAAAATCGTGATATATCGCGATACGAAATTTTTGGTGATACCCATCCCTATTAGAAAACAAGGTAGTGCAAGTTAAAATTAGAAATTAAATATTAATATTGTGTACACTATGAATTTATAGTTTAAACAAGCACAACTAATCCCTTTTGAATTTATTAAGTCAGTTTTTTTTAAAGTTTAAAATGATTTGTACCATGTATAAAAAATTGTTTTTCTATATTCATGATAAAATATTTTTGACTTAATTTATCTATAGATATGTTTGTTTCACTTTAAAATAAAAAAAAAATGAATTCAAAATTACAAGTAGCATGAAGAAAAAGTAAGACTGTTAAAACATTATGAATTGGAGCTCTGTTTTCTCAGCAATGTTTTTGAATATGTACTAGACTAGTATTTTGTTTTTACTGATGCTCCGCCTCCTTTTTTAGTAGGATGAACATGACCATAGGGCAACAAGCGTAAGTGGCTTCATGTTGTTCCCTCAAATCTTTGTTTTAAACTTGATGAGAATTTTGTACCAAGTTTAAAACCAAAGATTTCCTGCACTTGTCTTGCATATATCTTAAACTAAAATTCCTTAGTCTCTCATGCACCCAAGAGTTGTGTTATATACAATGATAGTTCTAAAACCCATGTCACTCCTCTGTTTCATATGTCAGTGTCCTTTTGGATGAAAAGGAATTTGCACTGTCTGTTTAACAATGCTTTATATGTACAATTTCCAATAAAAGATGCAACCTTTCAATTGGTGAAGGTTACTAATATTTGTTGCACTTGTATATACATATTTGTGTCTGTGTTTCCATTGATGGGCATAAGTATAACTCTATTTGCAATGCTTCTAAGTTACTGTGAAGTCCATTTTGCTAGCACAAAATAAGACTTAATAGCATAGAAATCAGTTGCTTTTGTATTTCATATATTTCCATCCTATTTTTTAAAAAAAATGATTTGGTAGATATTAACCAAGAGAGACATTATTTGATTATGTTTACTGCTTGCTTCTAATTTCAGTGAAAATCAAGCCAAGTTTTGTCAAGCTAGAGTAGCCAATGCAGAGAAGTACCTGGGGTCACTTTGTGAGGTAATGGGGTCAATCACACGGAAAACGGCCAGGATTCGAGACAAAGGTATATAGTCAGATCGCTGTTACTTGATTGGACAGAGTTTCATTGACCATTAATTACCATGCTTCATTATTACAGGCCTTGGATGTTGTGTGCATTGATACAATTATTTCATAGTAGGCATTCATGTGGATCCAAAGAATATCCTCAGAGTTATTGGTCTTGTTTTTTTAATTGAATATGTATTTATTCTATTAAATAAGTCAGAATAAAAAGCATTTGCAACCTCTACAATATATTAGTGTTCATGTGTAATCATATTTTGTGTTTGCTGATACACCTCTATTTTCATTCCTTTTAAAATTAGCTCAAAATATAACTTTTTTGGTTGAGAGCTTCAGTGTTTTCATGTCTTTTCCTAAGAGATTTTCATATGATATAAGGATTGCTATTTTCCATAAAAAATTTCTGAGTTCTATGTAATGTACTTTTGTATCTTTAGGTGACATTTTAGCCAAAATATGTAAGGACTATTCAGATGAGGAGACAGTTAGTCACTCACTGAAGGCAGGTCTACGATTTTGTGCCGAGAACTTATCTGTGATACAGGACTACAGGCATGCTCAAGTACAGAGACTGGAGTCAAAGGTCGTCAGACCCCTCAGTGACTATGGCAACATCTGTAAACAAATCAAAGTAAGTAACAAGTACAGAGACTGAAGTCAAAGGTCGTCAGACCCCTCAGTGACTATGGCAACATCTGTAAACAAATCAAAGTAAGTAACAAGTACAGAGACTGGAGTCAAAGGTCGTGAGGCCACTCAGTGACTATGACAACATCTGTAAACAAATCAAAGTAAGTAACAAGTGCAGAGACTGGAGTCAAAGGTCGTCAGACCGCTCAGTGACTATGGCAACATCTGTAAACAAATCAAAGTAAGTAACAAGTACAGAGACTGGAGTCAAAGGTCGTTAGACCACTCAGTGACTATGGCAACATCTGTAAACAAATCAAAGTAAGTAACAAGTACAGAGACTGGAGTCAAAGGTCGTCAGACCCCTCAGTGACTATGGCAACATCTGTAAACAAATCAAAGTAAGTAACAAGTACAGAGACTGGAGTCAAAGGTTGCCAGACCCCTCAGTGACTATGGCAACATCTGTAAACAAATCAAAGAGAGAGTAACAAGTTTATTTTACAGAGATTGTGAGTCTATTTTAAGGTCGTTAGACCACTCAGTGACTATGGCAACATCAGCTAGATATCTATGTGTTTATCTGTTTATTTTACAGGCTGGTGTGAAGAGGGTGCTAGATGTCTATGTGTTTATCTGTTTATTTTACAGGCTGTTGTACATGTAATATGTTTATCTGTTTTTTGTACAGGCTGGTGTGAAGCGGGAGCTAGATGCTGTCAAAAGAGAAGATAAGAAAAAGACAGATCTTCAGAAATTACGCTCTAAAAATCCAGCAAATACTCACCAGATTGTATCCTTATACAGTAAAACTCTATTATAAAAAAGTGCAGGGGATGAGCGATTTTCTTGCTTCTTTGTAATCGTAATTTATCATATCCAATAAAATATTTCAAAGTTGCAGGGAATGAAAATCAGTTTGCTAAAAGTGTCATTTGACTTTAATTAATTACTTGACACTTATCGAACAAGTTCACATTCCTTAACTCAGATCCAGAGCAGAGTAAGTATTGAAATAATGAAGAGAATATAACCAGAGAGATCAGCCACTGAACAAGAAATCCTTCCTTAATAATAACTATTTAAATGAATAATTTCAAAATCAAAGTCTTGTAAAAAGTTCTGAAATGTAAACAATTGACATTAAAAGTTACTCTTAATTTGTTTTCCCATTAATCATGTTATGATGGATTGCAGGCTCAGTCTGATGTTGAGAGAGCCAGGGAGAATGCCTCTATAGGAAGTAAACATCTAGAGGAACAAATGGTCACGTTTGAGAAACGGAGGCTTCATGATATTAAAGTAGGTCATGTTCAAGAAATAACTTAATACAATTAACTTGAGGTATAGATATCTTCATTTTTTCTTTGCAGTCAGAATGCCTGTTCTTTTTACAATGTCATTTTACAGCTGTGTTAAAATATTTTTTTATGCCCCTCTTCGCTCCCCATAAAAGAAGACCAAGTTTGATGGGGTTTACTGTCACGCCATCTAGTGAGATGATATATATTTAACTCTACTGACCTTTGCTATTGGCCAATCAGGGTAAATGAATTCAGCAGAGAATTCAAGATAATATTGGAAGTTGGTAATAAATTCAATATAATTCAACTAAAAAGCTGAGACAAACCTTTAACTGGGCTATTTAATGATAAAGGTGTTACCTTTGGGACTAAAACTGGCTTGTTTTTCTGTTTACAATTTAGTTTTATTTTCTTCACAACCGTTGCACATACTGAAATATTTGCTATACAGATTTTATATGAATTTCTAGGTCAAGTTCTGTATTGGGTAAGATCGAGCCATTTTGACAGAGTTATGTCCCTTGGACTTTAAAAAATTCCAATTATTTAGTAGAGGGGGCATAAGTGTTATACAAACATCTCTTGTTTGTGATTGCACAAAACAGAGTAAGTTTAATATAGAAAGCAGATAAACTAAGCATTTCTTTTTTTCTTTACAGTCTTCCATGCTAGATTATTTTAAAGTTCAGTTAGTTTTCCATGCCAAAGCTATAGAGTTTTATTCCAAGTGCTTTGAGAGTATGTCCCTGATCGATGAGGAGAGGGATTTACAGGTAAACATGGCAAATAAATTGCAAATCATGTCACTTCTATAATTTGTATGTTAAAAAAAATTCCCATGAATTCACTTGACAAAGTATACAAAGATGATAATGTTAGTGTGGAAATCTTAAGATAAGATAGGAATATAAGAAATGTTTCTCATAAATATCCCACCGTGCTAATGTCTAGATACATATTTCATTCAATATGAACGATGATATATGGATATTGTGAAATAACCAACACACATATGTTATTTACCAATTCTCATAATAAGCATTCATGTACCCTGGTAAATTTTATCCATGCAAGATCTTACCTGGTATTACTCTTTGTATGTGGGAAAAATCTGTAGAACATATTTTCTCAGCTTATAACAAGTGAATGTATATGTCTTTGTTTCAGGAATTTCAGAGGAAGTTGTCGATGGCCAGGGGAGCCCCGGACTCTGAGGACATTAGTCACGCCCTGACCTCAATGACAACAACGAATGGACACTCAGATACACTCGGCAGCACAGACCCCTATACCTCAACGTACGAGTCAACAGCCTCGGATCAACGACGAGTACGCATTAGTCAAACTGTAAGACTTCATTTGTTTGATTATTTTGAAATTAGTATAATACAACTCTGACTAGTTATGTACATGTACATGTATATGTATGGACCCCTCATATTTTATTTGGCTGTATTTGCTTTCTACAGTGGGCAATGCAGACAGGAAAACATACCTCGAAAGTAGTAACATGGCTTTATTTAAGGGATTCTGATTCAAGAAAGAGATACCATGTTTCTTCTTTCATTTCATTCTTTTTTTCCCATAATTCTTGGATTTTACAACTTGAATGCTGGCAGGGGACATTCATGACATACTGACTCATCTAGTTTAATTCTTATGACACTTTTAACAAAAACCAATTATGCAGCTTAAGCCCTAAAAAAGGATGGATGACATGTGCGGATCTAGAAGGGGGGGGGGATAGAGTTATTAAATGTATATACTAAATCATGAGTGATCTAGGACACCCCCACCCCTTTACCCCTTGGGGAACTCAGACCCCTCCTTGAAAATGCAGATCTATGTGAAATTGATATGAAAAGTCATAGGTCTGAAGCTTGAAAGTCAACCAATATCCCCCCACCCCCATCCCAAGAAACAGGTTTTTCACTTTTGGGAATTTTTTTTTTGACTGGAGTGGACCCCCCCTCCCCTCCTGGAAAAAATTCCTGGATCGATGCATGGATGGCCATCTCAAAGTTTTAAATATGTAATTCAGTATGCTACAGATTTGCAACTATCAATTAAGAAGAACTTGTATGGCAACAGAGCTGCTTTTCTTATTCTTTAGTTCATTTTTATCGAAATATGATCTTTGACAAACCACCAATTTGTCTATTAAGTTATTAATAAATTTTCATTAATAATGGTATTCCAATCATTGAAAAATCTTCAATCTAATTAAAATTAGATCCTTTACGCTCCTTTATTTTGTTATGTCGCTGTAAAGCGACATAACAAAATAAAGGAGTGTAAAGGATCTAATTTTAATTAGATTGAAAAATCTTTTGTTTGTAGTAACCAAATTTCAGGTAAATAAAGTGTTACATGCATTCAGTAGACCTGTCACTTTATTTATAGATTAAACAACATAATTATATGATGTTTGCTAGCTTTTTATGCTAGAATAAATATACAGTTCAGCACAATTCACATATATACACATGTGATTTTGATATACCGGTAACTGTGAGACTTGATTGTATATGCTGTATGTTTCATATGAATTTTTTTTACACATACTTCATAGGTGTTTAATTAAAATCAACTCATAAACTTTCATCATATAATCCATTTCCTCTGGGAAATCCATTTAGATTTGTTTTCTTTTATACATCTATAATATCCACATTGTTTCACTGTATAGTGTTAATATATTACAGTAAGTTTTCTGTACATCCACAATATTAGATAAACATCACATAGGCATTCTTAAGCTCAGGAATTCATATTCCATAAAACAGAGTAGTTGTAAATAATCCAAGGAATACATTTTAAATTGATGTTCTAAAAGATTCATTCCATTTATGATATTAATGAAGGAGATGATTGATGACTGGTATTTATGGTTATCTGCATTCATTATTGACTGTATTTAACTATCTTTATTTTTCAGTCTACAATGTATGGTGATGATGATGATGAAGACGATGACGATGATTATTATGATGATGATGAATATGATTTATCAACAGCAAGATGAAAGTGAGAGTATAAACTGCGCAACACTAGATATAAATATCTTCAGAAGTTCTGGACAGTAGTTGGTAGTCATCCGTTTCATCTTCATTGCTTCATCAGACAGCTAGTGTACAGAGGAATATCTCATTTCATTAGAACTAGTAACTGTAGAGTTACCACTAAAAGTCACTTTTTATAAAGAAGTAGTACAGTTGTATCACAGAGGTGCTTGAATTGTTTAAAGTGTTATAAATATAGTGATACATGTAGAGAACTTCAATCAAATCTGTGTAATACATTTTTGATGTAATTTTACAGAAAAATATATGCTGTGAAGTAGCTATATTACATTCCTATCAAACCTCTTGGCTTTTATTTTCAGGTAAATCCTCATAATCTGTTATTTTATAAAAGATCCCCTATAATTTGTATCAACATCAATTATATTATGCCACCAAAATAGTGAATAATGAAATAGAGACCGAGTAGCATTTTTCATTTCAATGATTTTATGAATTAATGTAAAGTCTACCTTGGTCTTCCATGTTTGTAAATAAGAACACTTTATGTGACAAAATAAGGCACCTGAATACAAGTGAGCATATTGAAAAATTTATTTAATAAGTTATAAATATATACTGAATAATATAATAAGTATTATGATAAAAAGAACAATTTTATGGGCACCTCAGAAGGATCCAAATGTTGTGACTTTTATATTACATCGATTTTTTATTGGTCAAAAGTTTCCATGACGAAATATTATAAGCCTGTTTATAAAAATCTGTGATATTTTGTCAAATCTGTCTCAGATGACCTAATTTATGTCATGACTAAAACTAACTTTTTATTTATTATATGTTTAATTCTATATACTAAATGGTTGATTCTTTTTTATTTTATTGCCAACTGTTTTTATTTGCTAGAACAAATTTAATGAGTAAAATTTATAATTTAACTTAGATTAAATTTCATATATGAATATTAAAGAAAAATAAATAGAAAAAACAAAGGATTCCTCTAATTTTTTGATATGTGTGTCTGTGCATGAGGGTGTGTGTGTGTGTGTGTGGGGGGGTTAACTCACCTCAATGAAGTCATCAGGATGAGTTAACATGTATGCCATGACCCTGGCATCAGTTATTAATTTAACTGTCAGTGTGCCAGTTGAAGCTCTAGGAGCAAGTCTACTCCCAGGTACCTAATAATCCTGTCAGGACCAGAGTTGCATGGATGTTGCATCAAGGGATGGACACTCTACGTACCAGACTTGCTGACCAGATACTTGAAATGACCTATAAACACCTGACACAAAGTTTTCTGCAATATTTAAATAAAAACCAAAATCAAAAAAAGGTTTGTTTTTTTAAACAGACAGAAACATGCTATACATTGAGATATTATCCGTATGATAATATAGTTATTAGTTTCAATCTTCTTTTATTAATAGAATATGCAGCTGACAAAAATACCAAGATCAAAACCAAACCTTTTTTCATTTGAAGTGATATATCATTGGCATAATATGATAGGCCTATATATTTTCATGATATTCATTGTTTTTAAAAATGTCATCTGATCATGATTATCAGATTATAGGACTTTGTTCATGCATGTGGCGTCTGAAAAATTTACGACTATTTTACTTTTTAAATCATAATAAATATCAAAAAAAAAAATAGCCACGGGGGAATAGTTTATTATCTCAAGTCGATCAGGGAATATGTTCTAATCATGTAATATTCCTCCCACGTGGCTAATTATGCAAGTTCATAATACGCATGCGTCACCGGATCCACAATGCCAGGTCATGTCATTGATCAATGAAAGGAAAGTAGACGATGCTGAAGCAGGGTCGGTTTCATGAATGTGGAATAAAACGGTGAAGTATAACCAAGCTTGTAACAAATGGAGGTTAAAAAATGTCAGAGTCTGTAGAAAATTGTCAGAGTTGTGATATCGAACCATTATTTGACGAATTTCCACACATTTGAAGTGAATATATTTGAAACATGAACAGACGAGCTTTGTTCTGCTTTGTGATCAGCTGTGTGCTGCTTCTGGCGCCGGCGGGGATCTCAGCCTCTTCAGAGGCGGGGGAGCACAAGAACGAGACAGAGAGATATAAACTGGTGGTGTTTGATTTTGACCGAGTGGAGCTTCCCCTAGTGATATGTCTGTGGATCCTCATTGTGGCATTAGCCAAAATTGGTCACGAAATATTTATCTTCTTTTAATAAAGTTACCCCTACTATAAAAATACACAAATATTTCGTGACAAGCCCCTGTGGGTACAGAATGGGTGAGAATAGCAGTCTTAAACTGCTAACATGGTCCTTCTGCCTAAATTATATGCTTAAAGGGCTGTGCTCATTCTCAAAAGAAATTCAGGTCCTGAAGAAGGAAAGGCTATACTTTTCAAAAATTATCAATTTAAGTGTCAATGCTGCTGCATTACGTGTGGAGCATTTTCAGAAATTAGCTCTACTCATACTGACAATGATAACCCTCTTCCTCCTCAAAGAATAAATGGTTCAGCTGATAGATTAAATGTGTCCTGATATTCTGTATGCACAATGGATTGTAAAACTTTCTACTAAAACATATTGAATGTATACAGTAATACTGATGTACATAGTTAATACTTAAAATAAATTCCTCTTCCTCAGTATTATCTCTCATCTGTTTACGTATTCTTTACTCAGTGTTTGAGTTTTCGTGACTAATTCCTCAAAGGTGGACCGGTTTCTGAGTAATCCTGGAGTTTTTGTTAGATAAATTTTGAAGAGTAAACATGTTGGGCAACAAAATGATAACTGAAAGATAGCAATAAGAGTTTGACATTTAATCTTTAGAGACAGGGAGATCACAAAAGTCATGTGTCTGTTTATAAAATCATCAATTTTCTTGAGCCAAAACACACATCTAGCAACATAAATTAACAATGAAGTGATTTTTTATTCCCTGTGACTTTAAAATACATTGCATGTTGATAACAGGTATAACAAATTACATTCATAATATAAATAAATCTTCTGTCTCTTAGACACCTAATCATAAGTGTTTTACAGTAGTCACAAGAAAATTTTACATGATTTTACATTGTTGAATTATAAATATTTCAAATGGAATGAAAGTCTGATTCAGAAATCGATTCTAATCAATTTTAAAATGGTAGACTAGAGATTCTAATGGCTTTTAATGGATATTTATTTTTTAAATTTTATGATAGGTACTGATTACATTAACATTATACCATTATTTTCCACAAAATCTTAGTACTGTGTGTTTACAAAAAGAATTCAAACATTAACAACCCTTTCAATTTTTTTTTTCAATTTTCCCTTAAATTTGACCCACTATTGATTGTAAAGAATATTAACCACAGTCAGCAGGTTGCTATATCAGCAAGTTTCACAAACCCACCAATCTTATTATATTGTTTTGTACATATATTTTATGCACAATTTTCTTGTAACATCACTCATTATGAAACTGGTCATTTTAATCTTGAAATCTTTTTGAATCCAATGCAGGATAAAAAAAAAATCAAAACATGAGACAGAGAGATCAAAAACAGTTCTTCCTGAAGAGGTATCCTGTTTAAAATAGATCCAATTATTTTAATATTTAGATACTGATTGATTAAATATTTGCATAAACTTTAACGATATTGCTTACAGTTGAACAACTTATTAAATCCACCCTTTAATAGACTTGGTATGTGCATGTTATCCTGCATTATGAAGATAAACTTTTACTTAAGATTTTCACATATAGCCTGATCTATGCAATAACTGGCTCTAATTTCTGACGAAGACTACAAAACAGAGAATTAGACATTCTCTTTGGTGCTGGGATAGGCTAAGATATGAATCAGAGATCACTTCCTGGGTGATCAGATGTGATTATTTGCTGAGACAGACTATGTAATAAATGTTAATTCTACCCTGGGGTGTGTAGTAAAAAAAATCTTCCCACAAGGGATTGTAGATTTGTTTGTAGTCCTGGCTATGTAGATGTTTTTATCTGACCTAAGGTGCAGTTTTAATCTGCCAAGGAGATGTAATTTTAAGATCTCTTAAGTTTATCATTAAGATTAAAAATTCATGGCAGAACTCTATCCTAGACAAATGTTCGCATCAGTAATTATTGATGTTAAGTGTGAAGTTGTTTGGGGCTCTCCATGTAATATGTGTGAACGTAGATCTCCAAGTAATAAGAGTATGTAAACTGTTCAGTGATAGTCCCGGACTGCCTGCTTATTCCGTAGACACACATAGATAGATATCACACCCTTCGTGTCAAGAATTGTGCAAACAATCATGTTATCTGAGGTGGCTAGTTAACATTTACATTTAAAAAGTTTACTGTGGTATATGTTGGAGAAAATGTGTTCTTCTCAATAAAACCAAGTATAGTCAGTTTTTAGGGTGTGGTGGTGGGAGTGGGAGGTTGAAGGGGATTAACCCCACTCTACAGACTGGTACTGCTTGGTTTCACATTCACTACAAACAAAACAAAGCCTTCAAGTTCAATTCATGTCAACCTAAATGTTCTTTCAAATTAGAAATTATGGTGTCATTAAATTATTCTTTCTTGATAGGGTAATCAGAAAAATCCTTGGACAATTCAGTGTAAAATAAAATAAAATTCATATAGAAATGTCAATTTGCTACCCCAGTTTTGCTGTTTGGTTTTGGACCCATTGGGCCTTGTGTTCTGTTAAGTCTTGGACCCATGGACCTTTTGAACTGTGAAGTCTTTGACCCATGGGCCTTTTGTTCTGTTTTGTCTTGGACCCATGGGCCTTTTGATGGGTGAAGTCTTTAACCCATGGGCCTTTTGTTCTGTTTTGTCTTGGACCCATGGGCCTTTTGATGGTGAGATGGGGCCATGATTATTTTGTTCATGGGACTAGCTGTTTATCAGATGAAAGCAAAAGCAGGATAGTACTGTATAAACAAAAATTGTGTCACTGTTAAAGGGACAGCAATCCAGATTAGTTAATCTGAGTCAAAATTCGAAAAGTACAGTGTACCAGATTATAGGATACCATTTCATGAGTATGATAACTTCTATAATGAAAACAGCTAGCAGTTTGTCCACAGAGAATGCCATTACTTGATCATTTTGTATTAAACAAGAAAAGAAATCATTTCTGTTTGAAAACCATTTAGCAATTAACTAGTAATAACAATGTCACAGCATTCTGAAAATGCAGCATTGAACTATTCCACAGAGGGATGGGGTGGGAGTTTGATTTCCTTCTTAATGATAGAATCTCAAGAAGGTACAATGTACTGGTATTAAGTTCCCACACAAATTTAGGTCAACTTGTGTTTCTTGGTAACACTATGCATTGCTTAAGAAAGCTATTCTCTGATGAAATGCATAGTAATCTTATAAATTTAGAGCAAACATTTTTAATAGGTAGATGTCTGACTGTGTCAATGTTGCCAGAGTCTATATACAAAGCGGATCATACATGCAGGTTTCCTGGCAAGGTGTTGATAGTTGAGCATCGTGCAGGTTTATACACACACCAGGTTTTGATTAGTAATACTAATTATGCCATGTTGGAAATTAAAGGCAGTTTTTTTTGACACTCTGCCTAAGACTTTGTCTTAACAGTGGGTGCACTCTCAAAATCAAACTGAGTGCACTCTGTTGTTCACATAAAACCACTTGTTGCTGAGGCTTGCGTACCAGTGAAAGATATCAAGATCAAATTTTTAGCAGGTTCTTTTTTCTAGTCAACATCCTGGTATTGTTTAATTTAAAAAATAAAAACTTTGGTATTGGAGGAGAATGGGCCACATGGTACCTATAACAACAAAAACAGCTGTTCTAAATGGTATTATAGAAGCCCACACATTGCCATAAGTCAATACTGATGTTTACAGAGGTGTTAATGTTACGGATCAGAATGTATATATAAGGCTTAAATACAAGTCTATGATGTCAACAAAAAGTGTGAAATTTTCCTGTAGAAAGTGAGAAATTGCTCCAAAGTCTCACTTAAGTCAGAGCTGTAATACCATATGATTTTTTTAATCTGGAAACAACAATACATTTAACTCTCTCTGAAACAAGAAGTGTTTATGAAACACTGATGCCATCATATGGCAGCTTATGGCAAGGGTTGAATTTTCTCAAGTGCATGTCAAACTCCAAAGGTCAAGGTCAAAAGTTCAATGTTGGTACCCAAAGGAAGGTCTTGTTACAAGGAATACACCTGTGAAATATGAAAGCCCTAGTTCTAACTGTTCAAAAGTTATGACCAAGGTCAAAGTTTTTAAAAAGTGGGTCAAACTCAGTTCAAGGTCAAAATGTCAAAAATATTTATACCAGCTGAAAGGTCTTGTCACAATAAATACACATGTGATTAAGTATGAAAGCCCTAGCTCCAACTGTTCAAAAGTTATGGTAAAGTTAAAGTGTGGAGTTTTTTTTGTAAAAGTAGGTCAAACTCCAGGGTCAAGGTCAAAAGGTCAAATTTAGTGGTACCTAAATAAAGGTTATGTCACAAAGAATACACCTGTGAAATATGAAGCCATAGGCCAAACCACTCAATAGTTATGGGCTAGGTTAAAGTTGACAACCGACAGAAAAACAAACAGACAGACAGACAGATAGGACAAAAACAATATATACCCCTGGGATCTTTCCATACGGGGGCATAAAAATATCATCTTTGGGATTCTTCCCTTTGGAAGATCCATACAAAGTATTTTCTGGAGAAGGTTTTCTAGTTGCTATAAACCAAAAAAAAATTCTCTAAAAGTATAGAAAGTTGATTGTGTTATGTCTTTAAATTTAAACCTACTAATCCATTAACAGCAATGTTCAGCTCACCCTAGATAATTGCTCAAGTGAGCTTCTCTGATCAAGGAATGCCCTGCTACAGTCTGTGTGTCTGTCTGTATGTGTTAACTGGGTATTGCTTATAAACTTTTCAAGTCTTGATCCTCATCTCTTGACTAGCATAAATTATTCAACTTCAACCAAACTATGCCTCAAAGGAATCAAATTTATTAGGTGATTCATTGATTGATTGTATTATGTTGTTTTAAATTCCATTCAAGAATGTTTCACTAATATAGAGGCATCACTTTATACCGGTGAAGGGCATCAAATTTTGACCTTTACTCCGCACTCACAAATTAGAGGCCTGGTTATTCAAGATACCAGTACTTTCTGTGGACAAACAGCCACTGGTTGTTGCTCTTGCAGAGTTGGTACTCAAAATCTAGGGTTATAAGTGAAATTGTTTAATGTCTTTTACATAAAAAAAAAACTGTTTGACTATTATAAAAAAAAAATAAACTGTGTGACACATTCAAAAAATTGGATTGAAGTTATATCCCTGTAGAAGTTACATGTACAATTATGTAAAACTTATGAAAAATGTGTTTGTTTTTGTTAAGCAAGAAAACAGGATTTACATTTTGAGATGAATTTTTTATAATTAAGTGCCATTTTATGAAAAATGTACTTTGGGCATTAATTTCTCGTCAGGTAATACATATAACTATTTATTGCTATAGTGATTTTACTCTTGGATTAAAAAGATTCTATTTAGCCTCAGAGCAAAATAAAGAAAGTTGAGATTTCTGCTAGCTGAGAGAAGTCGGGAGCTAAAGTGCCTTGTTTGCTAAATCCACCTGTCTCTGTTTGTAATCAAGATTTATATTTCTGTGTAAAATTCAGATCCAGCATGTCACTTTGTGTTGAACGTCTTACCAAAGAAATTGCCAGTTTATCAGTCTAAGGTAAAGACAGCCTTGTTACAGGGCAAGAGGAAATGATCAAGAACCAGTAAAATGTACTTTAAATTACTTTTCCAATAAGCATTAATGAAGCATCAGTTTATTGAATGAAAGATACTGTCACTCAGTCAAAAGATACTGACACTGATAAAAAAAAATGTATAAGAAACTGTAAGAGTTATTCCCCTTTACACAGCATTTAATTTTTAATGTGTATATTCAGAGTATTAGCTTTCACCTATATAAAATTAGATCATTAGACATTAATAATTCTCAAGAAATTGCTAATGGGGACACATGGGTCCAGAGAACTTTCCTATCATGACTTATTTTTATTGCACCATCATTTTAATACAGATGAAATAGGGCTGTGTATTGAGCCAAAAATTTCGATACGATACAATATTTTTTAAAGCGATACGCGATATATTGAATTCTGAAACAAGTCCATCAGAAAAGCTTTCTAAATCTTTTTAATGCATACATTTTATAACAATTAAGTGTTTTATTACCCATTTGAAAATTCTTATCTTATTGTCTTTAAAAATAACACTTCAATTAAAACTTTTCATGACAGTAAAATCATCATGTTAAAAAAAAAATTCTCTTTGTATTTTCTAATAATTATAAAAACTGTGTTATTTCCTAAGAATTATATAATTATTGAAGGTTTTCATTCAAAAAAGTAAAATATAATCTTTGATGATTGAAATTCCCATCTTTTAAACAGAATTTGAAGAAAAAAATATCTGTCCGATACGTATTGGAAGTTACTTTTCGATACGATATTTTTCTTGAATATCGATATGTATCGATATATCGATATATTGATACAGCCCTAAGGTGTAGTTCCTTCAAATACCTTTTTTTTTTTCAATGTTTCACAATTTCTAGTAATCTAGTTAGTGAACTCCATTTAATGAATTCTTTTTTAATTTTTTTTTTCTTGATAAATCATGAATACTAGTATATAGCTACAGATCAAATATAAATCAGGTGATGAGAGATTTGACCAAGATAAGATCTGATGGCAGAATTAATAAAATGTATATACATGTACCAGCATGCCAAAAAACCTTAGATGTAAACCAGCCAATGAACTTCACACTAGGTGTTAAACAGACCCCATCTGATGATATTTAATCCAAGATCTTAATCTGACGTCACTGACAGACGGAAATAGAGGCTGCACTGGATCACAATAAAGAAATGGTTAATTGTAGCTGTACAAAATAATGCAAAGGCTCCAAATTCTGCATACAATCTATTTACATCAGAGAATCTTTTCTTTGTAAAGGATTCATGTCTTTAATTAATATTGGGGTCTGCTGTGATATAATAAAATATGGAGGAGATTTATTATTTCTGACAGTGTCATTTTTTCCCTAAGGAAAATAATGAGATGTATTTTTGTGCCCCAGTAATCAAAGAAACAGGGACGTAGTTTTTGGTCTCTCTGTTTTAATGATTAAAACTAGGGCTTTCATGTTTTCACTTATATGTATTCCTTGTGACAAGACCTTTCTTTTGATCAATACAAAAATTTTTACCTTGACTTACTTTTAAAATATTAACTTAAACCTTGGCCATAACTTATGAACAGTTGGGCTAGCATTTTTATGCACCTGAATTTATCCGGGGCGTATATTGTTTTTGTCCTGTCTGTCTGTTTTTCTGTTTAGCTGTTTGTCTGTTTGTCTGTCTGTTGTCAACTTTAACCTTCGCCATAACTTTTGAATCATGAGAGGTAGAGACTTCATATTTGGTATGCCTACTCCACTAATTAAGCACTTTCAACTGACACCAAGGTCAATGACTTTGTGACCTTGACTGTGACCTATATGCTTATAATAGCTTTTTCGAACTTTTGCCATAACTTTTGAACCATAGGAGATAGAGACTTCATATTTGGTATGCATACTCCACTAATTAAGTTCTTTCAAATACGAACAAGATCAATGACTTTCTGACCTTGACTGTAACCTTTATGCTAAAAAAAGCTTTTTTGAACTTTCGCCATAACTTTTGAACCATAGAAGATAGAGACTTTACATTTGGTATGCATACTCCACTAATTAATTGCTTTCAAATGACACCAATGACAATGGTTATGTGACCTTGACTGTGACCTATTTGCTAAAAATTGCTTTTTAGAACATTGTTCCCATTGGGCGCACAAACACATCTTGTTTACATTTATATTCATTGTAATAAGTATTCTTGGGTACATTTTCGCTAGCCAAGGGTTTCTGATATGCTCCTCTCCTCATAATCCCTTGGCATACGGTGAAGTCAAAAGACGGGATTGTTTTCGTCACGTGATCTCAAATCTATCAGGTACGCACAGATTGCGTCATCGACAGAAATATAGACTCATGTTTAAAAAAAATTTAATCAAAGTTTTTTTCAAGAATAATTAAGAAGCAATAATTGAGTTATGTTTATTTATTATCTATAGTACAAATCTGAAGCTTAAATGTAGATTCTTAATCACATATTTAGAAGATATTGGATGACACCATAGCTATTCACAGAATTGCATGTTATCTTACGGATTGTTGTTTACTTGCGTTTTTCATTCCCGAGATTAAAGAGTCAAGAAGTATCCCGAACGCAAATAACGTCATTTACAAAAAACAATTGCTGATTGGTTGACTGGGTGTACCGAATCCCGAGAAAAAAAACCCAACTTCTATCAACACCATATACCAAGGGATTATGAGGAGAGAAGCGTATCAGAAACCCTTGGCTAGCGAAGATGCTTTGGGTACCATTTGACCACTTTATCTTGCAATATGGAGTTTGGTTCACTTTCTGAACAGTTGGTGCTACTATTAAGGCTTTGTATTTGTACCAGACATTAGTGTTTTTCTTCTGACAAGATCCTTCTTTTAGTACCAACATTTTTGACCTCATGACCTTGACCTCAGAATTTTACCTACTTTTTAAAGACTTTGACCTTATCAATGAGCTGCCAAAGGGCACAAGTTTTTCACAATCACATCTATAGATTTAACTTTTCTTTATACTGAACATTTCTTCCTTTGGCAGTTGAGAATAGGGGATTTCAAAGGAAAATTTTCAGCTAAATTTTACACAGTCAAATTACTAAAAATGATTTTGAATAGCCTTTTGTTGATTCTTGGAAAACTGAAAATTATTTGAAATTTAGAAATTTTACCATTTCAGTATTTTTTCTTCCATTCTGTTGATGTATTACCATAAAATATTTCACTTCTATTTCTAAGCACTCTAATGAATGAATGTAGACTGAATGGCCATTATTATACATAATTGAAGAAATATGAGGCTTCAGTGCTCCCATAAGACCTGCCTTTACCTTGACCTCTACAGCCAATATATTACAGTGGTATTAGCATCACACTCCCATATTGTCTGGTGTAATTGTACTCTTAATCCAAGTACAACTGTATTGCATTGTTTGTGCTGTTACATTGAGTAACAGCTAGAGGTTTTCGCTGAGTGGGGGAACATGACAAGTCAAGGTTGTGTATATATATAGCCAAGGACAGTGCTACTGTATTATGAACTAAGCATAAACACACACTTAATTTAAAATAAAGAAATAGTAACATATACAATTTTAGACAAATGATTTGAATAAAAAATAATACTCCACAAAGAGCTTAACAAAATGTAGTCAGCCATTTACTTATAAGAAGGCAAAATGATCCAAAATATTTGAATGATTCAAAATAAAAAAAGTATTGCTTTCATGTGACCCAATATGCAGTTAATATTATGATTAATTTCATGTGTCTAGACACCAATTAACTCTGAATCTTACACAATTTTTATGTTTTTGATGCATCTAACATCTTTTTTGTGTTGCTTGTGTATATAACTATATTTCACAATTTTTTTGTACCGGTACTTCTTCATTGCAAAAAAACTTATACTGTTACAATAAAAAAAATCCTGACAATCTTCTAAACATCAATGTTAGTTATGTAATAGGTGTCAAGAAATAAAGTATATAAAAAATCCACATCTCACATCAACATATGGTCCATATGAGCAGTGTTAGGTGTCAAGCTTTTGGCAAATAGAGCACAGAAATAATTAAATTTTGATCATTGCTAACATGCATTAATCATTGTTACCACTTAAAAAAAAACATTGTATCTGACATCTTATCTGACTTTTCTCTGCAGCATTCCATTTGAATTCCAAACTTCCGACTGTGATACCAGAGAGTTGTCTCCTCATTGTCATGGGTCTCATCGTAGGAGCTCTCCTTCACTTCACACACATTGCCAGAACCGATGAATATGTCCTCAATGCTGACGTCTTCTTCATTTATCTTCTCCCACCCATTATCTTTGATGCGGGCTACTTCATGCCTGTCCGCGCTTTCTTTGACAACCTTGGGACCATCCTGCTGCTGGCTTTTGTGAACACCTGTATCAGTGCGGGGCTGATCGCCGTGTCCCTGTATGGCATCTCCCTCCTAGGCTGGTTTGGCAGGACCATCAGTATCCTCGACTGCTTTATTTTTAGTAGCCTCATTTCTGCTGTGGACCCAGTCGCGGTCCTTTCTGTGTTTGAGGAAGTCCATGTGAACCAGATGCTTTACATCATCGTGTTTGGTGAATCTCTGCTGAACGACGGAGTCACAGTAGTAAGTCAACCAGATGTGGTGAAAATTTTTTATCATTTGACTTAATCTTATAAAGAGTATAATGATAATTGGAATAATGGTAAAAAAAATTTCTTATACATGTATTTAACTCGTGTTATGGAAGACATACATATTCTTGTGGTATAAATTAAATTGATACTGGCATTTCATTGTAAACATTCACTTTTACAATTATTGCCATCTGATCATCTTTTGATGTACTTAATACCAAATATGGAAAATTTTGTTCCAGGTGTTATATCACATGTTTGAGGGCTTTATTGAGATCGGAGAAGAGAACCTTATTCCTGTCGATATTGTCACTGGTCTGGGCTCGTTCTTTATTGTGGCGCTGGGCGGAACTCTGATCGGAATCGTATTTGGTTTCTTTGGAGGATTCATCACTAAATACACCGAGCACGTTAAAGTCATTGAACCACTCTTTGTTTTCGTCATTGGATACCTGATGTATTTATCTGCCGAAATGTGTCACCTTTCCAGTATTTTAGCGTATGTATCTGAAAATATTTTTTAATCTTCTTTATAAAATGTTGCTCTGGTAAAAGAAATACTTCAGATATTTACAGCTTTTCTTTTTTATTTAAGTTCTGTGTGAGTTTTAGGTGTGTAAATCACAGAGACTTGTCACGTAGGCATATTTCATGAAATGCTAATGCGCTTCATGAAAAATATGCTTACGTGCAAGCCTGTGTGATTTACACACCAATAGTTCACACTAAACTTAAAAACATTCCTTATATCATCCTTTTATTTCCTATCTAGCTTGTAACATGAGCTTTGATTGGTTACAAAGTCGGGTGTAAATTTCTGTACACCCAACTTCAGCCAAGAGTAAAAAAAAATGTGACGTCACAATGCATAGTTTCTATATGATAGAAAGCAAATAACATGACGTCATCATATACATTGTAGGACGTAGTAAATCTTATATCGATAGCCTTCGGCCTCAGGGTGTATGGAATAAAACCTGGGGTAAATCCCAGTACACCCTTGATTGAACCTGGATAACTAATAATATCCCTGCATCATATTGTTACATTTTTACTAACATCTCCATAGCATCATTGAGATGTCACGTTAGCACGAGTTTCTCTGGGTATATTTCTATGCGTGATTAAACAGGAAAATGGTTTCAAATCATTTTCACTGTTGTCTTACTAGAAAAACAGCAAATGTAAGAATTAAAGCATGAAAAGAAATTTTGTTAATAGAATAGGAGTAAATTTTTTCTGGTACTTTACGAGTATTTGTTTATTTTCTGTCTACAAACCAGCAGAACTGATGAAAATAACGATGTCTTTGTGCTCTCCTTTTATTTACCAATGCTGATGAATTCAAAATTCAGTAAAGGAAATTTCATAATTTTCCTTGTTAATTAAATGTTTTTCAATGAAGACAAACTTTTGCACACCTCCACACATCCAGAGTGAAAGATAACAAATGATGTCATGTTTGACCTTTTTCTGTATTGCATTTAGTAATTTGATAATTGGGCATTTCCCTTCCTATGTTGTGTATTAAATTTTTGATGTAAATTTTACAGCCTATCCTTTGGGGGCATAGTCCTGCGTCACTATCTTGAAGCCAATGTCTCCCGTTCCACACGTACCAGCGTACGCTACTTCATGAAGATGTTGGCAAACATCAGCGAGACCATCATCTTCATGTTCCTGGGTCTGTCAGCCATTGTGGACACGCTGGACTGGAATTTGTCGTTTATTTTCTTTGCTCTCCTCTTCTGCCTCATATTCCGAGGTTTAGGTAAAAAATAAATACATATTACATACATATAAACTAAAACCCTAGAATGTTTTTTCAACCTGTAAGGTAGCCTTTTTTAAAAGAAGTTGACATATGATAAACCTGTAGAGTTATAATGAGGAGTCGGCATATAAAGAATGATTAACACACACACACCTCCTCCCCCCTACCCACAGCCCCCAACGGTCCAACCAACCACCAAATACTAATGGAATCACCTTTTGATGAAAAATTTCGAGCTTAGTTGAGGTCAATTAAATATATGTTTTATCTGTAGAAAGCACATTGATGGCCCTGCAATTCTTACTTTGTATCCGGTAATAGGTTGATTTATGTCACAAGTGCATTGCTTGATATAGAATTTCTATTAGAATATTTGATATTTATGCTAAATACCATGGCATGAAATTTATTTTTAGTCCAAAGATAATATGGAAGTTGGAGTATGTTTATAGAAATACAGTACAATACAATACATGTATTATAATGCTCACTTGCAAGTATAAACCTACTCACAAATTAATTCTGTCAACTCAGCAAATTGACAGCAATGCCTGTCTTATACCAGTTTCCACAAACTTTTAGAATCTGAAAACACTTAAAGTAGTTTTTGCTCAACATTGTAATCAAAACATCTTGACTTGTTGAGATTATCATTTGTCCTTTGTAATTGCTTTTTGATTAAGAAGATGACGTATGTGATTAAACATGTTGCCCCCCAAGGTGACACAGTCATGTTTTCTTCACAAAGTAAACAGGATATGGATCGCGAGAGCCAAACAAAAAGCCATATAATAGATAGCAAACAAAAAGAGACATCAAAACAAGAAAAGACACCAAAACTATAAAGTCCACACTAAAATAAACCATCAAGACAAATACAATAAAAAAAATTGTTTTTGCTTTAAAGGAAAAATTATTCTTTTGTTCGTGAATTTGATTCATCACTATTGTAAGTAGTACGTGAGTCTTGATCACAACCAGATATGATACAATGAAGCCATCCCTGGTGTTAATGTGATAATTTGATTTTTCAGGTGTGATGTTTTTGTCGTGGATTCTAAACCGGCGCCGGCTGGTGAAGCTGAGTGGTATTGACCAGTTTATTATGGCATACGGGGGACTTCGAGGGGGCATCGCCTTCTGTCTGGCTCTATCACTGGAGGAGCGATTGGTCCCAGAGAAGAGTCTGTTTGTCACGGCAACCATTGTCATTGTCTTCTTCACCGTGTTTGTTCAGGTAAGTTGGAGTACTGGTTCTGATGAAGTAAATCATTCCTTGGAGTGTCCTTGGTACTTGGCTCTGTTTTAAATCATCATTACTAAGGAATACTGCAACAAGAAAAAAATCAGTGTTTGCTGTCAGATTTATAAAACTTATCTGTAGGATAAATATTAAGTAACATTGACTCAGATGTGGGGATAACTTATCAGATCAGTGAGAGCTTTGAATTTTTGGAATGGAATCTTCAAAACTTTTGTATAATCTCAGGATAGATTTCATCTTTTCACCCAAAATTTGTTAAAAGTGTCTTATTAATTTCAAAAGAGGACCCATGTCCATAAAACATTACATTGTATTGTAATCTTTGTAAAGCCATACAAGGATTTTCCTTACTTATTTCCGTCACTTCATGGTTTTGTTTATAATTTTTGCTCCTTCCACCCTCCCCTCCCTTCCCCCAACTTTTAAGCCAAATACACTTCAGACTCACATATATACTAGGAATTGGAAAATATATCTTTGCCAAAATTAACAAACATTTTTGGGAATATATCCCTAACAATACTGAGTCCTTTCATATGTAGATCTTGGCCCTTATCTAAATCTGGTAGAAGAACAGTGAAATGGACAGAGAAGACACTTTAAGATATAACTTTGGTTTCACCAATAGGGGACAAATACCAAATAAACACTGATTTTATAAACTCTAGTATTTGAATAGAGCATGATGTTGCATTAATTCTGGAAAAATCTATCAGCCTTGTATAGAAATAAACCCTTGAATTGTTGGCTGTCAATCATCATAATTATATTGACAAAGCTGTTAGATGCAGTTTATATAAAGGCTGTTAACGTGACTAGGTATTGTCACTAACTACGTTCTGGATGCTGACGAGGTTTTACAACGTATGTCTATAACCTTATATTCTTTGATCAATATTTCATTAATTTTAATTTTTTGTTGTCTGATTCCTTTACTTTGTAATAGGAGGATGTTTTTTTGTGTGTAAATGTATCATTTTTTGTTTATCTTTGATATTGGAATTCATACAAAATTAAATTGTATGATCTGGATAGAACAGGTATTTCTACAATATGTAGTTTTGTTTCTGTTGAGATGTATGACTGAGTTTTACTGCTGTGAGAGTACTGCTGAGAAGAATATTATGTGTATATATGCGTACATTTATCATATTCTTGTAAGTTTCAATCTATGTATTCATAACTTGACCCATATTTCAGAAGAGAATAACATATTTTTCTGACATACTTTAGGTGTTTTTGAGGTTTTTACATTTCTGAATTACATAAGCTTGTTAAAATGTGGTTTAAGTGCTGTTTGAAATCAGTTTGGTTTTCTCTGGATTTTTGTGAAGTGTGATTGATTAAAAGTCAGAGACAAAGAGATTCACAAGAATGCAGTTTCTTTTTTTTTCGTCAGTTGATGTTTGCTTTCTTGTTTTTAGTTCATCTTTTCCAAAAAATTATTTGACATTTGTCTAATTTCAAGATGCGTTAGATGCACTTGATTACACTCTACATTTGTAGATGTATTTTTTTTTTAATTTGAAACAGTTGTATATGAACATTTAAAGATAAACAAGTATTAAAGCATTTTAAAATTCATAAATATTTAATAATGGAAACATTCCATATTAGAAAGATTTTTTCAACCATGAAGAAAATTATTCATTTGAAATTAACAGCATGTAATTCATTTGTATTTGATTTTTAATTAGTGATTAATTAAGAAATATATTATTCCAAGAGAATGTGAATACATGTACTTTTATCCTAAAGTTCAATAGTTTAAAATTGAAGACTTATGAGATAGTTGATCTCTTGCTTCTAAAGCGGAGGTCAATGATCAGCCAGTTTATGCTTCCAACACCCCAGACCCACAGTTCATTTATTGATCCCATGTCCATTGTAACTAGGCATAGAAAACAAGGCTTTTGTTGCTTTTGTTAAAGTAAATTTACTAGTGCTGTTGACATCAGGAATATAAACTAGGCATAGGGTAAAAGACCGAGGAAAGCACTAGTATCAGCAGTGTTTCTAAATGCTGCTTAGTCCTATATTAAAGTAGAAACAAAACACTGGTGTAGTTGCTGGGACTCGAAGGTAAGGGTAGAGGCTAGCTTTTAGTGACCACTGAGTTCAAATTAATTGTAAGATCTAATTAAGGGTTCATTGTCGAATCATTGATTACTTTGTGTCACCTTAATTGTTTTAATAAAGTTTGGGTAACCAGAAGTCGGCGATTGATCAGGACGCTTAAGATTGCCAATAAATTTATTATTATTAATTTAATCAGCAGAGGCAATATTAAATTAGAGGCAGAACAATGATATTGCATTAAGTCAACCTTTGCAGGAGATGTTTGCCCTTGCATGATTTGGGCTTATGTGCCAGTTAAATGTAAACTTTATATTAACCTGACAAATTATGTAGGACAGTGACCAGATTGTGTCATTACCATCAAGTTTTGATGACCTAGAAATTAAAAAAAAAAAATATGCCTTTTGTTCTTGTCAGTTTCATTTTCATGTGTCAACAATTATTTTTTTTACACTATATTTTTTATTCAAACTCATTTTTACTATTCATTGTCAAAAACATGATAATGATTTATAAAATTCCTTGAGATCAAATTAAGTTAAGTTAGGAAATGCATAAGCAGGAAATTAATATTTTATTATAATCTTAATTAAATTATATTTAAAATCTTTAAAATTTGAATTTAATCATGCTAAACTTGTATATAAATCAGGCAAGCTAGGATCCTACTGTTGGTAAATAGGTTGTAACAGTTTATTTATTACAACTCTACTATAGTGTCAGAGTGTGGGCTTATAATTCGTGGACCCATGTGGCTCTAATCCCCTAATGATATAACGGAGTTTATTAAAGCACAATTGGCTTGATTCTATAAAGTACAATGTAAAACACACTAATGCCTACACTGGGGTAGACGCTTTTCAGTAAATTCTGAGCAGGTCAGTGTGGGTGATATATATATTTTAGTATTTAAACCTAGCTGTGGTAGTAATTCAAAGCCTCTTTACTTCGTCATTTCCGTGCATGAGTGTACTTCTTTGTTGTAACGACACCAGAAAATAGGGGAAGAAATGCCGAGGCTAGTTTAGGAACAGGTTAGATTTTTTTCATTATTTTGTTTTCCTCTGGTACTACCCTTCTCTCTGCTAGCTGTATATATTATATAAAATGTTAGCTCAGCTGATGTAGCTAGATAGGATGTGACCTTGTGAGCATGCTGTAGTTTCGTGTGAATCAATGGTGTCCTGTGAGGGATCTAGTTTGTCAGTTCTGTGTGTGGGAGGATGAAGCAGGACAAATAGGACTAGTTAGGACTAGATAGGACTAACGAGGACAGTTAGGGACAGCCAGGACTAACGAGGACATGTAGGGGAGGCTAGGACTAATGTTTTCTGTGCTCTTTTACAGGGAATCACCATTAAACCTGTTGTGAATGCTCTCAAAGTGAAGAAAGAGGAAGATAATGATCCAAAAATGACGGAGAAAATTCAAGAATCAGTAAGTACTTCATGCACTTTATATTTTTCTTCCAAAAACTACTGAGAATAAGAGATTATATATTTTTTCAGTTTACAGCTGGTGATTTGCTATCATGTTAATTTTTTTTTTTTACAAATGAACAGTGTATGTCGTAAGACATTAAATAATAACAATATAATGGATAAGGGATGTGATGTTATACATAAATATTACTGTGAATCATAGAAGGTTCATGAGATATCTTTAATCCCTGTGTTGATACTGAAGTTAGTGTGTTGATATTATGCACTATACAAGTTTTTAGTTCAGCACACCAATTTCTTCCTGTACAATTATTGTGTAGTATATAAAAGTATGAAGGGCATTCATGCAGCTATCTCTTTCCTGTCCTTTTTTTTTATGAAATCACTGATGTGTGTACCTCCGGAACAATACATTTCTAGGAATAGAAAAGTAAATAACTTGTACAGTGTATAGGAATAGTATGGAAAATATCTTCTATAGGGATAGTATGGTAAATAACTTCTGTAAGGATAGTATAGTAAATAACTTATCTTTAGGGATAGTATGGTAAATAACTTCTCTATAGGGATAGTATGGTAAATAACATCTTTATAAGGCTAATATATGGTAAATAACTTCTATAGGGATAGTATGATAGATAACTTCTATAGGGATAGTATACTTCTATAGGGATAATATGATATATAATTTCCTTAGGAATAGTATGGTAAATAACTTCTCTATAGGGATAGTATGGTGTACAAATTCTCTAGGGATAGTATGATAAACAACTTCTCTAGGGATAGTGTGATTAACAACTTCTATAGGGATATTATGTTAAACAATTTCTCTAGGGATAGTATGGTAAATAACTTCTCTAGCGATAGTATGGTAAATAAATTCTCTAGGGATAGTATGGTAAATAACTTCTCTAGGGATAGTATGGTAAATAACTTCTCTAGGGATAGTATGATAAATAACTTCTATAAGGATAGTATGGTACACATCTTCTCTGGGGATAGTGTGATTAACAACTTCTATAGGGAAAGTATGTTAAACAATTTCTCTAGGGATAGTACGTACGGTAAATAACTTCTCTAAGGATAGTATGGTAAATAACTTTTATAAAGATATTTTGGTATGCAAATTTTCTAGGGATAGTATGGTAAATAACTTCTCTAAGGATAGTATTGTAAATAACTTCTATAAGGATAGTATGGTACTCAACTTCTCTAGGGATAGTATGGTAACTACTTTAGGGAAATATGGTAAACAGTTTTTTCTTGGGATAGTATGGTTAACAATTTCTCTAAAGATCATATGGTAAACAAATTTCTCCTTTTTCAGTTCATGGACCATCTAATGGCGGGTATGGAGGGGATTACAAAACATTCCAGTCACAATCTGATGCGGATTAAGTGAGTAGATTACCTACTTAACGGTCTATAATACAGGGTGGGGAAGCCAGGTGTAATTAAATATGTAATGTTGTGAAATGTTGTGTTTTGTCCCCTTATAGACGGAGAATATTGATCTTATGTTGATGACTATTAATTGGCGTCTGTGATGTCTAGCATGAAATTGTCACATGTTTTTGTCACTGCAGCAGTAGTACGTGCAACGTGAGCAGGTTTATTGGTCATTAGGTCTGTTTACCCTCCAAGTGTTTGTCACTTCGTTAATTTTGTGTTATGGACATATTTAATGAGGGATGGTCCACATCTGTTTTTCTGCCTTGTTGTTGCCAATAAAAACAAAGTAATAGAGGATTCTTAATCCTGTTAATTTCACAAGATTTTCTTCCTGCTTTTTTCTCTGAAATATTTGAAAAATAAAATTCATAAATAAATAAGATTATTTTTAAGTATCACAAATATCATGTGTAATTTTAAGCAAACATTTTTCTGAGTATCATTAATATTAAATTGAACTATTTTTGTCATTAAAAAAAAACAGTAGAATTTAAATACTCTTCAGTGTTACCAAATATGACTTTCTAGGAATTGCCAATTAATTTCTTGATAAAAAGAAATATGAATGCGATTGTGCTGGTTTCAAGGAAAAACAGTATGTATCCTTGCCGTAGCTAAATTATTACATAATTTGTTTGTTTGGTTTTCTTTAATGTTCAGGAATTTAAGTTTTTAATCAACTGCTAAGGCAAACTATTTTTGTTTGAAATAGTGCTGATTCATTAAAAGTCTATTTTCACTAAATACATTAGAAGGGGGGGGGGGGGGGCAATATTACAGCTGATGGAAAAAGTATTCATTAAAAATAAATTAATATCAGAAAATAACTAATTAAGTTTTCAATAAATATTTTCAGATTTACAAAAGATTTTTGGTATTGCAATATCAGTCTTCAGCAATATTAAACTACAACGTATATTCATAATTCAGAAGTGTGATCTGGTTTAATATTCTATATAATGATTTGAACTTCGAATGATAATTGTGACGTCACAATGAGTATTGAACCAGATTTCAGTCCAAAAGTCTATGCAGATCTTGACCTTAATGAGGGGTAATACTGATCTATAGAAATCTGTAAGGAGATTTAGTTCATTATTTAATCCACTTAAATCATAATAAAAGGATTATCCCTTTGATCGCGGGTAGATTTTCCTATTTAATGATCACAGGTTCACTTTATGGACAAGTTTGCCTAAATGAAAGTTGTTCTTGACATTCAATGAGAACCCATTGTACTCTTCTGTGAAAGTTTTCCAAATTTTAAACCTTAGATTTAGTGAACTTTTAATACAATGTATATAGGCCCATAGTTCATTCAGACTTTAATTTGACCTCACATGTGTATAACCTAATTTTAATTTCATTGAAATTTGAATGGAACAGAAATCAGAAATTTTGTTTGAACCTTCTAAATAAAATTAAACTAAGCTATCCTACACAATACAGAACAGAAAAAAAACCTTGCTGCTTCAGTGTAATATAGCGGCAGAATAGATTAAACTCTTTGTCAGCAGACTATCATAAATATTTAATCCCTGAAGATAGTTGGCTGGGATCTTTTTGGTGTTATGGGGAGTATTTTAAGAAAAAAGAAATATCTGTTTCTGTGAATTTCTTACAAGGCAATCAATTCACCAGAAACCCCAAACCCCAAGTAATCCTGGATCTACTTTACTGCAATCTCTCAAATTATCAAGGGTGACGTTTACCAAGATTAAATAAAAAATGTTGCGCAGTTTTCATAACACACTTTAAATAGGAAACAACTGTGGTAGAGATAATAATTTAGAAGTCGACAATATTTTCCCATAAACAATAATCAAATAGCTACAGAAAAACCTCATATTTTTATTTGAAATAGCGACGCTCAAAATAACAATGACATGCAAGATTCAATGTCTCTGTACTCAATATCCTGTTCAAGAAAACGCAGAAGATTGCCGATACATCAATCTTTCCTTTCACCCGACAGCTTCCCCTGCCAGGTTCTATTGATCTAAAGATGTGCAAGCATAAAACTGATGTCAGGAAAAAAAGTTTTTGCAATTTGTTTTTCAAAGTCATTATTTATTGTATGAGAGTAACTGTTACTTCCCCGCTATTGTGAAGAAAAGGCCCAAAGTTTTCAGTACACCAAGGTTGTGGGAACAGGTTAAATATTTCTAAAGCATTTTCTTCTTCCAGCCCATATTCACAAAAGAAACAACTGTTAACATTGTTTGAAACCATAATGAAGATGTCAAGGTCATATTTACAATTGAAAACACAGTATGCTGTCAGAAAAAGTCGGAACAATGGGGATTATTAAAATATGCAGGAAGTTTCACCACAGTTAGAGTTCCTATAGTGCCTCAGGAGTCCGGGGTTTCATTGCATCATGAGATTTTCAGTATTTGATAATCAAAGATCAATTTCTTTTTCTTTTATATGCTGTCTATTGCTTTTTTATAGTTCTTTCCCACAACAGTTTTCCTTGCCAATATTGACGTTATTTAACAATCTTTGTTCAGACAACTGTTGGAATAATTTGGGGTGGTTGGACCTAGATGTGGGGTGGAAAATCTTTTATTGCTTTAAATTGTCTGAATTATATAAGAAAAATAGATTTTTGTGTATGTCAAGAAACTATGGTTTATTTATTCATATTGATGTTCATTTCTGTACATGATTCATGAGGGTTAGATAAAAGAAAAAAATGGATGTCAAAATTCAATGATTGATCTGAAACTTTTGACATGGAATACATCAGATATAAATTATTATTATTATTATTATTTGTGCAACTCTGTAAGATAGACATTTCCCATAACATGTTATTAGTTTTTTCTGAACTCTACAGGGCAGGTACTTGTTTATAATAATAACAAAAGTTCATACTTAGTGCAGTCATTAAACAAAAGGTAAAAGCCTCTTAAAGCACACTGATTAATTCTAGTTTAAATCAACTTTAAAGCTGTGTTCACTGTTCAGTAGTTCACAAGGACTTGTGACTGGTTGACTACTTCTCTATGTGTGAAAGAATTTTTAATAATTTTTGGATCCACCTATAGATTTCTTTACCCGGTTTGACCTAATGCCCCTGTATAGGGTCACCTGATAGAGTCCTTTATCTCGAGGTTTATTTACAGATTTCGGCATTTCAATCATAACTACCTGAAGCCCCTGTTCAACAAAGAGGCCCCCCAGACAAAGGCCAAGAAGGTTCTGGAGGTGTACCACACCATCAGTGTTGCAGAGGCCCTTGATCAGGTGGGGAATGAGGTGGACGTCAGCCAGAGGAAACCGCTGGTCAGCTCCGGGTAAGCTACCTCACATTGTATTTATAGAACAAAAGAAACACATAGGACTTATAGAGGGAAATGGCTGGGCTCTGATCTTTTGTATACTAGTGTTGATTTTGGCTAGACTACTGTAATAGCAAAATTGGTTGGAGGGCAATAAAGACAATGTTTGTTTATACTGGCATTCTTTGTACCTTTTTATAAAAGGCCTAGAGCCAGGTATATATTACTCCTGTGTTCACCTTTTACTTTTTTGTCTGCACCTAAAATCCCCATTTTATAGGAAGCCATAAATTTAGATTAACTAAACCAGTGGAGAGAAAAAACAAGAAAGATAACATACAGGCAGATAATAGCCCTGAGCTTTATCAAGATTGGTGTCTGAAAATCTGTTATTAGGAAACCTTAGCACCAGTAACGGAAAACGGGTTTCAAGCAGTCCATGCACTTTTATCTTAATTTTATTGTTTTCAGTATTCTAGTGTTTTTTGTCCTGCATTTTTTAAATATGTACATTATATTAATTATTTGATGAGACAATGCAAAAGCTAATTTAGCTGGTTCTACCTGTCCTAAAATATTTGAACTGGTCACTTAGTGTAAAGTTTTTAGTACAGGATTAGGGGGCTTTTATCCATACATGTCAAATAATCACCAATATATCCCCTTATCAGCTGACAGCATACAGGAACAAACTGATTTATTTACAAGAAAATAAATATCTTTGTTGGACAGACTGAGAATAAAAAGGCTTTTTATTCTTACTATATCATTAGGATTAAGGAGTATTTAAAATTATCAGTTCTTAAAATAACATTAAGGTAAGAAGCTAGTGGGATAAATTGCGTCATAGCCTCCTGCTGTAAAAACGTATATATAATGTCTATTTTGAAGGGCATTTACCTCTAAACAGTTTTACAACTTCTGTACTGCAGCATATTAAAGCCTATATTTCTGTGTGCCCTTTTAGTTTGAAGGGTGTAAGGTCATGTGGTATATATGCGCATTTAAGATGTGAAGTCATAAAAGCTGGGACCGAGATCATGGAGATGTGTTTATCTGTGTCAGTAAGAATGTTTACTTGAAAGATCAAAAATGTCTAGCCTTACGTTCAGAGGACCATGACAAAATGTCACGCATCATAGACTAGGAATTCATTATGTCACTAAAGACAAACATATGAAACAAAGTATATATGCTCTACCTGTGGTTCAAAGAAATCTCTGTACTAGACACCTGGATGGCTTGATTTGTGCCCTGTGTTTGGGATTGGGGGTCCTATCGAGGCCTGATTTTGTGTATTTTTCATGTATAACCACAGTTCTCTGCAGCTTAGTTCAGACAGACAACATCTTTTGATTAGCGAGGTAATTGACTAATTGAGGAAATGATTATTCTTTTATGTAAGACTTAAATTGGTGATCAAATGCAGGAAATAGTTGACTTGTATGTGGGACGCTGGTAGAGTGATATTTGATGAGGGAACTTTTACAAGGGGTTATGCATCCTTTCTAAGGTACAACCAGTGGCTTTGATTGATGTACTCTTAAAATAACAAATCTTAGCTATTGGAAATTTCCATCAAAAAGTTAAAAGTACTCTCTTGCTATTCTCATATATTTCTTTCTGATAATTTTAAAAGATTAACCTTGAATATAGTAGCAAAACAATTGAGAACAAAGAATCTGTGGAAATTTTATAAATAGCAAATTTCCACATGTTCCAAAAGGATTTTTTTTAGAGGCTTGGCTGATATAGATCAGTTATATCACAAGCAATCAATAGTTGCAGATCCAAAGGAATAAATAAAATATTAAATAAGCTACGTAATGTTTGGTTGGAGGGTACAGAAGTTGTATCAGTTTATCAATCGGGTATATAGACGTACAGGCAATAAGATGTTCTCTTGGATTGAAATAAAAGGCAAATCAATGTTATCACCTAATCTCCAAAGGAAAGCTATGGAAGAAAACCTTGGGCAGAGTTATATATTGTGATTAAGGCTGATAAAAAAATGTGAAGGTTTTATTACTTATTTACTTTAGTAAAACTGAAGGAGAGATGGAAATAGAGCAGTCCTATATAATGTTAAATAACTGACACATTGTCATCAGGTGTGATTTATAAAGGGAGGTGCAATCTGAATTAAAATTTTAAAAATTCGGTTGATGAGAGAAATTATCTGAGTGACATTTAATTAGTTACTTTTGGCCACATAAGACAGAGATGCCATATTTATGACACACTTGTCTGACCTTTTTCTGGTTTTTTTCTGATGTAGGGCGTCCAATGTGTACAGAAGGACACCGTCAGGCCTCGTAAACACAGGGTTCCGAGTGGAAAACATGGCCAACGAGCAAGTGGAGCCCACTAATCAAAATGTAAGACCATTTCAGTATTTTATTTAACAGAAGAAAACAACATGAGATTAATTTGTAGTGTACAAAGTTTATCTTGAAAATTAATCATCTTGTCACATAAAATCTTCATATTATAATACTGTAATCATTTAATGTAAATTATATAATTCATGGAATAATTATGAGGGGAAATTTTCTGAAGTAAAATTATTATTTGAAACTCTAAGAAAACAAATAGTAGAATGCATAGAATCTGAATATAATTTGCAATATTTAAAAAGGCAGTAACAATCTTATGTGACATACCACTGACAATGGCAAACAGTAAGAATGAATTAGCTATGTGACACCTAGGTGATTACTTGTTAAGTACAGTAGAACAATTTCCTTTCTTTGTAGGAGTCGCTAACTGTAAACATGGAGGATCCCCCAATCTACAAGTGTGTCGAGGACCCGGTTGTCAAGGAAACTGTTGTCATAGAGAAGCCAAGGTCATCCCCTCCCGTAGGAGGAGGTAGCAATGCGGCTCGGAAAGAAAGTGACAAAAGTAAGACGTAATATTGATTAAGGAAATGCCAAGAGAATTATTGCGGGATTTCTAGTTATTTTAAGGTTTTTACCTTGTTCCAAAGTAGAAAATAACTTGACTTTTTATTTATAGGTGAAACCAGTGATGAATTTGAGAATGTGACTATCAGATTTAAACAGCCAGTGGACGATGGTAAATAATTCTTGTGATTGATGTGGACTAGCATGTGCCATCTGTGTTTGGCTTTTCTCTAGCTGAGTTTGGGTTTTTTTGTTGTTTTTTGTGTGATTATATCATGCATGAATTTGCTGTTTCTAAGAATCATACTATAAAATGGGTTTTATTGATGATTGATAAGTTAGTGTCTAAATCTTAATTCAGAAAGCCTATTTTTGTCAGTAGTTAGTAGACATATATGGATAGGTACTTACTAGCAACTAGTATTGTCAGTAATGTAAACAGGGTACTAAATATGCAGCATTTTCATGTTTTGATATACATTAAATTTATTTTTAGTGTTTACTAATAACTTTCCATTGACTAGTGTTTATTTGCTAGTTGACAATTTAACAAACTGGTAGCATTTATGTTCATTATGTATGTCTTATTTTGGGCATTTATCAGCATGTGTGGTACATTTACAGTTTAAGAATATTTATCTACTCACATACTGTCTTCTTTTTCAAAAAAGATAACTCATTTGAAAAGGGAGGGGGCAAACTTTATTAAAGATCTTGTGTTAAAAGAAATACTGTATAACAGCAATATTTAGCAATCATCTAAGTTTGGCATTATTAAGAGCGATGGTTTTGGTATCACAAAAATTAAGTATCACTAAAAGTTCAATGATAAATATTGTATAGGAAAAATAGTTATGATCCCCCTTAAAAGCCCCTAAAAATCCTAAAAAGCTAATAATCAAATCAATAATAAAAGCTGATAATTAGAGTATGCTAAAAATAATAGTTTTTGGATATTTGCTAGCTTTGGCAGTCGCTAAAATAACCTGTTATACAGTATAAACACTATATAGATCTAACCTTGTTGCAAGAAGTTTAAAAATTTCACTACCTGAAGACTCTCAAGTTTGCCTTGTTATAACACCAATAACTGTGTGCTATTCTAATTCCTAATTATATAATATATATATATTAAGTTAACACCTTTCTTTATGTTGATACTGATTCCTTTGTATGTAACTAATACTTCTGTTCATTTGTCATGATGTGTCTTTTGTTGTAATTTCGTATTATGCTATTCAAGAAAGTTGATTTGTTTTTTATTTTGATTTATATCATTAAGATTTAATGTTTATACATACAATTAAATTAATACATTTTATTAAAATTTTTGTATATGTATTTTTTATGTAAAGACAATCCCATGAAAGAGAATATTTTTTAGTTTCATTAAAGTGAATTTAAATGAAGCAGTAGATTTAGAGTGTTTTGTTTTTTATCATTAGCTCATGGAGTTGACCAGATCACAGAAAATTCTGACCTCTCCTCTGAAAGCTATTCCATTGCGGAAACTAATTCTGAACCTTCCACAGTCACCTATGCAAACGAAAAGGAATCCCCGTGTGAAATAGAACCATTACAACTACCTTTACCCTGGAAAAAGGCACCTGCTCAGGAAAGCCAGCAGATGGGCGTGAAATCTGATGTGCCAAATACAGTGGAACCGATTGTAACCGCAGCTGAATCCGTTTTTCCGTGGAAGAAATTTCCGCGGGATCCCATTCCATTCTCCTCCTCCCTGGCATACTCAGACGACAGCGCCCCCATTGTCGCCGAGGCTCCCACGTGGGTTAACAACCTCTCCTACAGTCACCTGAAAGAATCTGGATCCCCCTATGCTTCCCCCGAAGTGACCTTAATTCCTGAACACAGGCAAAATCATACATCTATCTTTGATCTTTTTAAAAGGGATGATCCAATCGAAAAGTGTTTGGATGCATGTGTGGCTAAATTAAATTCTGCTTTGGATGAAACTGACAGCAAAAGTCATGCTTCTGGGGACACTATTCCCCCACCATGGAGTCACCATGGTGAAGATGCAGACAATATTCCAGTGCCATCTATGAAGGAAACGTACGGAGTTAAAAATAATCTCCTGTTATCCAATCATACTCTTCCGCCCCCCTCACATCATGTTATTTTACCCACAGTTCATTTCTCTGAGGACTCTATAACACAGAGTCACAGTGATGACGGAGAAGTCCACAAACCATTGAAATCTCTACCAGGCTCTGCCTCAGCTCCTGATCTGCCGAAACACTTTCAGGTTATAGAACCGATGACCAAGTCACGACTCCACTCGGAGTCCATGTTAGAGGATTTAGACTTTCACGACCAAGCTGTGTCACGCGTTAATGAGTGGTTGTCTGCAACGATAAGCGAGGAGGCAGGGATCGTTATTCCGATTCACGTACCCACTCCCGAGCTGTCCAGTGACAATGACGCGGACTGCAGCAGTGAAGGAGAGGGCGATGACGATGATGATTGGGATTTCGATCGCGATGATTTATGATGACAGCCTCACTCTAGTCCAGAATACTCAATTGTCTTTCCAGAATTATATGTGCATTGCTAGTCATTATATGTCTAGTGATTATTATGTTTTTCTGAGTGTCAAAATTTGTATTTCTTCATGGCAATAAGTCATTTTGTGCTGAATATTTGAGCTTCAAAACATGTTATCATTCCATGAAATCAGGTTTATAAAATTCATCATCATATCATCCTCATTAATACTATAATACCACAATGTAAACTGAAAATTCAATGCCAACTTAAAAATTCAGGGATTCAAAATTCAGGAGACAATGAAAAAAAAATTAGATGGCATATCAGGTTTTAGTTGAGGAAGAAACATGACTCTCAATTCCCATTCTTCTGGCATTAGTAAACGAGTGATTAGTGGTAGGCTATTTATACATGTTCAATCTCAGGTTGTTATTATGGAATCTTGGTACAAATTATTGAATGTGTTAAATTATTAAACACTGAAGAATGTATAATTGATATCACTTACCTGTTCTAGTTGTGAAGAGGCCCTACATTGTTAACATCTAAAGTTAATTTCCTTTCTATGAAAGATGACTTTCATTGACATAGGTGTGCTTCAGCATTTTAACTTTCATAAAGTGAAAAATGCATGTGCAATAAATTTTCTCATGATAGAGTGAAAAAAAAAGCATTGTTGAAGATACTTACAAAATGAAGTTCCATTTGAATTTACAACATATCATGACTCACAATAAATTTATAAGATTTTCATTTATTTACTATGCATGCATGTAAGGTAAAATGACTGCATGTCTGAAAATATCTTCCTAACATTACAATGAGATGAGATTTAATATTTGAAATAAAAAAAATAAAAATAAATCTCTTATTATTATTCTGAAAGTAATCCTGAGGAGGTCTTGGACTTGTTTCATTCAGCAACTGGTACAGTGTATTAACCATGCTTATTAGGACAACTGAACATCATTTATAATTCCTAACCCTTTTTATTTTTTTTTTACTCATCTGAAAATGTAGGTCTACTATCCAGCATCCAAAGAAAGTCAGGTACAGTAGCAAAGTAATTTCATAGGTCCCAGTGACTTCGTTATAACTGAGGTTAGCTGTAGTGTGTATCCCTAGAGGCATTGTCCTTTTAATGCTGGACAAATTAGGACTTGCATATCTGCTTAAACACTGACCTGCTCCCAAATTTTTAACTTGTTCACTTATCTGGAAAAAGTAGGTTAGAAACAGCATCTGAAGAAAATCTTTAAAGATTACCTGCATTGGCATTTGATTTTTTTGAGATATGTTATTTTTTGAGCACCTGTTCAAGTATGGTCTTATTAACGGGTAAGGTTTATAGTAACTTGCAAATAAAATTGCTGCAAAAACCAGTTAATTGGTCAATAACCCATATTATGTAGGTCGTTCCAATATCCAAAACAAGTGTGGTAGTGTGCATCATTATATAGTAATGGCAAATTCAATATGCAATAATGCAAATTCTGTCATCAAAGCTTTAAAGGTACCCTGTTTATTCATCTGGATTATGTAGGTTTGACCCAACTTCTAAAGTAAGTTAAACTGTTTTAGTGTGCATTTCTAGGTGCATAAACATGTAAGGTTTTTTTTGGTTAGGCCAATGGTTACTTTGAAATGAACCTGCTTAAATAAATTTACGGCAGATCCAGTATTTGAAGAAAATTTGGTAGTATGCAGTATGGTAATTAATGTATACCCATAGATCCATACAAGGTGGTCCATTTACAAGTACCTAGAACTTATTGTAACTTGCAAATGAAACTGCTCCAAAAACAAATTTGTTTATTCATCCAAAAAAGGTAGCTATATAGATAGGTCTAGCATCTAAAGCAAATAAGGTAGAGTGCATCCCAAAATGCTTCATCCAAGTACCGTTATTAGCTTACAGACACTTAGGGAATGAACCTGCTGTAAGATCTTTCACCTTTTTGACACATGCAGGAAATGAAAGTCAGGTCTATCACCTGAAGCAAGTTTTGTAGTTAGTATCATCCATTCGTAATAAACGATCTAGAGAGCAATTTGAACATTACTGCCGATAGAAAATGCAAACTTTTACATTTACAAAGACTGGCTTGACCTTTATGATGACCTGTGGTTGTACAAATGCATTATGCATGATAAAAATTGCATCACTTAACATTACTTTTCATGCTTCTAATACTGTAAAGTATTATAATATAACAAAACGAAAATATGACAAATGACTAGTGTTTATTGTACAAAATCAGGGTTGCAAAAGTTACAAAATGAGCAAATACATTACACTTTAGTAAAAAAGTTACAAATGTAACCATTAATTAAGTTTATAACATTTGTATAAAAACATTGGAGAGGCACTATCATTACATAGCTTTCCTCTCAAACAATGCCCTGAACAGTGATTCACTGTCTAGTACAGATTCACTCAAATCCTCCAAGTAAAAACAGCACAATAAATTACTTCTCACACTACCATACCATTATAAACCATACATTCTTGTGATTATTGCCAGAAGTTATACCTGACATTATTCTGGCTTTGAATAAAGAAAAGATAGTTTTCTTATTTTATAGAACCCACTTACTGATCTAAACAGTGGATAAACAAACAAAAGGCCCATGGGCCAAAATGCTGACCTTAGTCACTTGGACTCTTCTGAACTTCATCACCAAATAAGATTTTTTTTCCATATATCCAATAATATGGAAAATTTATATCACATAAATTTGCCCCAGCATAACCCACACACTCATGATTTGAATTTGAATCTTTAATACAATAGGATGCTTCCATAAACATAGAATAAAACCTTAGAGTCTCCCCTGGTTTTACCGTTAAGGGACTAATAATACATACCCTTTTCTACATCACATACTGTATCAGCCTGAGACACCAATATCAGCCAGAGGGCCGAAGCCCGGAGGGCTGATATTGATTGATGGCTGAAGTGGTGTGGAAAAGGGTATGTTTTAGTATGTTAATTATTACATACTTAGTAATAAAATGCAACACACACCAACTTGAGAAAAATACAAATGAATAATCATGCGCTGACTACATACAATTACTATGCTTCTGTATAATATATACATACAATAATTCTTAGCTTTGGTAGACATTTTAAAACATTTCATATGCTCCTTTGGCTTAAGCGAGTGTGAAACAAGTTACTGAGAATAAGGAACCTAACTAAATTTAAGTACTGTAAACGTGGTTATATTGACGAGTTGAAAAATTGACGATTTTTTGTTTACGAAAATTGACGAGTGTAAATTTTGACGTAATATTTAATCAAGAATTATAAATCTTTTAAATCACGGGGATACAAATAACTAAAATTTAAGTTTTGTACAGACTAGTAGTATCTACAATGTGTAAGATTGTACAAAGTATCTAATTGTGTACGATTAAAAGTGGTCAATTGCCTGAGGTGACAAAATAGCTCAAGCACGGCATGATAATTTCGCTAAGTTATGCATGCAGTATTTGATACACTAGTTCAGCTTCAATGGTTTTAAAAAATGTGATTTTATATCACTATGTTTTCATAACTAATTGCAAAAGAAATTAACAGTAACTTTGATCTTGTTTTAATAGGGGAAAGCCAAGAAAATTAAACGGTAATATTGTACAATAGTCAATGTCTGTTGCGACGCTATATATATGATGTGAAATTTGACGAGTGTAAATTTTGACGATAAAAGAAAAATCGTCAATATAGTCAAAATTGGCACATCGTCAAAATTTCCACGTTTACAGTATTTCTATTACAATTTCCTACATAACTTTATCATTGCTAATAATATATTTCTGCTTTAAAAAAACAGAAGTTAACTAGGAGACTTATTGTTCACAGAACAATAAGAGGTTTTTCCACCTTTTTGAATTTTTATTTTGTTTTATATCTGCATCCTTAAAATTAAATTCAATGAATATGAAACCAAAATTGTCATAGACAATAGAAATTAAAAATGAAAAATTAAAAAAAATGAAAGGTCCTTGACCTTTAACCTTAAAAAATATTCAGGGTCAAAGGTCAAGGGTCACAATGCAATTGACCACATGCTTCTACCACTTATAATTTTCAAGTTATAAGGTTTAATAGTAAGTACAAAGACGTTAAAGGGCGATAACTCATAAAGGGGGTCATCAGATCCTTTCGCAGTTATACAGTGAATTTAGGCCTAAAGACAGTTAAGACATTAGTGAAGGTTTGGTGTCTCTACGGTCTACGGTTTCAGAGGAGTAGTGATAACAAGGTTTTTCGCACAAGGGGCAATAACTTTTAAAAGTGTTAATCTTAGGGGACAAGAATGAAATAAGGTCCGCTGAAGACGGAAGACCTTAATAAAAATAGTGGAAAAGAAACCTAAGAATTGAAATAGTTTTTAGAGTACATAGTAATGATGCAAAGACATTAAGTTTATGCTGAAAGACAAAAGAGATATAAAAAGAGCTTAATTTCTCAGTTTTGGAATGACCTTGACCTTTGACCTTTACATAAATTTCAAGGTCAAAGGTCATTGAATCTTATGCACTTGGTCCCATGTCTCTATGACTTCTCGTTTTGAAAATTTTTAATTATTTGTAAATTTTATAAAGTTTCAGGGGCAATAACTCATAGAAAGGGTTTACGAATCCTTTGCAATGAATAGTTTGAAAGGTCCTCTCAAGTAGTTGTAGACATTGGTGAAGGTTTCATACCTTTACTGTTTACAGTTTTGGAGGAGTAGCGATAACAAGCATTTCTTGCGTAAGGGGCAATAACTTCAAAAGGGATCAAAGATCGAATATGGGGGGTCATTTTTCGGAATAACTTTAAATATCCAGTATCATGAACTATAAAGATTTTCGATAAGTCTTGCAGTTTCAAAACATCTCCAGAAATAAAATAATAAGAAACAGAAGCATTTCAAGAGGACTTTCCACAGAAAGGTGGAAAGACCCAATAAGGAATTACAAAAATCCAGTCAAACTTCATTATCTCAAACCTGATGGGGCTGAGAAAAAACTTCCGAGATATCAGAGGATTCGAGATTTTAAAGGTAAAATACTTAAAAAATATGTTGTTGGGACTTCCACATCACTTCCACATATCCATGGTACATGTATTCAAGTTACCAGAGTTGGAGATACCAAAATTCAACTGTAGCTAATTTTGTTCAGAGAAAGTAAAAATTCTCTGAACAAATTTGTAGAGAGTATAAATAAAAAAGTTTTCTTTTGATAAATGGTGGACGTGATAAACCAGTTTCTGCAACTCTGGATTTAGCACTTATTTAATTGGCCAGACTGTTTTTCTCTACATTTAGACTATCTAGATTTGGCCTGTCTGTTTCTTTCTGTATTTTGATTGGTCAGTCTATTTCTTTCTGTATTTTGATCAGTCAGTGTTTCTTTCTGCATTTTGACTGGTCAGTCTGTTTCTGTATTTTTACTGGTCAGTCTGTTTCTTTCTGTATTTTGATTAGTCAATCTATTTCTTTCTGTATTTTCCATGGTCAGTCGATCAGTTTCCTCCTCCTGATTGGTGAGATAATTATTATTTGCTTTCCTCCGCACATGCCTACGGACACAGAAGACAAGAATCAGGATGATAAATAGAGACGCTGCCGCAGAGCCAAGAGAGACTGCCCACGGAAAGGAATGAGACACTGTCACGGTCACCTCTGAAATCACAGGGGGTCACATCTTACTCAGTTACATACAATGTACACATTTCACAAAACAATATTCAAAGTAAGCCATTGTCACTCATTTCTTATAACTTTACAGATAGTGGAATATACTTTGGCACCTATTGATATGTATGGTAACTTTTTTTTATGAAGAGTCTTTGAGCATCAATGTTGATGAGTATATAGTGAATATCTTGTATATTCTCTAAAGCAATAAAGCAAAAACACTGAAAAATATTACAAGGAGAAATCATAAATTATCTAAAAATTAATGTGAAAGTTATGTATGACATTAAATGAGTGAGGGAATAATTAATATCAAAATACGAGGGGTTATCAAAAAGTTCGTGGACTGAGGCTTTAAAATTAGTACTATGTACTCTGTGCTTTCAAAATTTATAGGGAACATAAAACAACACAAAAAAAAGAAATGTTGAAAATTTTAGCCTGATACGTTCATTTTTTGCCAAATTATCATAAAATGAAAACGATATGATATGATCACCCGGCGCTGTCGTCGTTTATTTTCATGACGTCCGATAACGTCATTTTTTTCAATGTCCTCTTCTCCTACCTCATACACTTTTTTGATGAAATTCCCTGGAGCTGAGTAAGGACTTAAACCCGCCTTGTTTATATGACTTTACATACAATGTCATGAACAGTGGCCTTCAATGAATGTATATTCCAGATGGATTAATATATTTGGAGAGATCCGCACATGATTGTGCCGGCATATTTTACTTTTGGGAGTTCAATTTATACAACACATGATTAACGTCATTTTTGTAGGGATTGATTTTTGCACACCTTGACAGCAAATCGACATTAATTTTGTATCTCTTTACCCTCTGAATCTATTTTGACATTAAAAGACAAGTACTCTAGATGCATATTATTTCTCTGTAGCCAGTTCCAACATATTTTAGGTATATACTGATTTTTTCAGGGTCAAAATTTTATAGAATGTTGGAAACAGAAACCCCTCCCCCTTTAAACGTCATTTTCAAGGCCTCGTTTGTTTGGACATTCCGTGTAAAACTTACGATAAAATTTCATAGGACTTTCAGAATGAAGTGAAAATTTGATATTTTATAGACCAATTGTGTCCCGACACATACCTGAATTAACGGTTTTTTTTTTTGGGATGTCAAATGATCATATCAAAAGAGTTTTTCTCAGTTACACATAGGTCGAAAAAACGTCGTTTTTGAGGTTGCGCCGCCTGGGCATACCATTGCTTACAAAAACATTACTAATTTATTTAAAAATAAAATTCATGATTTGTGGTTTATTCTTTGGATAGAAAAGATGATGCTAACTAGATATTTCAAAATTCATTGATGTACCTTAACCGGTTTTAATTTTATGGTGCTAGTCCACGAACTTTTTGATAATCCCTCGTATAAATTATGCAAAATGTAATTCATTCACACAATAGCATTATGGCCTAATTTTGTTATAACAACTTTAAAACACTGCTTTAACAGAAGCATAACCACATACATTATTTATAATTATAACATATTTAACACAAAGCAAGCATAAAATACAGAAAAAGTCTACAAAAGTTTTTCTCATACAAAATGTATATTAATAGCATCAAACTAAAAATATGTTAATCAACAAACTAACCCCCTCAAAGAAAAAAATGTTCATATGTAATTCATGTGAACAATTAACAAAACCGGATATTTCTTGACTTTCTTGCTCAATAAAAACAACAACAAAAATCAACAATCATGAAAAAAAGGAAAAAAACAATAGAAACCATTCCTGAACAATTTTGCCACAGTGATCTTTACAATGAAGATCAGTTTCAGTAACAGGCCTGACATTATTTTTTTGTGTACGTTGGTTTGGTGATGTAATTTTTATATGTGTACATTGGTTTGGTGATGTAATCATTTTATGTGTACGTTGGTTTGGTGATGTAATCATTTTATGTGTACGACGGTTTGGTGATGTAATTATTATATGTGTATGTTGGGTTTGGTGATGTGATTATTATATGTGTACGTTGGTTTGGTGATGTAATCATTTTCTGTGTACGATGGTTTGGTGATGTAATTATTTTATGTGTACTTTGGTTTGGTGATGTAATTATTTTATGTGTACGATGGTTTGGTGATGTAATTATTTTATGTGTACGTAGGTTTGGTGATGTAACTATTTTACGTGTACATAGGTTTTGTGATGTAATTATTTCTCTGTGACTCCTCGTAGGACGGTGGCAGTGAGCTCCTGTCAGGTTCTATGGAGGGTGGTCGATATGAGGGCAGGGGCGTTTGTTCCTCGGGAGGAGCACTAGGCTCCTGGGTCCTGCTGGGTCTCCTATCTCTACTGCTAGCCTGGTACGTCTGACGTCTCTCGAGGCCCTCGCGGATTCTCCGGGCTTTTATATGTTTACATCGGCAATATATCACAGTTATTATTATGATGAGCACAATACCTCCACTGATAGATAAAATTATCACCCAACGTAATGAAACAGGTTCAAAATCTGAAAGACAAAAGACATCCTCTAGTCCTCGAAAAAACAACTACTAGTAATTGATTGCTTGAGCTATAGATCTTTTCTAATTCTAAAAAAAAATTTCCCTACATATTTTCACATTAAACTTTGTTCACCTCTTGTGGCCCAACCCTTTTCTCTTGGTTCATGATTTGTACACCCTTCAATCTACACAACCTGAGAATGTTTCTGTAATACTGTAGAAGTACTTTTTTCCGCGTGGTATTAATTTACACTATGTACGCGGTCACAAATAATCCCAGGAAATTTGTCCAAGCGTACTTAATATAAATGTAAGGCATACAGAAACAAACCAGAAAATCCGCGTAATTTTCTACCTGCAGATTAAACAGAAATTGAGATTCCGTGGAATTATGACCCCGTGGAAAAAAAGTATGTCTACAGTAATTAACATGACTTGAATCATGGTTTGGCTGTTCTTGAGAAGAAGATAAATTTTTTCTAAATATTCCTGTGTAAAAATTAGAATACCTATTATGGCCCCACCCTTTCCCCCTGGGTTGATATTTGAACAAAAATCTGCACTTTGAAGTAGAGCTTTTCACATTTTCTTAATCACTTCCCCTTGAAAGACCTTTGAAAGAGGGCATGACCGGTCACCCTTCATTTGACATCTTTGTCGTAGGATGCTTTGTGGCATGTTTGGATAAAAAAGGCCCAGTGGTTCTTGAGAAGTCAAAAAATGTGAAAAATTTATAGATGGATGGACAGTGAGATGAATAAGTGGACACTGGACATTAGTGGACAAAATGAGATTTTAAAAAAAGCTTACTTTACTTGAACTTTCATTCCAAGGAGTGAACATTATAGCTGAGTCTAGCTTTTGTCTGGCTCTTTTAATTTAAATGTTAATTCTCATGGCATAGTCTCAAGAATATAAACATAAATGTGTAATACAATGAAGTTATTAATCAGCCTTTACCAATTCATAAATAGAAGGCCCGTGAATCACATCACCCACCTGAGCACTATGGCTAGAACAAGAGGCCCATGGGCCACATCGCTCACCTGAGAATCTTTTGTCATATTGTTCTTGACCAGATTTCCCCCTTGTAATACATATTGTGACCCCATCCTACCCCAATGATCATAATTTACACAATTTGAAATCTACACAACCCAGGATGCTTCCACATAAGTTTCAGTTTTTCTGGTCTAGTGGTTCTTGAGAAGAAGATTTTCAAAGATTTTTCCTATATATTTCTATGTAAAACATTGATTCCCCATTGTGGCCCCGCCCTACCCCCGGGGGTCAGGATTTGAACAATTTAGAATCTACACTACCCCAGGGTGCTTCCACATAAGTTTCAGCTTTTCTGGCCCAGTGGTTCTTGAGAAGAAGATTTTCAAAGATTTTTCCTATATATTTCTATGTAAAACATTGATTCCCCATTGTGGCCCCGCCCTACCCCCCGGGGTCAGGATTTGAACAATTTAGAATCTACACTACCCCAGGGTGCTTCCACATAAGTTTCAGCTTTTCTGGCCCAGTGGTTCTTGAGAAGAAGATTTTCAAAGATTTTTCCTATATATTTCTATGTAAAACTTTGATTCCCCATTGTGGCCCCGCCCTACCCCCGGGGGTCATGATTTGAACAATTTAGAATCTACACTACCCCAGGGTGCTTCCACATCAGTTTCAGCTTTTCTGGCCCAGTGGTTCTTGAGAAGAAGATTTTCAAAGATTTTTCCTATATACATGTATTTCTATGTAAAACATTGATTCCCCATTGTGGCCCCGCCCTACCCCCGGGGGTCAGGATTTGAACAATTTAGAATCTACACTACCCCAGGGTGCTTCCAAATCAGCTTCACCTTTTCTGGCCCAGTGGTTCTTGAGAAGAAGATTTTCAAAGATTTTCCCTGTATATTTCTATGTAAAACTTTGATTCCCCATTGTGGCCCCGCCCAACCCCCGGGGGTCATGATTTGAACAATTTAGAATTTACACTATCCCAGGGTGCTTCCACAAAAGTTTCAGCCTTATTGGCCCAGTGGTTCTTGAGAAGAAGATTTTTTAATGACCCCACCCTATTTTTGTCTTTTCTTGATTATCTCCCCTTGTGAGGGGACTTGGCCCTTCATTTTAACAATTTAAATTCCTCTTTACCCAAGAATGCTTTGTACCAAGTTTGGTCAAAATTGGCCCAGTGGTTCTTGAGAAGAAGTCGAAAATGTGAAAAGTTTACAGACGGACGGACAGACAGATGGACGGACGGACGACGGACAAAATGTGATCAGAAAAGCTCACTTGAGCCTTCGGCTCAGGTGAGCTAAAAAAGAAGAAACTGTTATTGAAAAGTTTAAAGATATACCCAAGTATAAGTTTAATCTTCTATTGTGGCCCCATTCTACCTCATTCGGAGGACTTGATTTGAACAAATTTGAATTTATACTACCATAAGAGCCTTCTGTATCAATATGATTAATCAAGGCTTTCTGTTTCTGAGAAGATTTTTAAAGATATTACCTGTATATTCCTTCATAAAACCATAGACCTATAAAGCTTTGATGCCATGTTGTGATCTATGGAAAGTTTGCTTGATACTTGTCTAGTGTTTCTTGAGAGGAAGTTAGAATGTGAAAAACTTCCAGACCACTCATGGCACACTACAGCCAGACAGACGATGGTCACCTTTTGATCAGACAAGCTCTCTTGAACTTTCAGCTCAGGAGAGCCACAAAATCGACAACTAAAAAAAGATACATGTACAAAGAAATACAACATTCTTTTGACCTCCACAACCAATGTGTACATGTACTTGCATGCAGGTACTCAGACATAATAACATGCAGTGCAAAAATGTGTTCATATTACTTAATATACAGTTTATACACAAGTAATAACAAGCTCTGTACATCTATTGTCATTGCAGGCAGAAGACTAGTGATACAAATACAGCAGCTAACAAGAGGCCCAGGGGCCACATCGCTCACCTGAGCAGATCGGCTCGGAAAAAAGCACAAATCAGATCAGAATTGAAAAGTTTATGGGGGGAGGGGGGCTTGAATTTTAATACTACTTGAGAATGCCTCCACATCAATACAGCATATAACTTTGCTGTTCTTGAAAAAAAGAGTTTTAAAGATTTTTTTTACATTTTGTAAAATGTACAGTGTATATACACTTCGTTATAATTTGAATTTGATTCCCTGTTGTTTCCCTCCCTACCCCAAAGGGTCATGATTTGAACAAATTTAAATCTTCAATACATGAAGATGCTTACATGTCAATATGGCTAAACATAGCTTTTCTGTTTTGGGGATTCCTATCGTAAAACTTTAATCCACCATTGAGACCCCAACCTACCCCTGGGGATTATGATTTGAACAAATTATAATCTGCACTACCTGAGGATGCTTCTATAGAAATTTCACTAATCATGGCTTTGCTATTCTTGAGAAGAACATTCTTTTTAAATATATTTTAATGTAAAACTTGGATCCCCCATTGTGGCCCCACCCTATCCCTGGGGGGTTATTATTTGAACAAACTAAAATCTACACTACCTGAGAATACTTCCATAAATATCACTAATCATGGCTTTGCAGTACTTGAGAAGATTTTAAAAGATTTCCAAACATATTCCTATGTAAAACTTTGATTGGCCATTGTGGCCCCACCCTACCCCCGGGGGTCATGATTTGAACAAACTTGATTCTACACTACCTAAGGATGATTTCACATGAGTTTCATCTTTCCTGTCTCAATGGTTCTTGAGAAGAAGATTTTTCCTATTGTGGCAGATTAGGTTTATTTACGTTTTCATAATTATTTAATCTTGATCCCAATGTAAATCGTCCATGTTTATTTTGGAAACGCCCACTTTTATCTTTCGGCCAATAAGGTTTTTTATAGTTTCTTTTGTTCCTTTTTCATATATAAAGCTATGTAACTATTAGATTGGGGAGGGAGAGAGCTGGCTTCACTATCTAAACTCTTCATATACTGGAATTGTCCCTTGTTCATCCGTCTTAATTGAATTATATTTCTTTAGGTTAGACTATATTTGGGTTAAGTTAGGCTATATTTGGGTTGGGGAAATAAGGTTTTCATATTGTGTACTATTATAACGTACTGTAAGACTGGTAATAAATTGTAAAGTCTTCTTAATCTTATTTTCTTTTATAGTTCATTACAATTTACAAATATTTCCAAGGTATAATCTAATGTAGAGGTCTTATATTCAGAAAGTCGTTTCAAAACAAATATAAACACAATGCGGAGTACAGGCTATATGAACACCAGACCTGCTACACTATATATTCCTTTGTAAAATTTTGATCGGCCATTGTGTGGCCCCACCCTACCCCCGGTGGTTATGATTTCAACAAACTTGAATCTACACTACCTGAGGATGATTTCACACGAGTTTCACCTTTCCTGTCTCAATGGTTCTTGAGAAGAAGATTTTTAAAGATTTTTCCTATATATTCTTATGTAAAACTTTGATTGGCCATTGTGGCCCCACCCTACACCCAGGGGTCATGATTTGAACAAATCTGAATCTACACTACCTGAGGATGATTTCATATGAGTTTCATCTTTCCTGTCTCAATGGTTCTTGAGAAGATTTTTGAAGGTTTTTCCTTTCAACTATTATATCCCTATGTAAAACTTTGATCGGCCATTGTGGCCCCACCCTACCCCCCAGGGGTCATGATTTGAACAAACTTGAATCTACACTACCTGAGGAATCTACACTACCTGAGGATGAGTTCATATGAGTTTCATCTTTCCTGGCCCAGTGGTTCTTGAGAAGAAGATTTTTTAAAAATGCCATTAATTTTTCACAAAATCATAATTATCTCCCCCTGCAAGAGGGCATGGCCCTTCATTTGAACAAATTTGAATCCCCTTCACCTAAGGATACTTTGTGGCAAGTTTGGTTGAAATTGGCCCAGTGGTTCTTGAGAAGAAGATGAACATGTGAAAAGTTTACAACGACAACGCCAACGACAACAACGACAGACGCCGAACAAATTTTGATCAGAAAGGCTCACTTGAGCCTTCTGCTCAGGTGAGCTAAAAAGCTATATAAAATTGAATTATATGTGAACATTTTCAGAAATACAGTCAAACTTCATTATCCCTAACTTCCAAGGCTTCAAGATAATAAGGCTTAAATACGTGAAGAAAAATTTGATAGGGATTTTCAGCTCACTTCCACATATCCATGGTGTTACAGATATCAAAGTTCAAGATACTGAAATTCAACTGTATTATTTGACTGGATACTATGTTCCTAATAATTGTACACAATATTCTGTAATTTATTACATATAAAAAATACTTTAAATTAAAAAAAATTGCCTTCTGAGTAAATTAAGAAACAATGACATGCAGAAGGTATAATGAATTGCTCTTGTTTTTTTTTTATTTGTTTAATGTCCTTTTCAAGGATTTTTCACTCATATTGAGACGCCAGCACTTGTCAGTGGAGAGCTGCAAATTTTAGACTTATGCTCAGCACTCAGGGCCATTGAGCAGAGAGGGATCTTTTTGTGTTGGCACCTATTGCAACATGAGAATTGGGTTTATATGGTCTCTTCCAAAAGGTGATTTCAACATCCCGCAGTGGGATCGAAACCGAGAGACAAGGATCAGTTCCTTACTCCTTGACTCTAGAGTAAACACTCTAACCACTGCACCATTTGGGCAGCCACTCTATTGCATTTTTGTCTTATGAAATACATATTACAACAAATTAAGTCAAAATAAATTATTTATTGCGTCTTATCTCATTGAAAAGTCCCTTTCTAAAAAAAATCTGACCAAAAATCAATTCTTGGCTTGTAATCACATGCACCACTGCAACAGCATGGAATAAAAGCAAAAACAGGTTTCTTGATAACCTCTCACAAAAAAGTTAGAAAATAATGTGTTCAGTACTCAAAAATTTTATTCAACTTCAATTTTAAAAGAAAAATAAGCTCCCTTCCCCACCCTGTATATAACCCCACCCCCTGTGCAGCAATTCCAGACAAAAATATTTTTACTTAAAGTATAAAAAGCTTCATTTTCTAAAAAAAAAAATTGAATATGTCCAATATATTGTAATTATTGTACTGAAGGGAAAAGTTAGGGTTAAGGGTTAATACCAAGTACCAAATACATGTCTATCTAATGATACATCTATATACATAGTAAGTATTTAATGCTTTCACTAGGAAACGTTAACCCAGTCAATTCAAATGATATATACAATATCTCAAAGAAGAATGAAATATACATCATCAATGCTTACTGCAGATAATTAAAGGTATACATGTATTTATAGATAATATACTAAGAGAAAATGAAAATGAACCTTTTCCAAATTTCTAAACATTAGATGTTGTAAAAATGAGGTAAAATCTCCCTAAAGCTGGAGTATATATGCAAGGAATACATACAGTAAGTTAGTGTTTTATGTGCAATGAACACATACTATAAGAGTGCATGTTTATATGAAAGCTTTATACATGTATCCAGATTTATCAATACTTACCAGCTTTGTCTATCGCTTCTGGTACCTTAAATACATCTGTTTCTTTCACTTAAAAAAAAATATATATAAACATAATTTTCTCTAATCTTGCAGGGGACACAATGAGCAAAGTACAGTAAATAATATGCATTGATATACTTTGAATCTGCCCCTACTTTGAATCTGCCCCATAAAAATTTTATGCATATCCTAGCAAACGATTCACGAAAGGATACATTGTAATGAGACATTAGGGTATATTTACATGCATGAAAATTGCCTTTATAATTTAGTGATTAACCCCCTCCGCCTTTCAAATTTCAACTTTTAAAGAAAAATATATGCTCTTATGCTGCAATCATCATTCTTTTCTGCCGTGAAAGATTTTTTCCCTTGATAATAAACTACTACCGGGTAGTATTTAATTTGATTTTATTTAGTAGTTTCATAAATTTTCTATCGGCACAATAGCATTTTCTTCTCTAAATCAATCAGTTCCCATATAGATTTAGACCGACATGCTGACCTTTGTGTCTTTGGCAAGCGAAGGGGAACTTGTCCCTGCTGCAGTACTTAAACGTCCACTTCTGAGTCTGTGTGTCATGGATAACACAGTCCTTGGTTTCTGTCTCTGACGATGTGTCAAGTCTACAAGCACGAATGATAACTTTAATTCTGATTATTCTTTAAAAGCATCTTCTCAGGTTCTGAAGAAACATGTTATAAAAAATGAAGAAACATGTCATAAAATGTTTAAATTTAAACACAAAACATAAAGCACTAAAATAATGCTAATTTTTAAGAAAGTCTTCAAAGAAGTTATGAACAAGGTGCTACCAAATGGTATTAATAGGAATGTTGATCTAAGAATTTAAACAGTTACAATTGCTATAAAGTAAGTTTCCCTCATGCCTTACCTGTTTTGTAGATACCCTGTTGTGCCACTGATCCATTTGATTGCGTTTTCCACCTCAATGTCATTCAGACCAATCCATACGTTACTCACAGACATGTTGACAGCATAGGCTATAGGAGATAACAAATATTAAAATAAGATTCTATTTCATACAATAACACAACAAAACATGCACAAATTTGTAGACTGACTTTTATGTTAATTCCACCATCATATAAAATTTGAAAAATTTAGGGGGCATACACTGGATTGAATGAGTAAAGGTTTGAACTCAGAATATTTATCTATTTTTTTTTCCAATTTTTATGACAAATTCCACAGTTAAAACCGTTATAAGGACCAAAATAAATTTCTACTTTAAGTTCATGTAACTATTTTTGAAGACCTTTGCATTTTTTTGACAAGTGAAGGGAACGTGCTAAGTTTTCATAAAAATTACCAAATATTCTTCAATAAAAGGTGAAAGTAAAAAACTTACAAGAGATTGTAAGATTGACAAACTATGATCAGAAAAGCTCACTTGTGCATTTGGTTCTGCCAGTCAAGAAAAACTTGTCCATACCTTGAAATGCTGTGAAAATGTCTTCCGTTGGCAATATAATCAGGTTAGATAGACTGTATCCACAGTACTCCTGAGCATTAGACCACGTCAAGCCATCGACTGGCTGGGTCATGATCTTGTAGCATTCTAAGGGAGATAACTCCTTCCAGTCTGGTGGACATGAGGTATTTCCTAAGAAAAACAAAGGAGACTCTCTTCACTTAATTATGCATTGCTTTAGCATGTTTTAATACTTTTTTCAATAAATACTGTAAATTCCTTATTTTTCGCGAAATAGCTCTTTAACGTCAAATCATGAGAATAATTATTCGCGAATGAACGATTGATGGGGACAATTTACATGGAATCTAGCAACATAAAAATAAAAGCGAGTAACTTAATTTCACATTTAATGCTTCTCGTGAAATTACGCGATAATTAATTCCTCGCTAATTTTTAGGAATCTACAGTAATTGAAGTTCACTATATCTCTTACCAAATGCCTCAAATTGAAGTATTATGCCTGAATATTGATAGAAATTTTTGTCATTTGTTGAAAATCTCAGATACACATGCTGCCCCTTGCTAGTGACCTCATATGGATTAAAGTATCCACATATGGACACAAGGACTTCAGAGCTAGCTGTCTCTCCTACAATCAAATATGTATACAGTATTCGATTTGTTAATGAATTCAAAACAATTTAACTTAGAAAAACTTTTAAGAATCACTATAATTGAGTGAAAAACTAGGATAGATAGTTTTACTATTGTCCTATGGTTTCTTTGTAAAAATCCCTCCAAAAATATGACTGTTAAAACTACTGAATGAAAAATATTTTATTTACAAAATTTTAGAGTATTTGATGATATTACCCCAATTACAAAATTAATAAATCTAATAAGCACTCATCAGCTTCTTCATATAAGAGGTTATCTATCTGTGATCTCTCAAAAACTGACCCACTGTCTAACCCCCTCCCCCTCCCCCCAAAAAAAGACTCCTTGAATGAACATTCAGTATTCAAAAATGCTTTTGACATTCATGCGCGAATTATCAAGCAATTCATTGGCTTGATCACATCATAAAACAAAAACTACTAGACATTTATTCATTTTATAAACACTCCCTGCCTAGGATAAAGAGATAACACTCCCTGTCTAGGATAAAGATATCCCTAAATAAAAACTTACCATCTAGTATAAAGAGGCTATCCCTGGTATAACAAGAAGTGTACGGAGGTGTGTACTCTAAAACTGAGGATAAAATTCGAAAGTGTAGCTTGTTTCCTGATCCTGCGTTAATTTTCCAGGAGCAGTCCACATTGTTGTCATAGCTACTGGCACCTGAGGCCAGTGTGCGAATCGTCCCTGAAGTCACTCCATCAATGTTCACTGTTTGTTTATCCTCACAGTAATAGGTTGTTGCTAATGCTGTTGGTGAGAATTTGGAAAAAGATTACAAATCTTTAAATAAACATTAAAGATACCAACAATGTCCACTTCCTGCAATAAATCAAATGCAATGAAATCTTAAAATAAAAGTAAAAATAAATCTGAGGTCCTATTTTTCCTTTTTTCTATGAATAAAATTATAGCTACCCATATTAGCAAACTGGATAGAAAAAAAATCCATCTAAAGAAACTGTAGAGCTATGGGCCTTATTTTCTGACCAGAAGCATCTTTTGTCAATATTGCAGCTTACGCCTTTCTCTATAAGTTTTTGACCCTTTGGTTGGTGAACGTAATATGATAAAACATGATACAGTGAACACACTTATAACAAATTGACAATTACAAGGTAATAATTTTCACTCCCTGTGACTTTATAACAAATGATATACTTAAAGGATATAAACTGCCAATCCCTGAAACTTTAATATAAGCATGTTTTACCATATATTCACTTTGCGGTTAAATTACCGGTGAACATATTTCAATCTTCTAATAAAAAAGACTGTTGCCTTTGACTTACCTTTGCAAATAAAAAATGATATGTAAACTGTAAAATGTAGAGGGCAAGACAGCTTCATAGTTAGCTCAGCATCTGTAAAAAATATAGAATGAATAAAATAATATAATACAGGTGACTCTCAATCTCTCGAACATCAAGGGACCGCAAGAAAAGTTCGAGAGATCGAAGGGTTCGAGAGATAGAAATTAAATTAATAAAATCCGGAATTTGCCGTTCCGATCACTGATGTTATTCTACTATTATAGATACCAAAAGTATATGTAAATAGAGTTATTGCACGTTTTCAATTGTATTTTACATTGTTACAGGTAATATACTTGATATCAAGTTTCAATATTTATATGTTCTTATTTCAAGATAACATGAAACCAGAATAGCAATTGTCGGTTTCGCTATTCTGCGGCTTGATCGGGTCCTTCACCAGACTGAGTGTTCACCAGATTTCTCTTAATTAATCGGTATTCAGTCCTTGAGAAAGGAATTTCTTGTGCAATATTTGCCATACTGGGATTATGTACACTCTGATAAAAGTTCGTAGTCTATGGGAACTTTTTGAAGCGATAGTCTATAAATTTATTTTCTAAAAATTATCGTCTCGGTTTCAAGTCAAAATAAGTTGTGAATTTGTTTATAATTTACCAATAATAACCAATTAATTATACCAACACAAGGACGACCCACAGGTATAGTGTTACCTATGTAAACACCAAATATAATTTTGCTTTCAGGTAAACCATGCTGCAAAAACTTACACGGCATGTATACACACGCAATCAAAACTTCAATAGATAGAGAGTAAAATTCAATAAAATATGTGTAACGCAAATCCCAGGTTTTCAATCAAGAGAAAGAACTTGAGAGACGAAGTTAGAGATTCATAAATTTTTAATATATATACACTGGTATAATAAAACACTTGATTACCCCTTTTGAGTTCAACATGGTGACCCATTGAGAGTCACCTGTATCATAATATGAATTACTTAGCTATTGCACTTTTAAAAACAATTGTTTAAACACAGTGAATAATGCAGATACCTACACTATTTAAATCTTAACTTAAAGCTATGATTTAAAAACTTGTGTAAAAATTCAGTGATTCATGTACAGTGGAGCCTCATTTATCCTGACGCTTTGGTTCCTAGTTAATTTGTCCGGATATGTGAAGCGTCCGGATACCCGAATCACCAGTTAAACAAAACAATGTAATATTTAAAACTTGTGTAAAAATTCAGTGATTCATGTATATATATAGGTCATTATAAAAAAAATTGTAGACAATTTTAACTTCACTTCTTCATATCTAATGAAAAGAAATTGGAGATCAACCTATTATCAAATGAAAAATAATTTCTTTTGTTGACAAGTGCAGTTTAACTCAATTTGATAAAAAGAAACCCATCTTACTTTATTTTAAATTCAACATGCAGGTTTGCCACATTAAGGCACACACAGTAATATTGTACAGTGAATTAAACTTGTCTAATTTTGCCACCTGGCACCACTGGTTCCAAAGATATATTGGCTGAATTGGACAAATTCTGGACTGAAATCACTAAAAGGAACCTGAAATTTTTGTTGTATTAGACAAGATTTCAGAATACACAACATAGGGATTAGACAAGTTTCACATTTCTTAAAAATATATACTTCCAATCTGTATAAATTTCACAGTATTTCGCTCATTACAAATGCTACCTGAATTGACTATTAATCTAATCTGTTTATTGTTCAAGTAGCACAATTAGTTCAAATTTTTAGGTGAAAGTCAGTACTAATTTCCTAATTTCTTGCCATATATGATCTTTTGCAATTGATTTCTGTTTAACAAGTCAACTATTAGACACATATGATGTATTGTTTATAAATTACTAAATTCTGACGTTCATTTTTAAAATAATTATGAAATTTATCGTATCATACTAGAACGATTTAGCTGAAATTATTCGGGTTCATCGAATACAGATAATGTCAAGCAAAAAAAAAAAAAAAAAAACAACAACAACAAACAAACTGTAATCCTGGGAAGAAAAATGTTAAGGTACAGTTTTAATTCATCAAGATATTCGACACAGATCTTTCAACCAAATTTCAACCAAATACTCCTTTAATATACACGCCCATATTTCTATATACCTTGAAAACGAAGAATATGTTCTTCTCTATCCTTCTATTTCGCAATGTTTATCCTCAATGAGTTTTCTCACCTCCACAAACAGGAGAGGGCAGAACAAGAGCGTGTTGACATCCGGTCTGGGTTGCCAGGAAGCAAGGTTGTAGACTAGCAGACTTTAAAATATACCCTTTAGTGCTTCCCTATATTTTAAAGAACAATGTCAAAAGGAGCAATGGACCCCTCTACCTTCCAGGCTCTAATTGATAAGATCCATCAGGTAAAGTCACGAGATTTTACGCGTTTCTATGGTAAACAATCAGCTGTCAAAATATGCAAACGTTAAGAATATGTCAAAGTGAGAAATTTATTCAGCAATGACATTTAAATAATGTACATTTGTTAATCTATATCTTTTGGAATCTTTAAATAAATAGAAATTGAATGAATAATCGATGTACATTAAACATGTAATTACTGCATTTCTCTCTAGTAACTCTCACAATGATTTCCCATTTTCCTCAAAGAGAAATAAGATTTTATAACTGAGACGTATAATGTTTTGAAAATCTTGACAGGAAACAACATCTTCTGAGAAAAAGGTGGAAATTCTTTATAGCTGTCGAGGATTTTATAATGCAGATCAGGTAATATAATTTTTTTTTCTAAGATGCTTTCTGTAAAAGTCAAAATCCTCTTCATAAAGATAAAACAATAAAACTATTTTTTAGGCTTCTCGACTGCTTAGTTCCTTTGCCAACCCTGCTGACAAAATCAGAGTACTTCGAATTCTGGAGCCAGTAAGTCAAATGTCTAGTGAGATTTTGTTAACTATTGATTCTCGATGTAATTTAAAAACTAATCTAATAGTAAAATCTTGTTATTATGAACTTCAACTGGAGAAAATTGAAAAAAAAACATCAATATATTTGAGGATTTTATAAATACCTTCAAGAAAATGTGGTTAAAACTTTGACATATCCATGGTTATTTGAGATACATGTACCTTTGTTTGAAATACTTAGTTCTTAACTTTGCAGTTTATTTAACTTTTGAATCTATTTCCAGCGATTGTGTCAAATGACCTGTCGGGATGGAAGGGAGATAATTAATGCTGTCAGCATTCACAATGATAAACTTATTGCCTTAGATTGCATTAAGAGGTGAGAACCAACAAAAGTACCTGTCAATTTATTGTACTTTAAAGAAGAGACATAGAATATGATAGAAGATATTAATTCATTTGTTTCACCTGAAAATAACTACTCTCCAACTGCTACAGTAAAGCAGGCAGAAGAAACCTATAATGCCTGCTTTATCCTATTTTCTTCAGAGTACTTTCGGACTACCAAAGTAAACTGGGTGAGGAGTACATCCTGAGTGCCTTCCCATTTGAAAATGACAAACTTAGGGCAATGCAAATATTGCAAACAGTGAGTATATCTCTTTCTCAACATTAATAAAACAAGCAAGCATTTATTTGTCTTCCTGTGTACATTACTTCATTCTTTTATAGGTCAACTCATTTGTTGGAGACCATGTGGCTGCGGGAGGACACCAGGGCTATGCAGCCTTAGGAGGCCTGTATACACAAGCCCGCCCCATGGTGCCTCATCTTTATGGACCTGTGACTGACCAGGCAAAATTAATACCTGTAAGTTATCAGAAAATTTATTTCTATGGGAAGTTTTATTTGAAATTTCAGTTTTCTATATACAGTTGTAAGTTATTGAAATCTATCAATTTTCTCATCCACATAAAGAATGTGTAATTCTTAAAAATAATGTATAATTACAAAACTTGTGATTTTTTTGATTTAGGGTCATGGTAAAATAGAAATTCCTCCAGAAGCCCAGCCTGGTGTTGTTCCTTCTATCTACACTGGTCATCCGTCTTATGCCTACCCCCCAGACAGGAGTTATGATGAGGACAGGGGCTACCCAGGGAACTCAGACCTAGGCCAGACTCTACCGGGGGATTACCCCAAAGGAGCCCCTCCTCTGGGATATCACAGCGGGGCCCCAAATCCCACTGGCTTCTTAAAACTGGAGTCATAAATTAACTATTTTTAAAATTACTTATCAGGAAAAGTATGTTTCTTTTTTGAATTTATGTATCAATCATTATTAAAATTATTGCATTGTACAAAACCACAAGCTTTTAAAATATATTAACATTGTTTTCTTTTGCCTTCATTCATTGATTAAGGATTAAAATAGCATTAGACACTGTCAGTGTTACTGCCGTCCAAAATTTGCAAGGATTATGTATTTTAATTTTCATGATTTGTACAAGTTAGCACTGCACATAAGTTTTCTATGTATAACTCCAAATCGATCTGGTATGTATTCCATAAATTTTCTTTAAAAGGACAGACAACTCTTCCTCCTGAATTCTGTTTTACATTGAACCTATTTATTTTTAAAAATAAATTGTTTTTATTGTTTAGATTAACATTTTTGTAATGTTAAACCACTTGTTATTCTTTTGTTGATTTTTGTTTTTTTGTGAAATTGATTAGAAATGGATCCATGTCTGTTAAAATTTGAAAACTTTTTATGTTTGGGTTGATTCTCTTTTTATCACAGGAACTATTATATACATGCACACTTGTAACCTAATGTTGCTGTAAATTATTTATACTCACAAGTTGAGCACAGGTGATTTGGTGCATGTTGTACAACTATCAGTATTATACCTCCATGGTAGTGCAGGAACCATGTATGCTTGTTAGATTAAGCTGACTTTGTTTTATACGTTTAGGTCTTTTTTGTGTGTGGAACACACCTGTTTTGCAATTGGAATCCTAATACATTTGCAAGAATAAATGTTTCTTCTGGAAAACGCAGTTTTGTCTCTCTCTCTCTCTCATATAATTTGTTACTTAGATAAAACTGACACCTTAACTCATGAAAGTGTACCTTAATTAACCCATCACTCATGTTCATGTACAGATCACATAAATGAAGAACAAATACAATGATAATAATTTTAATAACATTCTTGGTTACATTTTCCAGTAAAACAATAAGCCAAATATCCCAGACATGGCTTGTACAAGGAATGTCATGTGTCAGATGCTGTCTCGGTGGAATTTAAACATTAAACAATTTACACATCAATAGTCATGAGCACATTATTCACACTCATGATTCTAACAGTTCTAAATATCATTTAAAATCAAACTTCTGACTAGAATATACATGATGTGAAATGGTCTGCTGGTATTACTACTACTTGCTAAACAATAAACTACAACTAACTGTATGTAATTCATTGGGATTGAAGTTGATAGTCTACAAGTTTTACATGCATTAATATACATCAACACTGTTACAACCGAAAAACAATGGATTGGATTTCAACAACTTGTACCCTCATATATAATCAATAACTTTATATGGTGAAATCTGAGATGAGACATGTCTTAGATTTATATAAAAAGATGTTACAGAAAGGTTTGATTGAGGAGTTCTCACCAAATATATAATGCAAAGAGATAATTTAACCCATTTTGTCATTTGAAAATCACAGCCTTATAAATTGACAATAAACCCCTCCTTTTGGCCTCCTGCCATGTTATCAGTATATAACCTTGTCCCTGTGGTTGATCAGAATATTGGGATGTAGCTGTCTATCTTTGCCCTATGTCTCTGGGCCACACACTCAGCTATCCAGATAATGTTTCTGTTCTCTTGCTCCTTTAGTTTGACGTAGGCATAAAACACTCCAAACTGAAACTGCTGCATGAAGGAGTTCTTCATGAATTTTACCTGAAATAAAATTACTTATTTAAAAAGCATCTCTTGAAACATCACATATATATATATATATATATATATATATAAAGATAACTTGTATGTGGTAATATTAACCTCTGAAAATAGATCAATATATCCCAGTTGACCCAATTTTGATCTTCATTAATTTTATCATTAAAATAATAAATTAAACATAGGTAATCAGAGATTACAGAGCTCACCTCAACGAATGTTGTCTTTAAGTAAGGCAAATTAAGTCACACAATTAACCAACAAAAAGTGTACATCCAAAAATGCAAAATTTATGCAATTTTGATACTTTGGAATAGACCTATATAAAAACTTAAAACTAGTTCTTCATCATGAAAATGTAATTAAAATCCAGCATCTGAAGCAAGATTGAGAGTTTTCATCCCTTGATGCATCATTTGTGCAATTTCGGTTTATATAAGCCTTATAGTTTCTTGGTGATAGACCTGCACCCATAACTTTTACCTTAGTGTCTATTATCTGGAAAATGTGTGCGAAGTTCAGCATTGAAAGCAAGTCCATTAGTGTTCATCCTAAGATGTATCATCCATGCAAGTTTGTTCAACATAGAGCTCAAAGTTACTTGGAAATGAAACCTGTATAAAAAACTAACATTTTCACTAATCCAGAAAATGTAGGTCAGATTCAGCTTCTGAAGCCAGCCTAGTAGAATGCACCCTTGTGTACCATCCATGCAAGTTTGGTCATTATAGGGCTCAAAGTTACTTGGAAATGAATCCTGCACCATAAACTTTAACCTGTTTACTCATCCAGAAAATGTAGGTCAGATTCAGCATCCGAAGCAAGTCTGGTAGTATGCATCCTGAGATGTACCATCCATGCAAGTTTGGTCATTATATGTCTCATAGTAATTTTGAAAGAAACCTGCACCAAAAACTTTAACCTGTTCACTCAACGCGGAAAATGTAGGTCAGATTCAGCATCCGAAGCAAGACTGGTAGTATGCATCCTAAGATGTACCATCCATGCAAGTTTGGTCATTATATGTCCCATAGAAACTTGGAAATGAAACCTGCATTAAAAACTTTAACCTGTTCACTCAACCGGAAAATGTAGGTCAGATTCAGCATCCAAAGCAAGTCTAGTAGAATGCATCCTAAGATGTACCATCCATGCAAGTTTGGTCATTATAGGGCTCACAGTAGGAGGAAATGAAACCTGCACCAAAAACTTTAACCTGTTCACTCAACCGGAAAATGTAGGTCAGATTCAGCATCCGAAGCAAGTCTGGTAGTATGCATCCTAAGATGTACCATCCATGCAAGTTTGGTCAACATAGGGCTTATAGTAACTAGGAAATGAAACCTACACCAAAAACTGCACCAAAAATGTTAACCTGCACCAAAAACATTAACCTGGTCATTCCTTTGCTGAAATTGCAGCATCTGAAACTCTGACTGGTACAATGAAACACATTAGAAACATCTTCCATGCATGTCTAATCAATATAGGACATAGAAGTACATAAAAAGAAAACTGCTCCAAAAAACTTAACCTTAACTCGGGACGCTGACGCCGACACCGACGCCGAGGGTATCACATAAGCTCCCCCCACCTTCGTTGAGGTGAGTTAAAAAGGAAAGTCTACATGGATTACCTCTTGTTCAAAGAATTTGTCCTCTAGAGTTTTCTCCCCTGGTCCAGTACCACTTCCCTCAAACAAGTCCTTGTAGTTCTAAAAATTATAATATTATCATACATTAATGATCCACATGAAAATCTAGCTTGAATTTTTTTTAAATTATTAAACTCTGTTCATCAAAATGTATCATATCCAGATAAGTGTAAATTTAAAATGATAAGTCAAACAAAAATGTTTTTTATGTTCCTTATTTTGTTGCAATATTGATTTTGATACTCAGCAATTACACAAGTATATATTTACCTTCCACTTCACATGTTTTACACATAATATACAACTCCCTTGATCAAAATTAATTTGAATATCTTACGAAGGTTGAACACGACCTAACAAGTTAACTCTGTCTAAGCTTACCCCGTAGATGTCAGCGACCTGTCTGACTTGGTCGTAGTCGTCAGCCTTGGCCAGTAGCTGGAGTCCGTAGGGGTACAGGTCACCACAGCGGGGGTACAGCTTGGCCCGGTCCTCCTTAGTCAGCTCCGTCCCAAACGAGTTGATCGTGATGATGAAAGCTCTCCTGTCAGCCTCAAACTGAAATGTACGATGAAGATGGAATACCACTTTGATTATATCATCATATTCTAGGCCAATTGTTTGTTTGCCCTCCCTCAACCAACTGCCTCATCAAAATTTTTTTATAACCCCAGAAAGTGATCCCCCCCCCCCCATTTTCATACACAGATTTCCTCATTCTGTCAAAATGTATGTTTAAATGTCCTAGGAAAAAAATTCCCAACCTACTTATCAACCCAATTTTTTTACCTTGAGTCGGGAAAGGGCAAACAAACATTATTTTACAGATGGTCTTATTGTTTATATCATCATAATTTTTATGATACTCTATTCATATCCCAATTCTTCACAATATTCTACTGAAATCATCATAATACTGAACTTCCCAATTTCAAGGTCTGAATTTAAGGCTGCTCGTAAAATAAGTTCTCATTTCTTAGTTCCTTGATCACTGGCAAATACATGTTTTTAGTATCATTATAAGGAACAAGATATCAGATCACAAATAAGCATCAGATAAAGCAAAATTGTTTTATTGTGTAGCAGTTCGGGCTTTACGGACCGTGGATATCGGCCTGGATAGCTCAGTGGTTAGAGCACCTGACTAGTGATACAGGGGTCCCAGGTTCGATTCCAGTTCCAGGCATATGTTTTCTTTGTGCATTTCTCCTTTCCTACTATATTTGGTGGCCAGTGTGGGGGGCCTTGTTCAGGTTACAGTGTTTGTGTAAATTAGTAATTCCTGGCAGGACCCTAGAACTTGTGTCTTTGAGGTCGAAGACTGTATAAGGAGGGAGGAATGTAGAAGTTCGGGCTTTATGGACTGTGGATATCGGCCTGGATATCTCAGTGGTTATTGCACCTGACTAGTAATACAGGGGTCCCGGGTTCGATTCCTGGTCCAGCCATAGGTTTTCTTCGCACATTTCTCCTTTCCTACTACAATTGTTATGTTTTGTATTACATGTAATGGTGTACTTACAGCCAAAGCTTCACACATGGCTTCTGCAGTTGATCCCCCCAACTCTCGACAGAAACTGTAAAAGTCCTCCAAATAAGCCTGTAACAGTCAATGATATCACATACAGATTACTCAATAAAGCACATTTTATTTAAATAACATCTTATGACTACTGTTGTATGTACCCCGGTACTGTACAGTGTAAAATGTAAAGTATGAAATACCTTGTACAATGTGTTTCTGATGATTTCAATGTTCATCTCATCAAGATCTTGTTCAGATATACAGTCAAGGAAATAAGGAGCTGGAAAAGAAAGATTACTAAACTATATTGAAAACTGAGATTTCTCATCAAGTTTGTCATACCATACATGTTCAGAAATTTAAAAACAATTATTTGGAAGTTCAGCTATGAAAAGTTTCTATTAAAAACATAGCATATGCATGAATCACATGATACGTTAATATCAGTGACACCGGAATGATGCAAGTCTTCAGTACAGTAGAGATCCGTTATTACGGTGACGGTTTTATACGATAGAACGCTTATTACGTTGTAAATTCAAAGCACAAATCCATTTCTTAACAAATCTATACAAAAAAGAACTGTTTATTACGTTGTCCAAAATCGTCAGGTCTCAGTAATACGATGTAAAAATTCTGTCAAAAATTTTTTCACTCCGTGTTTATTCAGTGTTGATTGCTGGTAGACACTTAAGGAGATTAATAAACATTGGAACACCTGTGCTCTGAGAGAGTGTTAACTAACAGGGCAGTTTGGTGATTAGTGACGCTTGATTGCACCCACCTGGTCTGTTCCAGCGAGCCCAGCAGATTTGGAGACGTGCCAAAGCCATTGTTAAACAATTAAAGTTTACTCATAAACCTAGCTTCTTCTATCGCTGTAATTTTTTTTTTTAAATTCTTTTATTCTTTATTTCATACTTTGTTTAATAAATTAATTTAATAAATAAAAGGTTATATTTAATATTATGCATGTATGCTGTACACAGGTTCACATAATGTGTAATTTCGTTTGCAAATAAACTGCGTAAATAAACAGCTTGGGTATCAAACATAATTTGGACAAATTTTGAACTCCACACACGTTTTAACAGCTTGGGTAGTGGCTTGGACTACCTCTCAGTTGTCAGCAGAAATACAAATCGATAATTGCTGAACTGCTAATTGACCTCTGTTCAGTAATTAAAAAAAAATTATTTTGACAGATTGCTTGTCTATTTACTTTGACCTTTTTATTTGAAAAAAAAAGTTGTTGTTTATTTAGAAATGACTTTTAATTGTATAGAAAGAGAATAAAATAATCAGAATTTTGGTAGTTGTTTATATAGAAATGACTATGACTACGAAGACATTGAAATTTTCACGAACGCATTATCTAACATTATGTTAATTTTAAAGTGAAAGTACATGTTACAGAAAATGGCGGCAATTAAAAGAAAATTGTCGAAGTTTCTATTAAAAAATGTGCTCTATGCTTTTACTATGATGGAAAAAGAAGAAATAGCATCATGAAAATAAGTTTTACAGACAAGTAATCAATGAATTAAGTGTATATGGCATATTGGAGAAGAATTTGAGCATGAAAAGGAGATAGAAGGAGAAAAATATACCCCCTAATAAAAGAATACGTTTTCCAAACGATGTTTAACAGAATTTTATTGGGAACTTTTATTACGTTGCCCTCAGTATTACGATATTTTACCGTGACAAAGTGAACATCGTAATAACGGGTCTCTACTGTATTACCAATAGGTGTATCCACCAGCACAGCATTGTATAACTCTGCTGGAGTTGATGCAATATGAATGGCCTCCATTTGTTCAAAGCTTCCAAGTGGGTGACATTTTGGAATGAGTTCATTGATGGGACGTTGATGTAGAATTCCGGTGATTAGAAGGATGATGTTGTCAATCATGTAGCTGTACCTGAATTACATCCAGAAAAAAATCAATTAAAATCACCATTTTCAATTAATGACTCGTTATGATTATAAGATATTTCAGTTCAGTTACTTACGTGATATAGTCAAGGAAAGTTGACATTGGTTCAACACACTGATTACGTAAGTGCTGAAACTCTACAACTAACTTCTCCTTTAATTTGTCATCAATCACAGACACAGTGAGGGGACTTGGTTCATTAGCCAGAAAATTTCCATAGTCTGTGCTCTGTAGATGTAACTTTAAGTCTGAAAAATTTATCATCATCACATTGTCAAGAAAACATATAACATTTCCACATCATCAGGGTGAAAGAAACATCAAATAAATAGTTTAAAATAATTTCAATGATAACCTTATAACTAAAATAACTTGTTTATCTATATCCATCTTTTTTAAATGTGCTTCCTACAATCTGCCATATATAGAAGTCAATGAGCATTATTGACATTATTGTTGCATGCAACAGAACATAAAAACTTGTTATTCATATTAAAAACGTTTTAAAAACGAGTTTGAAATGCCAAACATTTGATGTAAATGAAAATATTATTATTTAGAGTAAAAGACACGCATACAAGCTCAAAAAGGTTTGTTATGATGAATCTGGTAAGTATTTTACGAGCAATTTTTCTTTGTATTCTTCAATATTGTTTCAAAGCAGATCCGCTCCATCTTGCTTTATTAAAACTATATAAGACGTGTTTTAACTGATGAGAACTTGTTAAATTATTCTAACTACATGTATCTGTAAACAGCAATAATTATAAGTTACATTATGTTATACCCCCCCCCCCCCCTTTTCACATAAAAAAATATTTATATTATCATGATAATCAGCTTTCTGTAATAGCTGTAATACATTCCGAGGCAATGTCGATGAGATAGACAATTTTTTTTTCGTTAAGATAGCAGAAAAATACTACAAAAAGAGAAGCAGAGAACTCCGAGGTCTTATGACAGTTACGACATCACCGTACCTTCCAAGGTTTCACACTGAACCAAGTTTAAATAATCGCTCTGCTTGAGGATCCCGCTCTTAAATCCTCGTAACAGACCCTCCAGATACCCGTGGTCTATATTAAAAGTCATCTCTTGCATGTAACCCATCATCATCTTTGCAAATTGTGTTGAATGCCACTGTTGTCGTGTGATCAATATTACGGAAATGATAATTTTAGGTCGCCCTCTTTCGGCGGTGTAGGATGATTCCCGAGCCCGATGTCAATATAGGTATGGAAAAATAGCTAGAATAATAGCTAAAATGATTTTAAAGTTTATTCAATTTATTCAGTCAAGTAATCTTAAAATGAACCACCAAATGTTATCTTGATTTAGAAAACACGTTCCTCTTTTACATTGTGAAGAGAGTCGTGTGTTTTTTGGTTTTTTTTTTTGGGGGGGGGGGGGGGGGTTTAAACATATGATTAACATGACGTCATAATCGTTATTGTGACTTCACTTTTGTTTGTTAGATACAGTCTAAAGGGAAAGATTCAGTTAGCCTTCGCGGTGACAGACTGTTAGAGCATTCACATCTCTTCAAGCATCACACAGACAGCAAAGATGGATGTCTTCGTTCGTAAGAAGGTAATGTGTCCAAATATATTAACAATGATATTAGCAATTTGTCATCAAAACATGTGTAAACTATTTTCAAACGGCTAAACCTATTTCTTATATTATTCTGATACCACAGGACTTATTAATTTCAATAACATCATTTGAAAATTGAGCTGTGCTTTGCTCTGCTTTTTAAAATAATTTTATATGTATATTTTTGTTAAATTTGATTTTGGAATAGTTCTAGATAAAGTAGATATATATGCCAGAGGTACCATCATATACTGTATACAAAACGGGGGAATTCAAAAAAAAAAAAAATCAAGAGAATGTGATTGGGCGAAGTATTGTTTGCAAGTGTGAAAAGTCGAAAATAACACGATGCGAAAATTATCTTGTTTGCAGTATAATATATGTATGCCAAGACATTGGATTCCTCGGTTTCGTTCTTTGACAATAATCAAGAACAAAATACAACTTTTAACAATTTAAAATGTGAATCTTATAAGAATTAAGTCGCAAATTGCTTAAATAGTAATACTAGTACGATCCACACCCCTCGGATACCAGAAGTCAATTGTAGTATTGTACATGGTTCTATTTTCTGCCTCCCGAGTTCAGACTACAAATTCAAAACAAGCGAGTTTATTGGTCTGTAGAGTCAAATATAAAGGGTTAGGAAGTGGATAAAATACATATGTTTCAGACTGGTTAAAAAGATGTTAAGACAGTTTAGGTGTAGAAAGTGAAATGTAGCTGATTGACCAAAGCTGGAAAGTAAAGAAATACATGTACTAGTACTCCCCGTGTAACTGTGCGCAAAACATCTTTTGTCGTTAACTGCACCTTAATTTTGCATTATGGGATCTGTAGTGTTATGGTCAAAGGCTCAAATATACACGCTAATTCAGAGAATGTGCCCAGAGAACGCACCAGTTATACAATTAGTAAATAGCATATACTCACTTTGGTATTATGCAATTTAAGTTGCCGAAAGAATATATGTGTCATTTGGCTATCACTAACATGAGATGGATATCACTGGAGATATAGAATTTTAGAAAACATTATCATTAATTTTTAGATGTTCACCGATCCCCACACAGGGAGCTCAGCTCGTTTCCAGACAGATGGGAAAAGTGGCAAATTGAGGGAACCTGCTCGACAAAGGAACAGAGTTTGGAGCTCGAGAAGACCGGTAAATAGATATGTCTGGTTAAATTATATTTATTTGGCCTAGAGCGTTATGGGAAAGAAAATATCCTTGTATCGCATCATTGAAAAATTAGATGATGATTTGCACACTGTAATTTTGCAGTCCCAGCACCAAGAAAATCTTAATGGCGAAGACCTAACAAGATGGGAGAATAAAAGATTCCATTATAACCGTTATAGCACCAATGACGCAGCGAGACCACAGGAGAATGGCAGAGCCCCGCATAACCGCTACAATAGCGCTGACACAACAAGGACTCTAGAAAAAGATAACGGGTCCTCTCTTAATCGCTTCAGTAGTAATGACACAGCGAGACCACGGGAGAATGACAGAGACCTGCAAAGCCTCTACAATAGCACTAGAACATCTGAACTTCAGGAGAAAGATGGTAGATTCCCTCTTAATCGTTACTATAGCACTGACGCAGCGAGACCAAAGGAAAATGATAGAACCCATCTTACTCGCTACAATGGTACTGACGCAGGTTTGCTTCAAAAAAACGGAAGATCCTCTCTTAAGAGCTACACAGAACCAGCTAGGCCTCAGAAATATTGTAGAAACACCCCTTACCCTTACCACTGGATCGCTGGCGCAACGAGGTCTGGGGAAACTGGCAGTAACCCTCTAAACCGCTTCAGCAGTACTGACACAACGAAGCCTGGGAAAATTGGCAGTAACCATCTTATCAGCTTCAGCAGTCCTGATACGAGACCACAAGGAAATGTGAGATCTCCTCATAACCAGAAAGTTAGCACTGGCACAATGAGGCACTTGGAGAATACGAAACCCCCTCTTCACAGCCACAGCAAGACAGTGGCCCAGTCTCCAGATCAGAGCGACAAACCCAGCCCAGAGGCAGCCAACCCTGGACCTAGCCACGCCCCCCGGATACCAGAAGTCAAGTCTCTATCCAACGACAACCAAGATGTGGGGATACAGGTTAGCGTTAATGTTTGTCAGGTTTGAACTGAGTCCCTTATATATATCCCTGGAATTCCATCACCGGTATCAATGGAACTTTTTCAGAATAAAGAGTGCGTGCAATTTGACTTTTTCTTTGAAGAATATATAGATTAAATCGACACTGTCAACGATGTAGCAGTTATTTTGTTACACTTATAGACATTCGTTCTTCTGACCTCAGAATGAAACGTTTTTGTTCATTGTAGGATCTGAGACAGAAGTTGAACTGCTTAAGAGAATCCAGACTGTTGATCAAGCATCCTGCAATTGAACAGGTTCGTATTGATATTTAATTTATTCAGATTTGGATATTATAACTTTTTGTGAACAAGAAAATTTGCCAGGTTCACGAACCATGATTAAGTAGAACCCGTTATGAATATTACTCATATTTCTTTTTCTGTATAGGAGCCAAATAAAACTGTGTCCAAAAAGCGAAAAAGAGTGGAAACTGCAGAGGATGACATGGTCAAACCTCCAGCGAAGAGGGTGAAAATAACCACAGTTTGTGCACAAAGTGATTGAGAATTGGTTAGTAGACAAAGATTCATCTACAACAACAACAAAAATCATTAGTAACCATAATGCAAGAGTCGAAATGTGCATATTTATCTCCATTTTAATTTCAGTACGATTTTGAGGACGAGTTGGACCTCAGTGAGCCCCTCTCGGACGGAAGCTGGGGAGGATTCAGACCCTCACCCGGCAAGAGTGTTTCTTAGATTGGTACACCAAGTAGATTAACTGAAGATAGAACTCTGAAACTGTTGATGTATTTCTAATCTTTTGTACTCAAATGGCAACGAACTTTATTTAATACAATTGAAATTCAAGTCAACAGACTAGTAGTATTATTAATAAAACTTCATAAACTAATCCATGTTGTTGTTGCTGTGAGAGAAAGACAGAGAACCAGGGTCGAGATATCCTATGTTATCAATCATTGACGATCTCTATGATTTTTTTAGCTTCAGAAAAGTTTAGGAAGCAGTCGAGTGTTCCAGAATTAAGACACAAACTGTCAAAACCCGCAAAGGAAAAGCTAAATAGACTAAGTCTCCTTTCGGGGTGTCTTTTAGAACAGTCTGGTAGATGCATATGTAATTAAAAAAAATTATCCTATTATCACCCTGTTTCAAAATGATATTGCTTGCAAGTGATGTGATTATTAAGAAGTAAAAATTTTGTGAATATTCGAAATTTTCTTCCAGTTTTCATCATTAGTAAGGCACAAAGTGTATCAGAAAACACAGAGCACAAACTTACCTATTTACCAAGTTTATACATGTGTATCAAATACATAGTATCTGTAGAGTTAGTTATGTATGGAATTCAAATGTAGGCAAGTTTGCCTTCCATGTTTTCAGAGCAGAAAATTTACCGCGTTTCAATCTGGCAGCATTGAAATTCGGGAGGGAGGGGGTTTTGCATCCAATCAAAGTGAAACATATGATTAACATGACGTCATAATCGTTATTGTGACTTCACTTTTGTTTGTTAGATACAGTCTAAAAGGAAAGATTCAGTTAGCCTTCGCGGTGACAGACTGTTAGAGCATTTACATCTATTCAAGCATCACACAGACAGCAAAGATGGATGTCTTCATTCGTAAGAAGGTAATGTCTCCAAATATATTAACAATGATATTAGCAATTTGTCATCAAAATATGTGTAAACTATTTTCAAACGGCTAAACCTATTTCTTATATTATATATTCTGATACCACAGGACTTATTAATTTCGATAACATCATTTGAAAATTGAGCTGTGCTTTGCTCTGCTTTTTAAAATAATTTTATATGTATATTTTTGTTACATTTGATTGTGAAATATTTCTAGACAGAGTAGGTATATATGAGGTACCGTCATATTCTGTATACAGGAGGGGCGAATTCCATAAAATTTCAACAGAATGTGACTGGGCGAATTATTGTTTGCAAGTTTGAAAAGGCGAAAATTATCCTGTATGCTGTTTATATGTATGCCAAAACACTGGATTCCCCGGTTTCGTTCTTTGGCGATGATCATGTCTCTAGCTTGAGGAACGTACAACTTTAAATAATTTTAAATATGAATCTTATAGGAATTAAGTCTCAAATTGTTTAAATAACAATATATTAAGACAGTTTAGGAGCAGGGGGTGAATTGTAACTGATTGCTCAAAGCTGGAAAGTAGAGAAATTCTCCCCAACTGTATGTGCGCAAAACATCTTTTGCCGTTGCATTATGGTCAAAAGCTAAAATATACATCTGTGTTCCCTGCTTAAGGGGAAAATAGAACATTCGGGGGGGGGGGGGTCGAATATCATTTATGGTATAAAATTTTTTTGCAAAACCCCAAAATCTTCTTGAGATATCGCCCGGAAATGAAATTTTTAAACACACAAAGAATTATGATTTTACGACCTTCGACCTTTTAGCTTAGAAATAAACAGGGATCTTCCTTACACCATATAGGGAGATTTGGTATAAAATGTCATTGCAAAAGCTCAAAGGCTTCTACAGATATCGCACGGAAACAGAATTATGAAAATAGACATCTATTATATGAATTTATGACTTTCACCCTTTACCTCCTGACCTCAAAATCAAAAGGGATCTAAATTAGGCCAAGTGGAGTTGTTGTGCAAATTTCAGTGCAAAAGCTCAATGACTTCTCGAGATATCGCATGGGAAACGAATGTGTTTCAGACAGATAGAACTACAGCCAACAGACGGACAGACAGACCGAAATTAATATCCCCCACTTTCAGCGGGGGACAAAATCCAATAAAACCATAACGCTACAGTTATGCAGTTATTGTAAATAGCATATTCTATTGTAGGTATTACACAATTTAAGTGGTTGGAAGTACTTGGAACTTATTTGTTGCAATTGTTGCCGAAAGAATATATGTGTCATTTGGAGAGCACTAACATAAGTTGGATATCACTGGAGATATATAATTTTAGAAAACATTATCATTAATTTTTAGATGTTCACCGATCCCCACACAAGGAGCTCAGCTCGTTTCCAGACAGATGGGAAAAGTGGCGAATTGAGGGAAAGGAACAGAGTTTGGAGCTCGAGAAGACCGGTAAATAGATATGTCTGGCTAAATCATATTCTTTTTATTTTTTATATTTTAAACAAAGGTAATAAAAATCCCCGACAATTACATTTATATATATATACGGGTGATATGCTATTGAATTTTTACTGATTGATTTTAGAGGAAGTACTCCTCTTGGCCAAGAACGTTTCTGGAAAATAAAAATTATCCTTATATCGCATTATTGAAAAATTGGATTATTTTGCAGTCCCAGCACCCAGAACATCTTAATGGCGGAGACGTAACAAGATGGGAGAGTAGCAGATTCCATTATAACCGTTATAGCAGCAACGACGCAGCGAGACCACAGAAGAATGACAGAGCCCCGCATAACCGCTACAAAAGCACTGACACAACAAGGACTCTAGCGAAAGATAACGGGTCCTCTCTTAATCGCTTCAGTAGTAATGACGCAGCGGGACCGGCGAGACCACGGGAGAAAGACAGAGACCTGCAAAGCCTCTACAATAGCACTGGAACATCTGAACTTCAGGAGAAAGATGGTAGATTCCCTCGTAATCGTTACTATAGCACTGATGCAGCGAGACCAAATGAAAATAATAGAACCCATCTTACTCGCTACATGTACAATGGTACTGACGCAGGTTTGCTTCAGAAAAACGGAAGATCCTCTCTTAAGAGCTACACAGATACAGCTAGGCCTCAGAAATATTGTAGAAACACCCCTTACCGTTACCACTGGATCGCTGGCACAACGAGGTCTGGGGAAACTGGCAGTAACCCTCTAAACCGCTGCAGCAGTACAGATGCAAGAAGACCTCAAGGAAATGCGGGATCTCCTCATAACCGGAAAGTTAGCACTGGTACAATGAGGCACTTGGAGAATACGAAACCCCCTCTTCACAGCCACAGCAAGACAGTGGCCCAGTCTCCAGATCAGAGCGACAAACCCAGCCCAGAGGCAGCGAACCCTGGACCTAGACACACCCCTCGGATACCCAGCTTAGAGGCAGGCAACCCTGGACCTAGCCACGCCCCTCGGATACCAGAAGTCAAGTCTTTGTCCAACGACAACCAAGATGTGGGGATACAGGTTAGTATCAATGTTTGTCAAGTTTGAACTAAGTCCATGTCTCTGAAATCCTTTTATAGGTATCAGTACACGTTTTCAGAATAAAGAGAGCATGAAATTAGACTTTTTTTTCTTCAAAGAATATTCATGCATATACAACTATATCGAAACTGTCAGTGACCTAGCAGTATTTTTTTCTTACACTTATAGACATTCGTTCTTATGACTTCTGAATGAAACGTTTTTGTCCATTGTAGGATCTGAGACAGAAATTGAATTGTCTAAGAGAATCCAGACTGTTGATCAAGCATCCTGCAATTGAACAGGTTCGTATTAATATTTAATTTATTCCCAGTGTCAGATTGGGATATTATAACTTTTTGTGTACAAGAAGATTTGCCAGTTTGGCGAATCATGATTAAGTAGTTCCCGTTATGAATATTATTTCTTTTCTGTATAGGAGCCAAATAAAACTGTGTCGAAAAAGCGAAAAAGAGTGGAAACTGCAGAGGATGACATGATCAAACCTCCAGCGAAGAGGGTGAAAATAACAACAGACTGTGCACAGAGTGACTGTGAATTGGTTAGTAGACAAAGATTCATCTACAACAAAATAAGATCATTTCGTAATCGACTTGTAATACAAGAGTAGAAATGAGCATGTTTATCTTCATTATTATTATTTCAGTTGGATTGGGATGACGAGTTGGACCTCAATGAGCCCCTCTCGGACGGAACATGGGGAGGATTCAGACCCTCACCCGGCAAGAGTGTTTCTTAGATTGGTACACCAAGAAGAGGTTGATTAGCTGAAGATAGAACTCCATATAACTGTGAATGTATTTCTCATCTTACTCAAATGGCAGCGAACTTCATTTAAAACAATTGAAATTGAAATCAGCGGACTACTAGTATTAATAATAAAACTTCATAAACTAATCCATGTTGTTGTTGCTGTAAGAGAAAAACAGAGAGATATCCAATATTATCAATCATTGACGATCTCTATGATTTTTTTTAGCTTCAGAACAGTTTAGGAAGCAGTCGAGTGTTCCAGAAACTGTCAATACCCGCAAAGGACAAGCTAAACATTCCCCCTTTTCTGCCAAATTTGTGGTGTCTTTTAGAACAGTCTGGTAGATGCACATGTAATTTAAAAAAAAACAACAACCTGTTATCACTCCTGTTTCAAAACGAGTTTTGCTTGAAAGTGACGTGATTATTCAGAAGTAAAAATTTTGTGAATATCCGAATTTTTCTTATTTTATTCCAGTTTTCATCATTGGCAAGGCACAAAGGGCACCAAAAAACACAAGCGCAAACTTACATATCTACGAAGTTTAAGCATGTGTATCAAATACATAGTATCTGTAGAGTTAGTTATGAATGGAATTCAAAGGTAGGCAAACTTGTGGTCCGTCTTTTCCAGCGAGGAAAGTATACCGCGAATCCAACTGGCAGCATCAAATTCGCGAAGGAGGGGATTTTCGTAGATTTCATCTTTACAGGTTAATAGGGACGTAATTTCGTGTAATCAGTCATATCTATGTACAAAAGATTGTATATTATTTAACGTCCCTCTCGTGAATTTTTCACTCATATAGAGACGCCACCACTTGCCTATGTAGAGCTACAAATTTTGACCTATACTCGGCACTTAGGGCCATTGAGCAGTGAGGGATCTTTTTCGTGCCAGCACGTACTGCGACACGGGACCTCGGTTAATATGGTCTCATCTGAAGGACCGGTCTCCACGTCCCACAGTGGAATTCGAACCCGCGACGTAAGGATCAACGCCTAATACTTAGCGACTCTTGACTCTTTGAGTAGACGCTCTAACCACTGCGCCACGCGGGCGACTATCTACTAAAAAAAATATGACTGAAATCCTTGTGTATTAATTTCGTGGAGGATGTAAGTTTGCGTATGAAGTATACCCACGAATTCAACAATTAATGAGACAGTACTAAATCCATTATGATTGCACAGGGTATGTGAAATGAGGAATTTTTGACAAATGGTCAAGTTTGTCACCCTGTTATCTTGTGGTTAAGGGCCCATATTTGACTGTAATCATATCTTGTCCTTTACGAATTATATACACAGTACTATTTTATATTTAACGCTTTACCTGTATTGTAAAGTATCGTATAACATCTCACACTAAACACTATGGGTGAATCTATTTAAAACTAAAATTAAATATTCAGGAGCAAGTCAAGCTTTGTTTAAAAATATCTTGAACTTCAATCTTTAAAAAAGACAATTGTATTCAATTTCAAACAGACGTATTTATCCAGTCATTCGGATCACTGGACAATGTTAGATAACTTTGAAGTCCAGAAAGACAGAATATAAGAAATAAAATATAGGTGCTTTGTAATACCGTTATAAAAAGCAGAAAACATGGCCCAAGAGGACAGGAAAGTCAGCTTTGCAAATGCTGATGAATTTTTTACTTTGGATCATGCAGAAACTTTCAATGTAAGCGAAGGAAACCACTCGCCAATCCCCCAAAGCTGTTGTGAAATTTGCGAAGATAGAGTTCCAGCTATCTGGATCTGTGTGGACTGTGACCAAACTCTTTGTGAGAAATGTAAAAACGCACACCTAAAGAGCAGGGCATCCATCAACTGTAATGTTGTGTCAATATCCATGAAAAAGAAGTATGCGTTCGAAGAAAACAGTTGTCTTTTTCACCCGCGGGAAATATGCCAGCAATTCTGTCGATCGTGTAACAGAAGAGTCTGCTCCAAATGTGTAGCTCTTGAGCACAACAAACACAGCTATGTAGATCTGGACGAAGTCGTCCGAGAGAAAAAGACCAACCTTCACAAGAGATTGGATCGACTGAGGAAGCAGGACCTCCCGGAGATAAGAATCCGCACCTCCATACTGCAGAGGAATCAGGAAGAATATTCAAAGTCGGTCCAAAACCTGGTCCACGAGATTTACAAACGACACGAAATATGGAAAAGAAAGGCAGAAGAAATCAGAGACAAAGTTTTACGAGATATCAAGAAAACAGAGAAAGATGACATGGAAACAATGAAGCGAGCTAGAAATTCTCTCGAAAAATCGTCCAATGAGATGGAACTGCTTCTGGAAAACTTGGAGAAAGAAATCGACGTCAAATCGGACAGGAAATGTATCAACTTCTGCGATAACGCAGAAAAGAAAATTGATCGTCTAGTTGTGCCGAAGAAATTGGATCCACCTAAACCACCAAAGTTTGTGACGATGGCATTTAGCACAAGTTTGATGACTAGGCAATTTGGTTTACTGGAACCTCAAATAAAGGTGATAAAACCCAAACCAGAAAAACCTATTAAACTTCCATCGCCTGAAATGAAGAAGAGGATTGTGAAAAATAGACTGGTGACCGTTGTGTACACCCTGCAGACACCCGGGAACATATTCAGTGTGTGTCCTGTTGGTAAGGGCACGGCGTGGATTGGAGCGGGCCACAGTGACAAGTCTGTCAGGAACGGATCTCTGTTCCTGGTGGATGTGGACGGCAATACCACCATGACTCTAAAAACTGGTTACAACCCGCTCAGTCTCGCCATTACAAAATCAGGAAACATCCTCTTCTGCAGCGGATTTCGGTGTCGTCTGGTTGATTTCAATAATTCTGGTAAAATAACTATCTTCAATGATAAAGCTACATACACCAAAGGGGTGACCACAACAAAAGATGACAACCTGCTGGTCTCCTATGTAAACGACGGGAAGATCATACGGATGTCCACAAGCGGTAAAATTCTGGAGACCATAGAAAATGATAACAAAGGACATAAACTAGTGGAATCGCCACTCTCTGTGAAAGAGAATATGAATGGTGACATCTGTGTCATAAATGGGGTATCTGGAAAATACCTAACGGCAAAAGGAAAAGAGCTGGTCTGTCTAACTGAAGGCAAAATTAAATTCAAATACTACGGCAATACTACTACACAAGCTTCAATAAAGCCTACCTTCAGTGATATTTCATGTGATAAGAAAAGTAACATATTTATATCAGATTACCATAACGACTGTGTACACATGCTGGACAAAGATGGGAGGTTTCTGAGATTTGCTGGGACAAGAGAGGATGGTATCATTAGTCCAGAAGGAATTGCTATTGACAACAAAGGAAATCTTATGATCTGTTCCCAAAACCATCTCATCTACATTGAGAACTATTGAATATCCTAGATCTAGATGACAAGCATTTCATTACCAAGGTCAGTGAAGTTTGAGGAATTATTGTTTTGATTTCTCTACCCATGAGACAGCTGGGAAGAATTTTTAGTGTTTTAAAGATATCTAAGAAAAAAATGTGTCCTAGCATATGATATAAATAAATCATTGCTCATCTGGGTTCTTTTGTCCTTCTTTTCTTCATCAGCAGATTTTTCTGCTTTTAATTTACCAATAGAGTGTATATCACTACATTTATCTCCCCTTGAAAGAAGGCATTTCTCTCCATTTGAACATACAGTACTTGCCCCAGTAATTTGGAGAAAATGAAATCACGAGAAGGTAAACTACAACGACAACAGACAAAAGCAAATTTTGATCAGAAAAGTTCACTTTAACTTTAGGTGAGCAAAATGTCAGTGTCAGAGGTGTGCATTGTGTAAGTGCAATCTATTTACATTCTGAACTAATAAAAAAAGAAATATTTTTGTTCCATAATTTAATATTTTTTGCTTAGAACAACCTATTTTTCTAGTAACAGTGAAGTAACAAATAAAACTGTTAAACATTGATAGATAAGGATGTAAAAGAAAATAAAAAGAAAGACATCAACCTGATGAATACATTGGCATACAGTGTACATGAACAGCCTGACTGCAGGAACTGTTTTATTACTGCTGGTAGTCAGTACAGATAAAATACTGACCACTGATTTACTGTAATACAGAGTACAACCTCAGAAACACATAATTTCATCCCTTAAGCTTTAGAGATTTCTTGCATCAGGTTTTGTCTTTGTTTCGAAGAACAAAGTAATTTGTCCCCAGTGAATTAACTCGCATTAAATGTTTAGGTAGTGGCTCATTGGCTAGCCCACAGCTTGCTAAGTTACGAACTCCCTCTAACACAGAAGGTCCTTCAAACTTTACACGACATCTAAATGGTTCATCCTCTACTGGAAAGTTTACCAGGTTCTGACTTCCTCTAAATTTCACCTCCACCTATGGAGAAAAAGATAAAACAGAAAAACATAAAATACTTTGTCTGAAATAAAAACCAACAACCAGTGCACATATTATTTAAAAACAAGCGGCCAATGGGCCACAATGTTCATTTGATTAACTATGGCCTTTCTGTTCTTCATCAACAGATTTTTCCCCTAATATATTCCTATGTAAAATTAAGATAATATATTTTGGCCCTGTTCCATCCCAAGCCCAACCTTAATTAATTGATTTTTTCCTTATATTCTTAGTGCTGTGCGATATTACCGGTTAACCGGTGTACCCGATTTTTTTCTTCCCAATACGTATCGCGGTATTTTTTTGTGAATACCGGTTCAGGTTCGATATGCTATAAATTGTTAGAAAGAGTTATTTGCCCTTTTCAAGGTAAAATATGGTGGCAAGCGACGTGAAGTGTGATCAGAAAGTGAGAAACGAGAGACATGTCTCTCTCTGAAATGAAAAGACGATAACTGTTACATGAAACCCCTTCATGTTTTAGCCGAATCTGAATATTACAACTTGATTTGTCAAGCCAAAAAAAACTTGGCTTGCCACTTGCCCTGACACAACGCGATCAGGCAGTTGCAATATCAACTCGAGGATACATGTTATTTGAGTTTGTGTTTTCATTTAACATTGACAAAAAGCAAAATTTATTAAAAATTTTATATTGTGATATATTGCAATACAAAATATAATATTGCAATATATCGCAATACGTTTTTTCAGTCGCGATACCCAGCACTATATATTCTTACATAAAACTTTGATTGTCCATTGTTGCCTTACATTTGCCAGTCAGGATGCTTCTACTTGTATATAAACATGACCCTGTTGTTCTTGAGAGGTAGATTTTAAAGTCTTTTTTTGTAAGAGAGAGTTTAAACTATGTTAAGGAGATAAACATGACCCTGTTGTTCTTGAGAGGTAGATTTTAAAGTCTTTTTTTGTAAGAGAGAGTTTAAACTATGTTAAGGAGACAAAATTAAAACTAAGTAGCCACAGATTTTATTACTCAAAATGAAAATGCATTAGTTTGAGACTAACGGACTAACTTTAATGTCAAACCCTGGAAGAGGTGAAATTGTCCTAAAGTTTACTGGATGAACATACATATAAACACTGAACAGATAGCAAAAGGGATGGTTATCAAATTCCTGCTTCTTTGACAGAAATTTGAAGAGTTTTTTCCCTGTTGTTTCTTTTTTTATCTGAAGACTGTAGAAGTAAAAAAATCACCTTAAACTGCAGAGATTCCAGGACAGGTTGATCATAGACCCCAAAGGAGGCCTCCAGACTTTGTGACCTTCTCCGCTTCATCACTTCATCTTCAGATCTCATGTTGGGTTCTCTTTCCATTTCTTTTGCTAAAAACAAATAATAGCTTAAGTATTGAGAGAAAATCTATTATTACAACATTAAACATATTATTTTGTAACACCAATGATGCCCAACCGTATTTGTAACACATTGTTATTTTGTTACAGTACACTATTGATAGCCCACTATATTTGTAACATATCTTTATTTTGCTGTATTATTAATGCACAACTGTTCTTTAACATACCGTACAAGTAGAATTTTAAGCGAGGATTTAATTTTGGCATTATTATTGAGGGTGCTAAGATTGCTAAAATTAAATATCGCTAAAAATTAATCTCGCTTCATTTGTAATAGCTTCTTTAATAACCTTTTTACAATAGCTAAAATTATATCTCGCAAAAAATAAAATACCAATTTTTAGGGACAAATCGCTAAATTTGCATCTCGCTAAAATTTCCACTTATATGATAAACATGATAAAGGGACAAATATTACCTTTGCGCTTACGCTCATTCCGACACAAAAAGGGAAGATTTTCAATGGCTTTAAGTCTTCCAAATGAACTCTAAAGAAAACAAAAACATACAATCAAACCTGCTTAAATAAGAAAATGCAGGTTACAAAGAAGTTATGCTGAGAGAATAAAATTAAGCCAAATACCTTACTTCAGTTTTTTGAAAAAAAAAATTGCAGATTATTTACAAGATTTACACTCACTTTTCATTTTGTGTACATTTGAAGCACTTATTCAGGTTTTATAATATTATTTCATTTCTTCAATTGAAATTTAAGAGAAAGACCAAAGAATCCAACACATCAGTTATGAGAACATATACCATACCAGAATTTTTAAAATGGCATATATCATCTATCTGATCAAAAAATTTTAATTTCTTTTTTCAAAATACATGTATAAAATTAGCAATCGATCATGATTACAAGTATATCCAGTACATAGAATCTCTTATAATCATAATATGTTTCTCCCTCCTCCTGTTGAATCAATTGAAAAAGTGACTGCTTACCTCCCCTATTTTGTTGAAAGCCAGTTGAAAAAGTGACTTATAATGTAGACCTGAGAGCATCATGTTTGTCAGAGAGTGATGGTTGAAGGCATTTGAAAGACACTGTAAAAGGTTGGAAAAAGTGAAGACATTTGGAAAATAACTAAGCCTTTTACTTTTTGTACATTATGTGATATCAATATTATTTATTAATGCTGATTTCTTTATAACAATTTAAAAGAATATCATGTATTATCAATGCTTTGCAGATTAATCCTACAAAACCTCATCAAATCCTGCTAAGACTCCAAAGTTTCATGGGAACACATACCTTCTAAAATTTCCAATGTACGAGGGTCGTTAGAAAAGTTCGCGGACACATTGAATTACGGAAAATCTATTGTATACTTTGAAGTATGACCTATGTCTGAATAAATTCCCATATTTTGTTTATTGGTATGTAAAAAATCATGTCCATATGATAAAATCTTGAAAATTTACAAGGATTTTTACTATAAGGTCATGGGATTCACGGAGCAATCAGTTGACGTAAGGCGACGTGACAACCAGATTTCAACCCGTTAAGCTTTGTTCTATAAATCTTTCAATTCTTCAGATTTTTCTTTAATATTTTTCTACTTTAAAATTGAATATCTTTATCAAGACATGTTATTTTTCTACTATAATATCTTTTGTACTGATTTGGATATTATTGAGATTTTTATAAAAGTCTATGCAGTAAATCGATCAGGTATAGAAAGTGTGCAAAACCATATAGGCGCAACGCAACGTCCATGCGATACGGGGGTATTGAAGTATCGATGGAGTTAATCGTTCAAAATGTTAATCCTTCATTCTGATGAAGCTACAACCATTTGAAAACTTGTCCTTTGTAGGTGTAGGAAATTCCCGGCAGCATCTTGAACATTTTAATTTCTTTTTAGACATTTTCCAATCTGCTTACGTAATTTTTACGCAGTGCAGTGCTCCATGACGCTCAATGACGTTCCGATTTTTGGCTGTGTTTTCAGGCGTTGATCATTTATAAACGGCTATAAAACAGTCATACACCCTCCAATTTAGATCAAATTTTCTCCCAGTGACGTTTTATAAACACTTTAGCGGCAGGTAAAATATCATAAATCTATTTCCGCTACAATTGTGCAATTTTTAATTTTAATAAAGAGTCTTTGTGATGTAAACGTGCCAAAATGTAGCATGCTCCGTGACGCAAGTTTTATCAAAATAAACAAGAGGCCCATGGGCCTTATAGGTCACCTGAGCATTATGCAACAACTTTCCAGTGATTGAATTTGATTCATGTTTTAATCCAGATGCTATGGCATTCACAATTTTGAAATAGGCACCATTGATCATCATAACAATACACTTAGCAGTTGCTTAGTTTGTTTACTTAATACCCATAGGCAGGGTAGGGGAACAAAAACTGTATTTCAAGTAATCAGTAATATTCAGCATGATCAGTAATGCCCCAATCACACATGAACCCCTGACCCTTAGGCCTAGATCCACACATTGCACAATTTTTGAAAAGGCACCCTTGCTTTTCAAAAATATTTGATAAATACCAAGGAGCAGATTTCAAACAATTCATCCAGTTTCAGTATATAAGTACAGCCCCCCCCCCTCCTTTATGGTACCCTTGACCCTGGGGCCTTGAAATTCACAATTCTGGAAGATTAGGACCCTTACTCATCATAACTACATAGGTAGTTCATCTGCTTAATACCAAGGAGCAGAGAAGAAAACTTTCAAAGATTTAGTGTATTTTCATTGTATAATCAATAAAGCCCCACCCTATCACTAGAATCCCTGACCCTGGGGCCATAAAATTCACAATTTTGGAAGAGGCACTCTTGCTCATCATAACTATGCACTTATTTAGTTTATTTAATACCCAGATGCAGAGAAGAAGATTTTCAAAGAATTCATGTATTTTCACTATATAATCTAAAGAGCCCCCCCCCTACACCAAAACCCCTGACCCTGGGGCCATCGAATTCACAATTTTGGTAGAAGCACTTTTGCTCATCATAACAAAGCACTTAGTTAGTTAATTCAATACCCAGGAGCAGAGAAGAAGATTTTCAAAGAATTCAAGTATTTTCACTATATAATCTATAGAGCCCCCCCCCCCCCTTGCACAGAACCCCTGATCCTGCTCATCATACTACACAGAACCCCTGATCCTGGGGCCATAAAATTAACAATTTTGGTAGAGGCACTCTTGCTCATCATAACTATGCACTTAGTTAGTTTATTTAATACCCAGGAGCAGAGAAGATTTTCAAAGAATTCATGTATTTTTTAACTCTATAATCTATAGAGCCCCCCCCCCCCTTACACCAGAACCCCTGACCCTGGGGCCATAGAATTCACAATTTTGGTAGAGACACTCTTGCTCATCATAACTATGCACTTATTTAGTTTATTTATTACCCAGGAGCAGAGAAGAAGATTTTCAAAGAATTCAAGTATTTTCACTATGTAATCTATAGAGCCCCCCCCCCCCCCCTTACACCAGAACCCCTGACCCTGGGGCCATAAAATTAACAATTTTGGTAGAGGCACTCTTGCTCATCATAACTATGCACTTAGTTAGTTTATTTAATACCCAGGAGCAGAGAAGAAGATTTTCAAAGAATTCATGAAATTTCACTATATAATCTATAGAGCCCCGCCCCCGCCCTAACACCAGAACCCCTGACCCTGGGGCCATAAAATTCACAATTTTGGTAGAGGCACTCTTGCTCATCATAATTATGCACTTAGTTAGTTTATTTAATACCCAGGAGCAGAGAAGAAGATTTTCAAAGAATTTATGTATTTTCACTATATAATCTATAGAGCCCTACCCTAACACCAGAACCCCTGACCCTGGGGCCATAAAATTCACAATTTTGGTAGAGGCACTCTTGCTCATCATAACTATGCACTTAGTTAGTTTATTTAATACCCAGGAGCAGAGAAGAAGATTTTCAAAGAATTCATGAAATTTCACTATATACTTATTTAGCCCCACCCTAACACCAGAACCCCTGACCCCGGGGCCATGAATTTCACAATTTTGGTAGAGGACTCAATGCTGATTACAATCATGCAAACAGTTTGACTGCTTGATGTCCAGGAGTAAAGAAGAAGATTTTTAAAGATTGCACTAATTTTAGTGGTTTTTGCCCCACCCCCCAGGCCCCAGGGGGGCAGGGCCCATGAAATTCACAATTTTTGTTCCCCTTCACCCATAAATGCTATATGCCAAATTTGGTTGAAATTGGTTCAGTGGTTTCAGAGAAGAAGCTGAAAATGTTCAAATGTTAACGCACGACGCACGACGCACGACGAACGACGACGGACGAAAAGTGATAGCAATAGGTCACCTGAGTTTACTCAGGTGACCTAAAAAGCTGTATATTTTTCAATAATCACCGGAGAGAACCAAATTCTTGTATATTTATTGGGAAAAGGGTAAAGATTTTATCTGGAAAGTTTGACCGGTTTCGTGGAAATAGTGCGCTCACAATAGAACTTGTCCGCGAACTTTTCTAACACCCCTCGTATATACATCAGACCTGTTTACCCATATCGTCGTCTTTCAGTATTCTTGATTAGATTTTCAAGTGATATTTGGCATTTGCCAGTAAGATTTAACTTTCCATCAATTTTACAAATATTAAAAGAGAACAACTGCTTTTCTGATTACAAAAACTTGGTTTAACAATATGGTTTTTGTCATTTTATAATATCACAGTGTTTTGGTAAAACGACATCACTTTAGTGTTTGAAATCTTTTTCTTTTTTTGCAATTTAAAAGCGTGACAGGAAGAAAGATCATAATGAAAACCAATTGCTAAATTACAAACAAACATATTTCCCATTTCTGTATTTTCATAATAGCAAAACGTGAGACATATTTTAAACTAAAAATCCATACAACATACCACGGAATCGTAAGAGTAAACAGGTCTGATATACGTTTGAATGAAAAATCTTAAAATTTTGAAAAGACCAAATGAAATTGAACATCATAATCAATGAACTTTCAAAATTGAAATTTTTATTATATATTATAAAATCAGGATTCTTAAAAATTTACATGGTAAGAAAATGCAAAACATATTTTAAAATTCAAACCTGGAACAGAAAATTCCGGACAGAAACTTTGAAGGCTGTAATGGCAAAGCATGGACAGTGAGGATAATAAACAAGGTAAATAGTGTTAGAGTTCATAAAGCGGGCAGGTGCCCCCGACTGTATGTACAGCCTACACCAGAGAGCACCGTCATGTAGAGTCACTGATACTGCTGCTGTCTACAACAAAAAAATATAACATCTGCATACAAAATATTATTAAAATTTGTTTTTGTTTAAAAATAGAATAATTTATAGAATGTAAGTACATGTGTTTTGGACTTACGGAATCAAAATACAGCTCAATTTGCTGTAGGAGCTTTTTCTTGAATTTTTTAGGATCTGATAGCTCATTTTCTTTCAGAGTCCCTAGAAAAAGAAATTACATTTCAGTACCAGATGAATATAACAATTTAGTTACTCAAGGTTATTATTGCCGATTTCATAAAAATGATTAACACTAGTAAATATTTTTTATCATAGATTTAGCTGTTAATGTGAAATGAAAGATTCGCTATCTATTGAACTTTAATTTTCGTGATGATTGAGATTTTTGTCATTTCAAAGGCGTTGAACTTTTTTTCTTTCAGCAGATATTAAAACACTGACCTGTCTTTTTATCACTAAGTTTGTACATCGACCATCTCTTCTTGAATGAATATTTTACAGAACCTTTAAAAAAACATGAATGCAATCAATGTGTTACCGGTATTTATAATATTTTATAACTCATTACTATATTGTTCATCAATGCCAAACTTTACTGGTAAATGCAATATATATATATGAGTAATTCTAAATAAAATTGGCCCCTTTTGTGACCCATTCCTATCCCCTGATTGGTGAATGCAAGGCAAAAGATTGAAGACTTACTGTTACATGACAGACAGTCAGACTCTATGTTAGTCTATGCTATGGCCTTATTCATTGTGGGAGAAATATGGATAATCATTGATGTTAAATGGTCCTTTATGAGTAAAATTATATCAGTTTTTCTACTTGTTCTAAAAACACTGAAACACATTAAATATTAATTAAAATAACTGCTAAACACTTACACATCAAGTCAAATTCATTGACTCTATCAGCAGTTTCCTTCTGTTTATGTTTTTCCTAGAATAGAATAAGAAGAGGATAATTAAATACATGTATAAATATTAAATATATGGACAATAGTTATAAAGCTTCATTAAGCTATTCCGAATAGCTTGATTTACCTATATTTATGAAGTTTTTCACAAAATTTTTTTTTTGTAAGAAATGGTTTAAGTTTGTTATAGTCCGACTTATCTGTCAGCATCACCAATCAATTAATTTGTTAACTATAATTGGCCTCCTTTATAATAACATTGAAGAAGTAACTGTAGTGTATCTTCTGCTTAATATATCTCAAAAACTTTTCAAACTTTGAGTACAAAGTCTCTCATGGAGATGCAGTTTGACAAGTGATTTTTACATGCATTTTTTCAGAAGAGGTCAAGGTTGAATTTTATCACTGCATGCACCACATCATCTCAAGCCACATTGCAGAGTCTGAATAATACACTGATAGCTCTCTTCTAGTTCTACCCATGGCTGTTTGATCACATAAATTGTCGAAGCTTGAATATTTATGCCTCAATGCTGTAACATCAAGTTCAGCCAATGACAATATTTGTTTATCAGGTCCGGCACAATCTTTTGATTAAGGAGGCTGGGGGTTCAACAAAGTAACCACCAGATATAACTTAATTTTTTTAGACATGATATCTTAAGCTGTCAACTATCACTTGGTAAAGAAAAATTTCAAAAATTTTAGTTTTAAAATTTGATCCTTTTTCTATATCTTCATAAGGAGCTCTTCTTCTAAAGGAGATCAATATAGACTCAAAAATGGCCACAACCCCCAGCCCCTTTAACCTATATAGCTTGATTTAGCTATATAGCTTTATTAAGCTATTCAGAATAGCTTGATTAAGCTATTTTATCAGACTTTTTTCTCAAATGTTTTATTTTTTCAGTATGTGCAAAAAGTTGCACCATGGTGCAGTGGAAATATTAAACTTTTAACTCTTCTTAATACAATGCATGTAAAAATCACTCATCAAATTGCATCTCCTTGAGAGACTTCTTACTCAAAGTTTTATAAGTTTTGGCAGAAACATATATGTCTCTGGGGCCATCCTTAAAAAACTGTTTGTTTGGAATTGCCGCCTGAAGGGTTTCAGACACAGGAGGGAGGGAGGGAAATTATTTTTTTTCAATTGAAAACCTAATTTTACATAGATCTGACACTATATTTCAGTGTTTTATATGGTGCATGTGATACATGTAATGGGAAAAAATTGATTAAATAAAAAAAAAAATCTTCCTACTTTTGGTCAATAAAATTTTTTAAGGAGGGGGCATTTCAATGAAGCGGGAGGCAATTCCAAACAAACTATAATTTTATTTTGGCCTGGTTTTGGGGCTATTGATGAGTGACCAACAGAGTTACTTCTTGAATGAAATTATAAAGGAGGTCAGTTATGGCCAACAGGATAATTGGTAACAGTTCGGCACAATAAGAAGCAATCATACTTATCCACACCTCACCGCACACAAAGAAGTGGACAGTTACTCAAACAATGGAAATTCAGATTTTGCTTAAAAGTATTCAACAGCTGCAATGTTAGAACTTTCTATGATTTGGGTTGTATTTTTGATAGTCCATAGTATATATATGAGTAATCAAATATTTGGCGACTTTTTCTTTATTAATTCTTGCAAAAAACGTTTTTGTGAAAAACTGAATATAAATAGCTTTATCAAGCTATTTTGAATAGCTTAATAAAGCTATATAGCTTAATCAAGAGAGTGTGCTGGACCTGTTTATGTCGCAATTAAAATCAACACTGAGTCAGTAAACAAGAAATATTTCATAAACTGTGACTGGGTATTGAAAGGTTTTTAGTTTATTTTCCGACTATGTCTTATTTGCATTGGTCAATATTTTAATGAGGTACAAAATATTTTCTTCTCATTCATGGGAGAGGAATCAAACATTTTGGCCATGGTTTGCAAGGATGCATGCACCTAGTTGCAGATCTGTAGCTCTCCGAAAAAATAATTCGACAGATTGGAGAGCTACAGTGCCACCCATTGAAAACATAGGTAATCAGAGATTACAGAGCTCACCTCAACGAATGTTGTCTTTAAGTAAGGCAAATTAAGTCACACAATTAACCAACAAAAAGTGTACATCCAAAAATGCAAAATTTATGCAATTTTGATACTTTGGAATAGACCTATATAAAAACTTCAAACTAGTTCTTCTTCATGAAAATGTAATTAAAATCCAGCATCTGAAGCAAGATTGAGAGTTTTCATCCCTTGATGCATCATTTGTGCAACTTTGGTTTATATAAGCCTTATAGTTTCTTGGTGATAGACCTGCACCCATAACTTTTACGAGGTCTATTATCTGGAAAATGTATGTCGAATTCAGCATCTGAAGCAAGTCCATTAGTGTGCATCCTAAGATGTATCATCCATGCAAGTTTGTTCAACAAAGAGCTCAAAGTTACTTGGAAATGCAAGTTTGGTTATTGTAGGGCTCATAGTACCTTGGAAAGGAATCCTGCACCATAAACTTTAACCTGTTTACTCAACCGGAAAATGTAGGTCAGATTCAGCATCCGAAGCAAGTGTGGTAGTATGCATCCTAAGATGTACCATCCAGGCAAGTTTAGTCATTATAGGGTTCATAGTACCTTGGAAATGAAACCTGCACCAAAAATTTTAACCTGTTCACTCAACCGGAAAATGTAGTTCAGATTCAGCATCCGAAGCAAGTCTTGTAATATGCATCCTAAGATGTACCATCCATGCAAGTTTGGTCATTATAGGGCTCATAGTATCTTCGAAATGAAACCTGCACCAAAAACTTGAACCTGTTCACTCAACCGGAAAATGTAGGTCAGATTCAGCATCCGAAGCAAGTCTGGTAGTATGCATCCTAAGATGTACCATCCATGTAAGTTTGGTCAACATAGGGCTTATAGTTACTCGGAAATGAGACCTACACCAAAAACTGCACCAAAAATGTTAACCTGCTCCAAAAACATTAACCTGGTCATTCCTTTGCTGAAATTGCAGCATCTGAAACTTTGACTGGTACAATGAAACACATTTAATAGAAACATCTTCCATGCGTCTAATCAATATAGGACATAGAAGTACTTAAAAAAAAAAAATGCTCCAAAAAACTTAACCTTAACCCGGGAGGCCGACGCCGAGGGTATCAAATAAGCTCCCCCCAACTTCATTGAGGTGAGTTAAAAACTGCATATTTATTGCGCACAAAAAAGTGCGCTGTTTATCGATTTATTTCTCCATGTCTTTAAAACTAGAATCTCAAAATATTACTAACCGTGTATTCCTAACATAATCTTTCACTGTTTCCACAACAAAACATACCTTATAGTTGTTGTTTATAGCCCTCCTGGCCCTGAAATCGAGATCATCGAAAATTTCGTCTGTTTATACTGTCATTTTGTTTTCCAAGATAATTCGACCCCATGCGCTTCGTGTAGATGTCAATTACGAAAGTACTTGATAGAAGAGTATGGCATTTTTGAAATCTAATTTTTTTACAGTTGAGAAGAATTTGGAAGAAATAATCCATACACAAGCGCAACTTTTTGTGCGCAACAAATAAACAGTTTTTTCAATGGGTGGCACTGTAACTCTCCGGTCTATCAATATATTTTTCGGAGAGCTACAGTTCTGTAGCTAGCATGCATCAAATTGCGACTTTTTGTTCATGCTGATAAAATAAAACATTCACGAAAAAAGTGCGCTAAAAAGGTTAAAATAAGTAAGCTATTCCGAATAGCTTAATATAACTATGTAGGATTAGCGGTTGCGATTTAGCTAAATCTTTTTTTTTTATTAAAAAATCATTTTAAATACATAAGGTACTCAGGTTGGGCACACACCACCAAATGCTCATTTAACCCCCGTTTGGTGGTCAATCGCCCATATCGGCGTCTTTTTTACCTGCCAAATGGTGGTCTTTTTTATTCAAATCCAATTTTTATTAAAACAAAGCAAAAGCGCATGTACTTAGGCATTGGAGAATTTTAATTAACAAATTCCTCACACATTTAATACAATTTAGTCAATTTTTCATGTGTAATTTCTGTGGAACTTCGTAAAAATGAAACCCACAGCTGTTTGTGACGGCCAAACTTTTTGCTCAAACAATACGAAAAATTATTTTGTTGTGTACAGTTGGGTAAAAAATATATTTAGACAAGAGGTGTTAGTCTAGAGAAGTAACTTTTCAAACGATCTTTCGATCGGCGTCTATATAATTCTCTACAAAATCCCGTTAAACACGAGCTCCTCCTATCTTACTCGTATGGTGGGCACTCATTGCTATAATATTCATTTTTTCTACATTTGAATGTAACATTTATTCTTTATTTTCTTTTAGGATGAAGTTACGATTTCTGTGCCACCCTTTGTGGTTATATGCATATCTATGATGTATCTTCTATATTTATTAAATATTTTTGAATAAAAAATTTACAAAGTGACAGTTGCAATTATTCTTTTTTTTATTCCAAGATTATTGTTTTCAAGCGATTATTTTATCATGAATTTACTGCCTATCCTATTTTTATAAAGAATAAAGCCATTGCATACGAAATAAACGGAATAAAAGCGAATTCTTACCCTTCCTCTTAGTTTACTTTTTGAAAATTAACGCTAATGGGTCTCCGTAGTTAACTCAGTCTTTAGACCCAAGTTCGGAAAAGATTGTCATTTTGAATTGGTTTAGATAATTGATCGGTTGCCTGGATGACAAAAATATGAAGTGATAAACACAATTGATAGGTGCAACTACGTGCGAGATGGAAGGAATTTTTCTTTTTAAGTTAAAACACAGAAACGTTACACTTGTTTACATAGGTGATGATTTTGTCCAATATTTGAACAACACTGCGCAAACAAGTCCGCGTTGAAATTCTGATTTTTTTCTTTCAGAGCATAGATAAATATCTATACTTTATTCACTGTGACTTGAAATTATGCACCATTTCACGTCATTCCAGAAAACTGAACAAAACAATTTTTCTCCACCATTTGGTAGGTAATAAAGACGCCGATATGGGCGAGTGACCACCAAACGGGGGTTAAATGACCATTTGGCGGTGTGTGCCCAACCTGGTACTGTATTATTTTTACCATTGACTATCGTCATTATTAATTCTTTTACGCTATCATGATTATATAAGCTCAATCAATACAATGTGTTAAGTTGTTAACATTTCCACGTTTTCAACAACTTTGCATGAACTTACATCACACAATCTTAGTATTTCCCGATACACACATCTTTTCGATTTGGAGAAGTCTATCTGATCTAATTCAACATTCTTCAAGTATCCCCATTGTCGAACTAACGATTCTAACTCAGATGCTTTACATTTTGCCACAGCTGACTTTAAAACATCGGCAATAAATCTCATTTTCAAAACATACAAAAAAGTGCGCCGACTTGCGTGTCAATCAAAAGGGTGTGACGTTTATTGAATTATTGATAACTTGTACATGATAATTTTTTTTCACTCAAAAGCAATTTTTATCATCTATCTTGATAAGAGATAAAATATAAATATTTTGTTTAAATCATCATGATAATATTAAAAATTAACAAACGAGAGGAGATAAACAAAACATAAAAAAGTTAACTCGAACAATTTTACGAACGATATACTTCAATGGTGATCCGGAAGTTGCAAATTTCGTAAAAGGTTGTGAAGAAAACTAAGGAAGGTGAGAATGTTTCACTACATATTTTGCAGAAATTTATTGCTTTTCATTCCTTTTAGATAAAAAAGGCTCACTTGTATAGTAAGTCCCCTCTAAACTCCAGAAGGTTGCCAATGACAACATCTGCGAAAAATAGTATGCGAGCGCAGATACTTATTCAATTTTAATTTGGATCGGGATCGTCAAACCTTAACCGCACGTAACATTTGGTGCGTATAGTCACATGACATCGTGTGTAAGTTGCATAAGCAGCATTACAAAACCGAAGGCTGAAATGTACTGACTTTCAGTGAAGAACGTTAAATTTTCTTATAGCGAGCGTCGCGAAGCAACGCTCGTCACTGCGAGCTCTAATGACAACGCCTGGGCGAAGAGAAAATTCGGACTACTGCACATTCATTCGATAGATTTTTTTTCCGCAGCAATTTGGACCCACAATGCATCGCTTCGTGCAGAAATGCTAAAGCAACATTCTCGCGAGATTAACAACAAAAAGTTAGACGAATAATAAACTTGCCTTGATTTAATGAATTTGTTGCTGATAAATAGTCAATAAAGCGGTTCTTCATTGAAATCAGCCCTATTCAGGCTTCGGTTTGGTAAAGCAACATGCATCCGACGTCATGTGACGTCAGAATCTTAGACACACTGAATGTCACGTGTGGTTTGACGAGCCTGATCTAAATGAAAACTGGATAAGCATCTGCACTCTCACTGTCAACATATTATGCAATCATGGCAATTATGCAATCATGGCAATATACATCCATTAAATCAAAGTGAGTTTATCTTTTGTTGTTATTCTTACGAGAACATAGTTTAAAGAAGACATGAATTGTGGGCCCAAAAGCTACTGTGGAAAAAAATTGCTTGGATCAAAGTCCGAATTTTCTTTTCTTATCCTTAGAGCTTAATTGTTGCGCTTGCTATAATCTGACGCCTGTTCAACAGAAGGAGCCTCGCAAACATTTCTATTGGAGGTTTCGGGAATTTTGGCAAGTGCTTGGGAACATTCACTCTGTTGAACAGGCCTCAGGTCTGGATCGAACATTATGGCATTATTATTTCATGAATTATTTTGTTGTATAATAACAATCACAGTGAGTGGAGTTGCTCACAATGGGAGCTTTATGACAACGCCTGGGCGAAAAGAAAATTTGGGCTTACACATTGATCAAACGGCATGTGTCATTGTGACATTTGGTGCACCTAGACTCTGACGTCACATGATCCTGTATTTAATTTGCATTACTAAACTGAAGGCTTAAATGTGCTGAAATTGAAGAACATTTTATTTACTATATGCAATGGACATCCATTAAATCAAAGCAAGTTTATCTTTTGTTGAACTTTGTTATTTTCATGAGAACCTAGCTTAAACAACGATGCACTGTGGGTCCCAAGGTTACTAGGGGAAAAAATCATGTATAAGTCCCAATTTTCTCTTCACCCAGGTTTGTCGTTAGAACTCTCATTACGTGCTTTCTAGGTACTAAAATGAAAATCAAAAAACAGTCAAATTAGCAACTTTTAAAATTTTTATATAGCAGCTGTAAAAAGAGTAAAGTTACAACTATAGCCATATTAGATCTTTTGGGTACCTTGGTTTCATTTTCCTTCCAAAAATTTCCTTGATACCTAGCACTGAAATTGAAAGCAAGGGAAGTGAGGATTTCTAAAAATGTAAAAGCATCCTGGAATTGCATTGATAATTCAAAATGTAGAGAAGTCAAAAACCATGCCAAACTTGATCTCTCTAGATTTTCTGTGGAATTCCATCTTAGCTAACCAAGGGTTACTGATACGCTACTGTCTTCATAATCCCTTGGAATACAATGTTAAAGTTTATATTTTTAGCTCACCTGAGCCAAAGCCTCAAGTGAGATTTTCTGATCAAAAGAATGACTGCACTTAAGCTATGAGAGTTGGATCCCGATGTTTTGCACAAAATAAAATTCCAATGAAAATTCATTAAATTTATGTTTTATAGGTATTTAGAACCTAACCCGCTTTTTCCTCCAATCAGCAGCTGCTAAATTTTCTATTAAGTCGATCACTTAATTGTTAAGATTTTATGTCTATGCAGTAACTCCACGAGCTGACTAATTAGTCGATGAAAAAGCGCGATTAGGTTCTAAGTAAGTTAGATCATATTAAGTAAAATTTTTGTGGTTAAGAAGGGGGCTCGGTTGCTTCGCTCCCTCCGCCCCTTCTTAACCACTAAAATTTTACTTGATATGATCTAACTATTACTAAACAATATCTTAAGAGCAGGTTTTGGTATATTATATTACATGAAAGTAGTAAAAAATGCCGAGTGACACTAGCTTTTGAGACGGGAATCAAACAGTTTGGTATCATTTCTATTGTTATTCATATGCATACCAGTTTTCAACGACTTTCTTTACATCGAGCCGCAACTTGGCCATTTTTCTTATTTGCAAAGAATGTGTATTTTAACTTAACTTAAACATAACCAAAGGACAATGTTGGCCAAGTTGCGGCTCATATCTAATTTTAAAAAACGTCCCAAATCTAGGGTTGAGATAGCTACTAAATTAACCAGTCACCGAGCATCAACGATTGATATTTTAATTCCCTTTCTCACGTGACCTTCTCCTATTCGATACACTAATGCTTTCATTGAAAATTTCATTGTGTTTAAGTTTCTGTTGTGACAGTATCTGTCTTACTTCCAACTTCAAACTATGGGAGATTTTTGTGCAAATTTGAATAGGTTTTGAAGATAATGTGTCTCTTATTTAACTTTATGATATTCATTAGGGGTGTTTTGAAAGAATTCTGGTAAATTGACAGTGTCATTAGTAAGTACATGTATAGGCTTATGTCGCCTCTGTATTATGGTCTGCAGAGCGAGACATCTACCCCATCCCTTAACATTAGAATCATTTAATAATTGTGCACCATAAAATCAACACGATCTCTCTCTCTTCTCCATTTCAATTCATAGTGCGAAAAAATCATATGTGCTAATGTTTACATTCCACAACCATGCGGTTTATATGTCTCTGCCTATTTGCGGATACCTTACATTTGAAAGTGGTCCCGTTCAAATTTCCGGAATTTAAGGCTTTTACTGTTTTACATGTTCTTTTCAATTACATTTTCTGTAATTATAGAAATATGTATGTCAAAAAATTCTAGAAATAAATATCAAAAGCATATGCATGCACATTAACCATAGATTAATTTAGCGATATATTGTAATGTTAAGGTTAAAATGGGTAGCCGAAAAGGTTCCAAATGACGTACTTAAGTGCACTCATTCTTTCTTCATTGTCTGTCGTCGTCGTTGTTGGCATTGTTGTAAACTTTTCACATGTTCATCTTCTTCTCAAGAACCACTGGGCCAGTTTCAACCAAACTTGCCGCAAAGTATCCTTGGGTAAATGGGATTCAAATTTATTCAAATGAAGGGCAACACCCTCTTCCAAGGGGAAATAATTATATGAATGAGTGAAAAATTCATGGCATTTTTAAAAAATCTTCTTCTCAAGTATTACTGGGCCAGGAAAGATGAAACCATCCTCAGGTATTGTAGATTCAAATTTGTTAAAATCATGACCCCCAGGGGTAGGGTGGGGCCACAATGGACTATCAAAGTTTTACATAGGAATATATAGGAAAAATCTTTTTTAATCTTCTTCTCAAGAACAGCAAAGTCATGATTGGTAATATGTATATGGGATCATCTTCAGGTGATGTAGATTCAAGTTTGTTCAAAACATGACTCCTGAGGGTAGGGTGGGGCCACAATGGACTAGCAAATTTTTACAAAATTTTTACATAAGAATATATAGGAAAAATCTTTAAAATTCTTTTTCTCAAGAACAGCAAAGTCACGATTGGTCATATTTATATGGAAGCATCCTCAGGTGGTGTAGATTCAAATTGTTCAAATTGAAACCCATTCTCCTTACCCATTCTGCCTTTTAGGGGTTGGTTGGGACCACTTAAGATGCATTAAGGTTTCTGAATACTGATATATCATTATGTATAGTGATATAGTTTCTTATCTACCTAGTATCTTGTAGATGCATCCGGATTTGTCCCCTCACCTTCACACAGAAGAATGTAACTTCATCATTAGGGCATTCAGAAGTTGTCAGGACCAGGTATGTATGTACATGTACTTAATAATACAAATAACATTCATATTAACTACATTCAAATGAAGTTTGGGGTTTAGGAATCACTTTATCTATCTGTCCAGCTGTCAACACAGTGCTGTCCAGGCTATAATCTTGTAACTGAGAATCAAAAGCTCATTCTTGGTACTCAGATTTCTAATGACATATGAGCATGTCTTGACTTTGACTCCAAATCATTCCATCAAGGTCACTGGCAGAAAAATATAAAATTCTTTACAGATTAGGCCAAAAAATTAATCAATAGTTTCTCAGGCCAAAAAATTCAAAACTCAATGCAGCACACATGTTTTTGGTTTTTTTTTAAAGCAGGTTTGACATCTTTTTAAAGCCATTTATTCAATAAAATAATAATATTTACTAATTCTTAAATTTTTGTTCTCTGAATATGTATTCAACTTTAAATAATGTTATTCCAAACATTTATTTAAAAGTTAATTTATAAAATATTGTAAATTTAGAAGAAATGTATTGTTTTTCTAGTAAAAACGTCTATCTTAGCATTTATGAAAAGGGGAATAACTCAATTTTCTTTTTCAACTTGGAAAAATAGAAAATTGAGTTATTTCCCTTTTCAATACGTCAATAAAATTGATCAGTGCGGCCGTTTTTGAACTGATAAGGCGGTGCCTGAGAAACTATTCATTAATTTTTTTTTGGCTTTAATAACTTTGTTATAATCTTCATTACAAAAATTGATGACCTTGTTTGTAATGATCTTGATTCAAGGTCATTCTGGCAATTTCAAATCAAGGTCACTGACAGAAAAGGTATAAAATTTTACTTGCCTACCTTTGTACAATGCCAATCAATCTAGATAAATTAACCCCTTTGTCAAAATAACCAGGATATGCCATTTATATGTGTGACGGTGTGCATTTAATTTAATTCCAGTGTATTTTCTTTTATTGCAGCATGGTGTCCTGAAATATGTTGGTTACTGTGATCCTTTGTTTTCAGAAGTACAGAAATGTTTGAAGAAGGAGGTAATGTTCGATATTAATATGCTTTTTTGTTTGTCAAGTTAAATTTAATCCAATGTTTACCACTGTTTCCCATAGATGTGACACATTAGATTTTTTTTGATATCCCACAGTTAAGAGCAGTTGTGATTTTTTGCATAAGCGTGATGAAGTAAAATAAAGTGGAGTCCTATATAAAAACATTGTAAAAATTTGGCTGTTAAGTATTAAACATGGGATAAAAAAACTCCCATGATTTGTAGTTGGATATGACTTTTATCCAGCTTGTGTTTTTATCCCCTCACCAAGGCTCGGGAATAAAAAAAAAACGCACACAACTTGTTGGATAAAATCATATCCAACTACAAATCATGGGAGATCCTATACATATAAATCTACACAGTAGGTGTATATCATTTAGCTATGTATTAGAAAACTGAATCAAAAAGTATCAAATTTGGATAATATGATTTTATCATACATCATCAATGTATATTTGCTGACTAGTTGGTGGTGGGCAGTTACAATTGCTTTTTGATAATGTATTTATTTTCCATGTGCTAAACTAAAAAAATATTTTCATAATTTTTTTTTTCATATCAGAGAATAAATCGTAGAATAGAAAGCATGGAAAATGACAAAATGAAGATGAGAGAATACAGAGCTAGAATGGCTAAGGGAGAAGCATAGTCACCAGGGGATGTTGAAAGTCTGTGATTACATGTGATAAGTGGGTAGATGTATGCTTGTGTTACAAAAGACTGAGAGGAAAATGAAAGTGTGTTATCTACTCATGACAGTATTACATAGACTGAAAAGCTCAGAATAACAGAGGAAAGAATTCCATTATTGGTTATGCAGTGAGTACAGCATGTGATATGTGTGTAATGAGTAAGTTCAGAGTCAAAAGATTATAAATGTGTTCATGGATTATCTGTAATTGGAAGGAAAGAGTATTAATGGCTCTATACTTTTATTTGTTGTGGACAAGTTTGTCAATTTTAGGAGCAAGGAATAAGGTCAATGATCATGGCTATGAGTGTGTGTGGGAGGAACTTATTGAACTTTTTTTAAAAATATACTTATTGATTTTTGACGTTTTTAGATATCCACTGTGTGACTGTTAAATCTCATAATTTATTAAATATGCATAGAATCATAGGCGCTTGGTTACAGGGGTGTATTTTGTGTATTATGTGTTTTTCTATGTGTGCCTGAATACCCTCATTAAAATAAAAATAAAAATTCGCCGAAATTAGCACGTTTTAAAAAATGTCATATTTACTGTATATAAAAAGAGTATACAGTAAATATGACATTTTTTAAAACGTGCTAATTTCGGCGAATTTTTATTTTTATTTCAATGAGGGTATTCAGGCACAAATAGAAAAACACATAATACACAAAATACACCATCCTGTAACCAAGCGCCTATGCATAGAATGTGTCCCAAAATTATGGAAACCGTTTGTTGTTCCCAGTAATAGAATTTATCTTAAAAATAAAACTTTCAAATACCCGGTACATAAGCACCAGTTTTAATCTAATTTAATACAATGTAGATTTAAATCAGTAAAGATGTAACAGAGCCTGGGCTGTCGTCTGTAAACTGAGACCGGGTTTGTGTTGTAAGAGCAGCCCGCACGACTTGATCCAGTGTGCGTAAACGTTGGGCTATAGGCCTATCACTCTCTGTATTCAGTTCCTCTACAAGCTGACTTAGTCTGAAGGCTTTTTCCCGCTGTACTATGGGTGCTGTGGACTGTCGTCTGCGCCGCGGAGAGAGTGTGGTCACAGACGACTCTGTCGATCCCTCAGCCTTTTGTATTTCCTGACTTTTCTCAGATTTCACCTCTGCATCACCTTCGTCCAAGTTTCGAACACTCTCTTCATCTTCAAGGATAATTTTACTTTTCTTCCTCATATCGACCTTTGAGAGTCTGCGTTCGCCGTGAGCAGTTTCTTCTGTGTGTGTTTTATGTATGCGGTTGACGCTATCCCTGCGGGACCGTCGCATCTGCTGCTGTCTCCTTGCGTTATTTTCAACTGTTGGCACGGTTACACCTTTTGTAGCTGGTCTGTTAGTGAACATGTAGCGAATTCCTCCCATTATGGAAAAATTTATTCGAAAAGGTTCGTCTTCTATAATGAAAAAAAAAATAAGGACAGAAATTAGTTAAACTGCCGACCTTGTAAAAAAGGGGAGGGGGGCTGGAGCACAACTGTAACAGTAACGAATGACCTGCTACCAAATTTCACAATCATGGCCAAGATGCCTTACCCAAGAAGGGGGTGGGGGGGTTTGAAAAATAACTTTACCGTGAAGATGCACTGCCATCATTTGGCACTGTGATTCTCTGACATTTAGGTAATTCGGACCACTTTGATCTTTATGAGGAGTAGATGAAACCCATGGAACTGTCATTTTCTCCTTAAGGCGAAAGTAAAAATCTTTGGGATCATGACCCTTTAACCATTCATCCCGAAACCTTAAAAAAATTAGATGTTAAATGGTATACTCAATAATGGACGACCAAGTGCTCTCCAATTCTTACTTAAAATCACAGAAATTTTACCAACCTTCTCCAGAAGTAATAGAGAAGGGGGAAAATCAGAATCATGGCGTCGTGGAACAGCCCTCTGGTTGGTCCCGACTGGGTGAGAGAAACTGCAATGCTTGTTGCCAGGTCACTCGGAATGTTTACCTATAGGATATATATATATCGACTCATTTTAGCAAGACGTATGTTTTGTGAAAGAAGTGTGTAGATGCAGTGTATTATATTTCAGATAGCATTAATCTTATTTTGTACATGTGTTTGTATTTCTAAAAGCATGTTGTACATGTAGATGTCGCTGACCTGTACTCGCGGTAAAACCTCCGATATCAGATAACAGTCTATGATAGACTTGGCCTTCAGCTGCAGAAACTCCATGTCTTCTTTGGTGATGTTTTCTCGGGTACTTATCTCATCAATATGCTTTTTGAACCTTTTATTACAATAAGATTAGAGTTGGGTATTGCGAGTGAAAACCATATTGCGATATATTGCAATATTTTACGTTGAATATTGCAATATATTGCGATATATTGTAGATTAATTATCATTAATAAATTTGTACAGAAATTTTAAAATGCTGTCAAGTTCAAAGACTATTTAAATTTTTCTATAAATTTTAAAGGAGGCGGATGATAAGACTTTAATCGGACACATAATTATAATAACTTTTAATAAAAAAAAACAGGTAAAAAATTAAAACAAAATGTACTCATTTGATGTATTTTCAAATTGAAAAAAAAGTTTATGCATAGTTTATTCTTTATAGTTTTTTTTTTTGAGGGGGGGGGGTGTTTTATTGAAACAGCATAAAATGTAATTTAATGATTAAAACAATACATACTATATAGAAATTGTATGTGGTCACAGAATAAAATTAAAGCCAGAAAGAAATTGTGACCTATTTTCGGGCGTTTAGTGTTTTAGTCTGACCCGACCTAATTTCACATTATGACATACGATTAGGAACTGCATTGGCCTATTTCTTTTGTTTTAATATACATGCTCCTGGTATAGCATGAAGGTGTTTAATATGGCAAGAAACTTGTTAAAAAGTAACAAAAGCAACATTGTATCAAGTGAAAACATGGATGGCCATTTATAATCATCGTCGATCATGTAGATTCCATGAGATTTTGAGAACCGCATTACACATGGCATACACCCTGTAGAAATGTTTTATATATTTTCTTTCTTAATAATTTTATTTAAAAGTCTTTTTATTAATTATTGATTTTATTTTAAAGTAATATATTTAAAATTGCGACAGTGAATGAAAAGCTTTCTTTCTCTCTCTTCTCTCTATCTGCCTCTGAAAGCCGACGAAGTATTTTTTATTACTAGATTGAAAAGGCCTGGGGAAGTTACAAGTATTATTTCAGCAGTTTCTACAATAAAGGAGGTTTTTATATATTTTTATAAATATCGTGAAATACCGGTATCTGATTTTTATATCGCGATATATTATCGTGGTGGATAAAACCGCAATATACCGATATACCGGTAATATTGCACAGCCCTAAATAAGATAATCTTGTTAATAATTTATATGATTGATTTATTTTTGTAATACACAGAACAGTGATTGTTGACAAGATAACTCTGTTGACAAGGTTAATTCCCGATGTTTAAGTTTTGAAGTACACTGGTATGACAGATTACATTGCCCTTAAACACTTTTTTCGTGACAAGTAACAAAGTTAAATAGGCTGTTTTATAAACGAAAGTCTCCCCTTACTCAGGTCGTAAAGCATCAAAACACTGTCAGTCAACGAACTTTGGATGAATTAAAAGAAACGTTAACGTGTAAAGTGTACATTTACATTTCCCTCAAATTTTATTTGAATTGAGCTCAATAAAATATTGTTGTGATAAAAAAAACTTGTTTAGTACTTTTGCACTTCGTTCCAGAAGTTTAGATCCGCCACTAGTTTGTTGACGATAACGAGCCGATTCCGTAGAACGACCCGCGTCTGGAAGGATGCTATAGTGCTGGACGTCAGCATCGACTTCTCGTGCATCTCTGGAAATATAAAACCAACGTAAATCCTCTACAGCATAACTGTCATTTACACAAAAATTTAATAAAATATTTCTAATCATGTCGATTCATATGTAGGTAACTTATTAGGTCTTGCTACTTTTTTGCTTGGTGTCCTTCTCCTGCTCGTTGCGGAGGTAGAGCTCCAGGAGTTTGAATTCGTACTCGTCCCTGAGGGCATCCATGAAGTCCATAATCAGATGTACAAATCCATGCCATAAATGTAACTGCATAAAACATTAAAACATTTACTATACATGGTATAATATTTATCAATAATTTTTTTAAACTGCATTTCCACCTAACGTTTGACCCAATTGCAGTCATATTTTATGTACATCCGTATCTGCTTTTTTAAGTTGATCAATGGTGTTATGCTAAAAAATAAATGCTGAAAATTCTTCCAAAATGCCCTCTACCTACATTTTTGATTTGCTTGGAAGAATTGTTTTGACACAGTCAATGCTCACAATCATACTTGAAGAGCATCGCGCGAAACTTGCGTATTAGGTATGACATAAGGTCTTTGACAGATTTAGGAAGGTTCGCATCTAGTTGACTGTGCCACATTGTGATTCCTCCTTTTCTGATTGATTGACACTCAAAACATAAGGAAGGAACCCAAATCTGTAAGGTTAAATTAGCTGGAAAACACAGCAATGCTTTACGTTGTCTTGCGTAATTACCGTTTTCCGTTTCTTCGGCGATTTCTTTTTATTGGCTAGAGCCTCTTTGTTGATGACCAGCTCTTCAGTGAGATCAGCAAATGTTGGCGATGGCACTAAGCTAGTCTCTGTCTGCTCCGGAGGTGGGTAATCCGCGTCAACTGGGTATGTCTCCATATATCGGGGGAACCTACGCAGGTTAGACAGCAAGCAAGCTTAAACCGGGGGGGTCATCAAATAAATAATTGGACATTTGTCTATTTTTATACATGTAGGTATGTGCACATGTATACAGAAAGGAAACGTTGACTGTGATTTTATTTTCTTAAATGAAATGGGGTTGTAAGTTGACCCCCTGTTTTACCATTTTCTCTCCATGGCGCGGAAGACGCTGGCCTGGGCACAGATAAGGACACTGGTTGGAATTCTCTCCATGGTAGGAATCTGACGGATGATGTCGTCACTACAGTCCAACAGGTAACCTAAACGTAAGGGAATTAACAGTCCAGCAGGTAATACAAACGTAAGAGAATCAACAGTCCAACAAGTAACCTAATCATGAGAGAATAACAGTCCAACAGGTAACTTAACATAAGAGAATTAAAAATCCCAAAAGTAACCTTAACGTAAGATAATTAACAGTCCAAAAATTAATCTAAAGTTTTCTAAACATAAAAAAATTTATAGTCCAAAAAGTAACCTAACGTAAGAGAATTTGCGGTCTAACAAGTAGCCTAAACGTTTGAGAATTTACAGTTCAACAAGTAACACATAAACGTTTGAGAATTTACAGTCTAAGAAGTAGCCTAAACGTTTGAGAATTTACAGTCCAACAAGTAGCCTAAACGTTTGAGAATTTACAGTCTAAGAAGTAGCCTAAACGTTTGAGAATTTACAGTCCAACAAGTAACATAAACGTTAGAGAATTTACAGTCTAAGAAGCAGCCCAAACGTTTGAGAATTTACAGTCCAACAAGTAGCCTAAACGTTTGAGAATTTACA